GAAAAAGAAAAAAAAAAGAAAAATGGAGCTCGGGTCGAAGACTTCGAATTTACCGGGATAGGTCTTGAAATCTTTACCGAGGGAGAACCGAGGCGGCTTCGTTTCGGGTCGCGATCGATCCTCGAAGTTCCTACGGTTTTGCGCGCATCGATTAGTCGATTTCGGGGGAATTTAGGGGAGACAAGGTGCGCGCGCTCTCCAGCCGCATTTGTCACCCCGACGAATGTATACCTAATGGGAATATCGACCTCAAGACCAATGCCCGCTAATCGGCCGATAATCGATTAATAAATTAAGGACTCCCCTGCGAGTCGACTCGACGGCAAATTCGAGTCTCCCTCGAATTTGCCATAAAAAATTAATACCGGACGTATAGAAGCAACCTCGGGCTCCGACACAAAAAAAAAATTCCTCGCTCGTGAGGCATTGTTTATTTAAATTCCCAAGCAAACTGAAAGCATCCCTAACGAGTCTACAGTCTCTAGAAAATTCCAGGAAGCCCCGTATTGGCTATAAAAAAAATAATAAATGGAAAAGGCGAAAGAGCGCCGGCCAACGCGCGGGGACCGCGTCGGACCCCTCTTCGCGAGAGTTCCACATTATCATCGGGCCCGTTTATTCGCGCTTGCATATGTAAACGTATAAGAGGCGTTGTACATGAGGCGTTGACACTTGGCGAATCCGAAGACGAATAACCAGGGGAAAGTGGGTCCCCCTTGGAGGATCGTCCCGGGATTATGCAAGCAACTCGCGAGGGTCCCTCGTGAGGCCCGCGAGAGGAACGCGCGGAAACGAACCGGTTCCAGAACGGACCGAAACGATGCGACGAGAACCGGCTCGGGTCGGATTTCATTCCGATCGGCCGTTCGCGATTTGACCGGCTCCCTTCCCTGAAATCGCCATTTTTACGTCCCAACAATGCCCTCCCGCCATTAACTCGAAAAGCTCCTTCCTTCACTTCTCGAAAGAAAAATATTCCCCAATTCTCTTCAAACTTTCCCACGTTCTCGTAAAATTATAATATTCAAAAGTCCGACGAAATATTCATTCTTTTTGCGTTCTCGCAATATTATCATGATCAAAAATCGAGTGAAACGTTAATTCCGTTTTTCCTCTTCTCCTCTAATTTCTGAAATTTTCCACGTCTTCGGGATATTTCAATACTTTCATGACTCCTTGTTAAAAAATCTCACGTCCAAGTCCTTATGATAAATTTGTTAATTTCAGTAATGGACCCTCCAGAGTGGATAAATAAACGAAGGGGGAGGAAATTCGAGCTCGATCGGGAATCGATCCCCGTCCCATGGGAATGCACCTCGAGCCGGGAGAATCCCGGAATTCGTGGCGAAACCACTCCCATATGTGTTCGGCTCGACGGTCCCATGGGAAGTGGCGCATTCCCCCGTGTTCCCGGCCTAAATACCGAAAGTCCCTCGGGAGTGTGCGGGTCTTCGGGATCGATTCGTAGCCGGACTCGAGGAAGGCCTCGACTAGCCGATAGAAAGTAAAGCCGAGATAGTCTCGTGAGTTTTTCGCCACGGCAATCGCGTTTTCGTTACAGTGGGTCAAGGTGAGCTTTACGTCCCGAATTCGGAATAAGCGAGTCGGGGCCGTTACCGCGGCCGTCGACTCAAAAACTCCCACACGTGTGTTTGGTGCGAAACGCTTTCCCCCGATTTGCGACACCTAGCCTTGTACTATGATTCGACCCCGCAGAGAAAGAGCGATAGAAAATAATTATATAAAAAAAAAACGTTAACACGTGGTGACAAAAAAAAAATTCCTATATGTACTTGGCGCGAAACTCTTTCCCCTGATTTGCGACACTCAGCCTTGTCCTATGATTCGACCCCGCAGGGAAAGAGCGATAGAAAATAATTATATAAAAAAAAAACGTTAACACGTGGTGACAAAAAAAAAAATTCCTATATGTACTTGTCTCGAAACGCAATCGGCATCGCGTGGTAATTCCCTCGAAGATGAAGATGATAATACCCGATGAGGAACGATGAGAAGATCGTAATCAGTAACGAAGAAAAAAAAAACGACGTATAAAGGACACACGGGGGAATATCGCTCTTGACAAAAGAATTACGATACCCAAATACGGAAAAGAGTCTCGGGAGATCCTCTTTGTCGCTTTGGGGAGCGACAAAAAAGCTCGTGGCCGGGGAGTGTCTCCGGAAAAAATGGCAAGGGTGAGGAAAAGCGGGGAAAAACGGGCAAACGAGTGGCGCAAAGGCCCGAGGGGCGTATGTGCACGATACAAGGTAAAAAGAGGGAGAGAGAGAGAGAGAGAAGCGGGAATATGTGTGCAAAGTAGGGCTGCGACTGGCCCGGACAAACGGATATCCGCCTTAAACGAGCTCTTCTACGTCGGACGTATAAATCATCCGGCTAGGTATCCGTATATTCGACCGCTAATATCCGGCAAATATCCCATCCCTAACCTCCCCATCGCCGATCCATCACCCCCATATATCAATTTTTAATATTCTATTCCCAGGTAAGCAAAGACCATTTCCCTCCACCAAACAGAAATAAATTCTATGAAATGCGACTATTCATTTCAGCTCATCCGCGCCAAATCACTGCTCTTGGAATTTACAAAATATCTACTCCGATACTGTTTAAATTAATTTTTCTCGGGTTCAATAAATGTGGTTTTTTTTTTCTTTTCTTCCTCAAGGTATGTGCATCTCGGAGGAGTTTCGCACTTCGCGTGTCGGCAATTTAACGCGAGTGTCTTAATCAAATCTGAATGGCTCGACATGTATGTTGGAAGATGCGCTCGGACATAGAATCGTATCTAGGCCGTGCAAAGGAGATGCGCTTTCCAAGACAACCGTCATATATCCCCCCATGTCCTAAAAAAGTGAGATTAACAAAGGAATAATTTCTTCACGAGTCCCTCGCTTTTTGTCGTATATAGAGAGAGAGATTGACCCTTTCATATCACCTTAAGTGTTTCAATTTAAATTAAATGTTTGTCATTTTTACTAATGGTTCGTCAGGTTAGATCGATATGAATAAAGTTTTTTTAGGGATTCGCGATAATCCGTTTCCTTGTAGAGAGGACTTTAGCCGACCTGGAGCACGTCGAGGGAGAAAGAGGGCGAGAGGAAGCTCCCCTTTAAGAGGCGGTCCACTCGAGGGAGGGAAAAATATAGGAAACACCGAAACAAGAGACACGTGGGGGACGTTAAGGTCGGCGGGGAGAGGGGGAAAGAAAAACTGAGAGAAATAGGGACCAAGAGAGAAATATAGATAATAATTAAAGAAATAGAAAAAGGCACGAGGCAGAAAAATTAAGTCGGAAAATAAAGGAGTGAAGCGGAAAAAAACTTGAGAAATAGATCTCGAGAGAGAGGGGAAATAAGGAAAAGCGGCGAAGGAATCGAAAAAGGGAGAAGAAGGAAGACGAGATATTCGTCTCTAAAAGGCACTTTGTTAGCGTTCCTCTTTTCCCCAATTTTTTTTTTTTTATCGCGTCGAGGAGAACGAGCACTTCCCAGTATTTTTGCGTCCCGAAAAGAAGAGAAACTAAAAGAAAGAAAAACCCCAGCGGAGAGAATTTTCCGTGGGAAAAGCACGTCTAATTATTTCATGGCCCTCTCGTTAGCTCCCGTCGATTATTTAAATCATTAGCAGCCTCGCATCGAGGGCATAAAAAAAAAAAAAGAACACGAGAGAGAAAGAAATCCGAAACATTTACCTCGACCCGTTAAAGCGGATAAATAATTTCCCGAATATTAATACAGCGTTTCCGGCGGAAAATAACGAGGCAACATTTCCTCCTATTTACTTCTTTTTCCTCCAATAATTACTGGGCCCGTTTTAATCGGCCGAGGGGCAATCAAACGAGCCACCTTGCCATTTCCCGAGTAATTCGTAGTAATTAAACGACCAAACGGACTGATAAAAGGCCCGGGCAAAAAGTGCACCGAGAGAGAGAGAGAAAAGCTCTTTTCCAAACGGCGATTAAATCGACGTCGAGGAATTCCCAGTTACTGCAATTGCACAAGTACTCTGTACACGTTTTTCGACATCTCTCCCGTGGATATTTCGACGTTATCTCATTGGAAAACGCATACAATCCCGATTTTAAATTACACTCATCTTATCGTAACATTTACACATTCAACCGCTATAGAAGAGGTCAAAGCACGAACAGTTTATTTCTCGCTAAAATTACTAGATAAAAAAAAAAACAAATATTCACTTATCTCGTACAAAAGAAAAGTTGATTTGTGAAAAAAAAATAAGAACCCTCGAAAATTTTCGAAATCTCTTGCTTCGGCCTCTCGACCATATTTTCGTATATTCATACCGAATACTTCCAGCTGTTCCTTCGGTAAAGAGTACTTGGCGCGAAGCTCTGCTAAGTCTCCTCTTCGAAATTTTCTCTCTCTTCCTCGACTCAATCCCGGGGAACAATTACGACATTCAACAAGTACGTTCCGGTATACTCGTGGGATCTCTCCCCGTGGGAGTGGAAAAGAGGAAAAGCGCTAAATGAGATTCAGGTAAACGAGGAAAATCCGCGAGTACGTCGAGGGCTGATCGGCCACGTGTGTGGGATTTAATTAAAAGGGATATCGAGATGATATCCCGTTGTCAGAGGGACTCGACGTCGATATTAAAGCCTTCGATCCGACATCCACATACACACGCATATAAATACATACATTCGTATACATACGAATTTACGTCCAGCCAATGTTTACGCAATTAATTCCGCAGAGAATTCTCGGATAAATCGTCGAGGGCAAAATCTAGAATTTAGCGCAATCTCCGGTCAGCGAAGCAAAATATAACCGAACGTCAGAGAGACAAGCATTTAACTGCCGAAAATCACGGAAAGTAAATGGTCAAGCTTCGGTAATATAGAAGCAAAAGTAAACGATGGATTTCTAATAAATAAAAATAATTTCTTGTTATTCACCGATCCGCTCTTTACGCTGCGGAAGCCAAAAATTCATCGTACCAGTAAAATATTTTGCATCTTATAATAATTATCTTATAAAAACTATTTCCTATATAAACGGTGTCAAGGAAATATTTAAAGCATAATTACTTGACTCAAGCTGAAAGCTCGATATACGTCAAAAGCCTCGAAAAAAAATGCGAAATTACCCGACCGCTCGAAGGGTTGTAGAGGTTAGGTCAGGTTAGGTCGCCGCAGACTCGGGGGAAGCGGCGACAAGGTTGCCGGAGACCCGCAGGTTGACAGGGCAGGTGTTGCGCCGCAGGTTGGGTCAGATACGCCGTCAGGTTACCGTTAACGCCGTTCCGTTGAAGACGGGGTTGGCTAATTTCGCGTTTACCGAGGTTTTTGACGTATAATTCATAAACCAAGTAGTTTACCGCAGCGCAGCCGTAGAAAACCAATAAATTACATTTCCAAGGTGAAGGATGCCGCAGATGTAGGATATTCGGCATCCGCTAACTTATAAACGTCTTTTAGCATACATGTAAACACGCAAAAATTTCTAAGGACTAATTGACCCCCGCGTTGAAAATTCTGTGGACTTAACCCTATTCAATATCAAATTTATATAGCTTTCATCGTCGTAATTGGGTTTATTATTTTCTATTTATAACTAGAAGGGCGTATTCTTGTAAATTACATGACGCATTATACGCACTTAACCCTGAAATTGCAGGGCTCGGCGACCGACTGCAAGCCCGAAGACACGTCGGAGTCACCCCGCAAGCTAACCCCTATATCGAGTTTTCGTAAATTGATTTTCCCGATTGAAAGGGGAAAAGGGGGAAGAAAAATAGTCGTCCCACCCTCTCGATTAAAGGACGAGCGAGGGGGATGGCGTAAAGAGAATGCGTAGATGCAAGGGATGTCGCGTACGCGAATGGATTAATTAGGAGGGAGGGAACGTCGGCGAGGGCCAAGGTTGCGGAGAGCAGCAGGGAGGTCGACCGGCGGCAGGTGTACGCGCCAGGTCGGGGCCGGGGGTCGCGCGCGTGGTGCCCAGGGTTGCCGGACTCGCGCAGGTGTCGCAATGGGGGTGCGCTTACCGGGCTCTCCTGAAGTACTGCAGGGCCGTGGCAGGTCCGCGTGCTCCTGCGAACGAGCGGCACTCCTCGACCCTCGGGATCGACGACAGGGGACGGGCCGGCCGAATCTACTAATGCGCGTATCCTACGACGGAACCTCACACGGAGCGCGCACTTCACTCACTGGCACGACACACACGCCCGAGACGCACTCCGGTACGCCGAGTTCGCCGACTGTGCGTTCAGAGGACCGGCCTCCGTCCAACCCCGGCTGGTGTTTACTACTGAGCGCAGCGGAGACGGCGAACCCGACGCCGACTCGTGCGCGCGCCCCCGAGTGCAACAGTTGCGACGCCGAGCCGCGCGCCCCGCCATCTAGCGGCGGAACCCAGTACAGAACCGCGTGCGCGTCTACCTGCCGGTATCGCCGCCATCTTGAAAATTAATTTTCCAACCGACGAACAGTGGGATAGAATGTTTAGTGCATTTATTACCCGGGCAAAATAACCGCGAATATAACTCGTCATTAAATTCTCGAGGAATTTCAAAACTAAAAGAATTTTCTACCAAACACCCAGAACGCCTCGAGGCTGGATACTTACAAAATAAGCGTGTTTCTTCCTCTCTGTACAGTATAATAAAGTTATCTAAGACACTTCTTTTCCCTGCGCAGTCCATATTTATCCTAGTTCATCGGAGTCTACCACTTGCTCTGCATGTTGCTGCGATAAGCCTTCGGCTTGAAGTTCTTTGCTCTGTACTCGCTATTTTCCCTATTCGAGTTTAAATAACGAGTGTGGTACGACTCCACGGTGCAAACCTCCTCGTAAAGGTCTTCGGCAGTCATTTCGACGACATTCGCGCATTCGTTCAACAGCCATCGAAAACTGACCGGTAGATCTCTCTCGAACAGCTCGAAATTCTTCGTCTTGACCCGACTGAAGACACAATGGTACATCCAATAATCCCCAGAAGGTCGGAAGAAAACCTCGGGCTCGTCCATTTCGCAGCTCTCGTCGATTTCCCGAATTATCGACGCCTCGTTAATTTCCGAATCCAAACAGCCATCGGAATCCCGAGAGATGACATCAACGTCGTCGCAGGAAGGCGTTACGGCATCGCTCAAAATTTCCGCTTCTTCAGGGTCGACTGTAACCCCGTTTTCCCTCTGAATTTGCGTCGTTCCTCCGCGATTTTTACGTTCCCGACAATTTCCATTCTCCAGCCTCTTCTGGACCATTTTCCTCGACTTTCTGGCGTCACCATTTTCTCTACAACTTCCCTCTTCTTCAAGTCCTTTCCCCACTTCCTTAAATTTCGACGCCCTGACGAACCGTCCTTTCGCATTGCGGTAGAGTTTGATCTTCGACGTGGACCTACGAGACCCGATAACAGTCTCAGGTTGCAAGATTGCCATTTCTTCGTAACTAGAGAGCTCCAGGTTGTACCTCTTCCGAGATTCCTCGCTCAAAATGTCTTCCCCTTCCTGGTTGGGCCGAACCTCGCACCCGTTCTCTTCTCCTCGTTCTTCGAGCTCTTCTTCACCCTCTGCGGGGATCAGCAATTTCCCATCACGAGAAACCTCGTCAAATAAAAAATCCTCTGAACATTCGGCTGTGGAGTCGTTTTCGTTTCTGATGGACCTCACCCTGTCGTAGGCGTCTTTTTTGTCAGGATCTATCTTAATTCTGCCCAGGTGGTCTCTGTGCAGGTACTCGTTCAGGTCCTCGCTCTTTGAGTCGAATTCATTTTTTGTGACTTCCAGTTCCTCCACTACGACATGTTCATTTAGTTCCTTCACACTCGGCATCTTCGTCGGCTCGAACTCTGGAACTACCTTCTCCAGGAAGTTCATCCCCGAGTACACGACTTTGAGGTTTATCCCACACTGTGTGGCTAACTCCTTCAACCTGAGAAAAAAAAATTCCACGGTTAGACTTTTCAATAAAAAAGAAATAAATGAGCCAGGTACATCAGAATCCGTCTAACTCCTGGATTAAAATGCAAGTGACTTACAAATCTGGCTTCGTTATGTAGCCGACCTTCATCTTGTAGAAGTCGGTTTGCAAAATTGCTGGAAAGTCTTGAAAGGGTTGACTTAATAATTGCTCCAGGTAAGCATACTGTGGTGTCAAAGAAGGAGCGAAAACGTTGACGTTCGGCTGCGAGGCGAAGGTCGCGTTCAATTTCCCAACGCAGTTCTTCATCGCTATTTTCAACTCCTGGGACAGGAAGTGCTTGTAATCGGTGACCGGCGGCTCGTTGCCCGATCTTTTGGAGTGAATCGATTTTAGAAATTGAAGGTACAGGTGGCTGGTCCCAGGTAGGTCTGGCTCGTACTTCAGCTTCATCGAGAATTGTGAATTCACCAGGATGCTACGTCGACACTCAATGTATCTCTGCCACTCCCTGAAGCTGAAGAGCTGGGGATCGGAGAGTCCTCTGCTCCTTGCTCGACTGAAAGAAAAATATAATTCGACGTTTAAAAAATTCAGCAGGATATTTTAGCATCCGCAGAGTGCAAAAAAATCCAAATACGTGATAATAAAAATGGAATAAAGCTAAAATTATGAATTATTATAAATTATCGCGGTCGTTTAGCCTCAACATTGTCTTCCGATAGAGAGATTAACTTGTCTAAGGTGAGTAAACCTTCCTGGTCATTACTTTTCAATTTAAAATGGATATCTCTCCATCTCATGTGCATTTGCAGGGCCGCTTCATGTCCGGGTCGGGGTACCTCATCGTCTCTTTCTGGTCCAAATTCGCGCCGTACGTGATGGAATTATTTTTTACCACCGCGTAGGGCATTCTAGAAGTCGTGAAGTAAGATCCCCAGCAGCCGTTTTTCTGGAGGACTACTCCTCCGGCGCTCTGGCCGGTCATTCTCAGCATTTTGTCCAAATTAATCCGAAGAGCGTCCTTCGGACAGTGTCCTTCTTTTATATCGGTGATTATGCTTCGGGAGAGTCCTAACTTTAGGATGGTCTCTCCGTGACCGGTCAGGGAACATCCCGCTTCGTCGTCCGCAAACGTTCCGCATCCTAGAAATGCGGAATCTCCTACGCGGCCGGCCATCTTCTTGTTCAAGCCTCCGGTGGTCGTGCCGGCCGCCATCCGGAATCCGTCCCAAACGACGCAACCGACGGTCCCAGCACTTTCTAAGCATAATTTTAATCCATACGTTTTAATCAAAACGAGAAAGTCGAGTGACAATGACTCAAGTTAAAAACGCAACATTTTTAGATCGAGCATAAGGAAAGTGTAATTTACTTCGAAGGATAGATGCACAATCGAAGCTCTCCGGGTTCACTTGAAGATCCAAGCTTTCCTCGTCGGTTAATTTTGCGGCTAAATACGCGGCTGGGGATAACATGTTGCCTTTCGAAGTCCACTTAATGCCTGCGCACTTTGCCAACTTCTTCGCTCCCTCTCCGGCAAAGATGGTGTTCGGATAATTCTCCATGATAAACTTCGCCAGGGAAATCGGGTGCTCCACGTCTGAGACTGCTGCGACGGATCCGCAAACTGAATCCGTGCCGTCCATTATACTAGCGTCCATCTCGACCTCCCCTAATTTTGAAATTTTCATCGGTCATGCTTAGAACGCTTAACTTGAAATGTCTTCTAGCACTGCCAATTTCAAGGCTGCGAGATAGTAGAGGAAAATTGTACCCAATTCGTTGGCTACCGAGCCATAGCCACAATTAAAAAACTCGTCACTTTCCAACCACCATAAAGCTGCTTCGACAGCTTCCGTTGCACGTGCACCATCCAGTAATTTTTGGTATCCGAGGCATGCTGATTTCCTGCACGAAGATATTTTTTCGATCACTACGGTGTCACTGGTTTCTCCAGCATCTCCGTGAACTATCACACAGGGGGGTCCAATTTTTCTTGATCTTTTTAACACTTTACTCGCGTTCCAATTCGATGAATTCATCTTTAACACGATTTGATTTCTCGTTTATATATTTTTAGCAATTGTTCGTTTTGTATGAATATTATTTTGATGGGACAACTGTTAAGAATTTTGACGTTTAGTGGTTTGGAAACAGTTGAAGGCTAAGATATATGGCTGCACTCTTGATTAAGATTGCGATAAATCTTCTCACTCTGTTAACGATAAAGTTAACTTAAGAACTTGTTTGTATACACACCTGTTTATCTTTTCTGCAAGTCTGCTGATCTGGTACTCGGTAATTCCATCCAGAGCAAAGAGAACTTTCAGAATGACAATTATAAAAGCCATAGCTCTGCCTTCGTAATTGGGGATGTAAGGTTTTTGAACGTTGAATGACATAACTGGTGGTGACAATGCAATTAATCTCTCCGCATATAATAATACGCCTCCTGAGATCGAAGCATATAACTTTTAATGTGAATTACAGTTGTTAATTATCACAGGTAGAAATTCACATTTTAACGTACTTGGTAGTCGCAGTTCTTGGCAGTACTGCGTAATCAGAGGCAAGAAGTCTGGGCAAAATAACTCGTAAATATTGAGGAACTTTGCCATGCTCGCACTCAACTGTCTCATACCTTTATGGGTTATGTCATTTACCTGACTTAAAATAGTCATATCACCTTTTGCTATAGAGATCTCAGGGGGAAGCAAGTGATCCAGTTTGTAATATGACAAATGTCCTTCTCTTCCGTACCTGACATTAAATTTTAGATCATTACCATAATCGAGAAATAATCCAGAATAATGACTTACCGTAACATATCGGCTAAGTGGACGTTCTCTTTGTGGATTCTTAGTGCTAAATAAATAATTGCCCATAGCTTCATGGGCGTAATCACCTGAGGGCTGATCTTGTACTGAGTCGTTACATGTTTCCGCTGATACAGAAACCTTTTACTTTTTGGCACTTTCACTGATACATTTTTTATTTTCCTGGCTTCCTCCTTAGCGTTTGCATTAAACCGTATTCTATGAAAATCAATATTTATGAATTTATTAGTTTTTCAATAATATAGTAACGTCAGCAATATGAAATATTTTAATAGGAATATTTTCATGAGACGCCGTAACATACTTTTCAGCATATTCTGAATGGATGTGAGGTTTACTTTGACTAGACTGTAAACTGTTGATACTCTGATTCAATACACTACTTGCACCTCCTTCGGAACTACCTTGAGACGACATAAATCTCTCATATTCCGCAGTCACCATCAGTCTCTATAACACGCAATGGAAACATAAATTAATGTTGCAGATGTGGAAAACTTATTCCATTAAAGTTAAAATTCAATTTACTTTATTCCTGTTAATTTCTCTGGTAGAACTGGTTTCGCTAAATTGCCCAGAAACTACAGAAGAAGCATTACTGATACTGTTCTCCCTTTTACGCTTACGTTTTTTCTTTTGCTGCTGTACTTTCCCATAAATGATACCCGCATCTCTGAAACAATTTTTACAATCAAGCATGCCTTAATAATCACCAGAAAAATATAATACGGCCGTTGAAAAAAGGTTTCACCTTTTGTGAAACCTCCTGGATAATTTTGGTATGAACTTCTTTTTGGTCGAAGTAAACGCAACTTCCATTTTTCCCAAATATGCCGCCCACAATTGCAGAATCGTCAGTTTCACATGAGACGTTACTCCAAGTTCAACGAGCTCGTTCGCCAAGCCAATCAAAATAAAGTTATAATACTCCCACGAAGTCCATCCCAATTCTTGTCCTAAAAAATTTCAACACCATTTTTCTACGATTGCTCGCTATCGTCATCCAACGAACCTACCATCAGAATTGCCAGACTTTTCTCTACGAATCTTTGTTTTTCTCAACCGGGTCGATGCATCTACTCGTACTTCCAAAACTTCCTCCCGTACTTCCTGTAATGATTGTATTAATATATACCTATCATTAATAGATAATAAGTTAGAATGGAAAAAAATGAATCGAATACCTGATTCTGAGTTTGACATTCCTGACAAAAGAAATAGCCATCCTCGTTATAGAAATCCAAACCGCCACAGACAGTACACTGCATTTTTTGTCACTGAGATAAAATATTTTAACGTTCAAAATACTCTTTTAAGGGAATAAGACTCATGCATTACAGCGTGACAAGTTTTTAGGTTATCCGAAGATGCCTGGCTGACGGTTATCCAAAATACATTTTAAAATACCACTTCATTTAAAATTACAAAGATTATTTTACTCTAAGTCTAGTATGTCTGACAGTACTAACAATTAACCGTGTTTAAAAAAACGAGGACGATGAGATAATTCGAAAATCTTTCAACCCAACAGAAAACACGTGGTTTTCGAGCGGCGCGCTTCTGTGTGACGTCAGGGGTGATCAAAACTATTTGAAATGAAAATTGAATTTGGCGCCATTTGGAAACGGTTGCTACATAAATACCTAGGGTATTTTTATTTAGTCAATCCTGTAGATAGAAACTCTTTTCGGTACGTATATACACCATATACATACAAGTTGAACAAAATGGCGGCCAGCCAATGAGGTGCACGCTGGCGGTCACGTGACAGACATTTGTACGCTCTTCAGCTGGCTTTAATGGATATTCGCGATGCATTTAAAACCCATTTTCGTGAGAGAAACTTGAAGGAAATTGCGGAGAGTTGTTGGCGCCCTTCATTGGAGACATGTTCGACGTGATAGCACGCAAAACTGTGCCGATTCTGACAAGACTACGGACTCAAAGTGGAGGTAAACATAACCGCCGTTGACGATCGCCCGTGGGCGTGCGTACCGCTCGCTACGATTCAAAAATGACAAGAATTCTTTGAGCTGTTATTTTTAAAGAGCATTATGGAGGATTTTAACGAAGGCATGGATTCCAAGCTAGCAGCAAAGATGCGCAAGTCCAATCCAGAACAATTTTACACCCTCGTCAAGATGCACCTGTCCTTTGAGTTGGACCTTAACACGGAAGAGTGGGTATCGTTACCTGTTCTATATAATTACCTTAATAAAATAAAAGTCTACTATGTATATTGTTTTTGGGGGTTATTAGTAGCGATTGTCTTATGGAAAAAGCAAAACTGAAGAAGTGGAGTCTACCGAGCTTTTCTAAAAAACCAAAATCAATGATGAACCTGAGCAAAGGAACGGAGGGGGCGACGCTAACTCTGGATGGAATTAATCGCGTCAAACAATTGATCGAGTACTTGTCTAAAGAACAAAGTAGGTTTTAATCATTAGTAAAGTATTACCTGTGAGTGCGGCAAGATTGGCAATAAATAATTGATGCACAATTATTTTTGTAATAACCATTAGTATTAAATAATTACAGACATCGTTCAAGAAGGAATATTTCGACGCACAGGAAAGTTGACGCGGCAGCAGGATTTGAAAGCAGTCCTTTATCAGGGATTGCCATTGAATTTAGATGACGGTAAATTTAATGTACATGACTGTGCCTCTGTATTGAAAAGTTTCTTGGCAGAACTGCCTGAACCTCTTTTGACGGAATTACATTATCCTGTGCATTGCCAAATTGCTGGTAAGTCAATACATGTCAAGCGACAATTAAAATGATTTTCTATGGAGAATTTAATGAAATATAAATTGCAGAACTCTGTAGTTCGGATGCAAATGGAACGGATTCTAGACTATTAAGGTCTCTGCAACTCCTATTATTGCTGTTACCGCCCGTGAATAGAATTCTACTTAAGCATGTTTTAAATCTGCTTAACAAAACAGCTTCCTTCGAGCATAGTAATAAAATGAATTGTGATACTCTTGCAACGCTATTTACTCCTCACTTGATGTGCCCGAGGAAATTGACACCTGAAGCGTTGCACATTAATTCCCAAATCTTATCTGGTTTAGTCGCATTCATGATCAAGAAAGGGGCAAGTTTGTTTGAAATTCCTCCCATGTTATCCACAGACATTAAAGCTTACTGGTTGGAACAAGAAAGAAAACTCCTAAGTCCGAAGGAAAGTAATGTAAGTAACTAGAATTACATATTTCTCAGCAGAATCGTACTTAATATAAAGTAGAGTAAATTATAAATGATTTTAATATTATTATACTTCCAGTTAAACGAGTCCATATCAGATGCTACTGGAACGGCTCACACAGTGTTCAGCTTCATCGATCACAAATTGACCGCTAAGGCAAATTCGACCGAAGACACACAAGCAGCTTTGGCCCAACTTTATGCCCACATTCAAGCAATGCCAGAATCCACCAAAAAGCGAAGACTCGTTAAACAATTTAATAAGGAGAACGGTCAAGGAACACCAAGGCAGGTGAAGCAATACAAAGCAAAAAGTTTAGGAGACTCCATAAAGAAGCACATTTTCCAGAAGAAACTTCTGGGCCACAGAAAGTTACTCGATATCAACATCGGATGCAACATCAGCAGATCAAGCAGTGAAGAAAACATGTTATCCATGGTGAGTACATTTATACGTGTAAATTTTCATAATCGAGCACTGCGATACACATATTCTGCTTCAATGTGCATTCCTGAAGGCCAAAGATCTATTAATGCTATCTTTGTTGCATGATAACAATGCATCGTCACTAATTGCTCGTTTGCATGGTCGAAACAGAACTTGGAAAAGTCTTTGGGCCCATCGAAGACTTTATTCAGCAAGTCAGACGATGAACTCAGTGCTGATAGCTGTGATCTACTGGGAAGTGAAAACCTGTTACAAGTGAAGCATATAAGTAACAGTACAGGCAGTATAAATACTCCAACCATGACAACCTACAAGTCAAAGCAGAAAGTAATGCTCATGAGCTTTGTAAATATCAACGAGGAGGATAACCAAAGTTTCGACAGCGGCGGTGAAAAGTCCTCCTCAAGAAAGATCGAAGATGAATCAATGCGAAGCAGCCCTTTGAGACGATGGATGGGCAAATCGAAGGTGTCTTTGAAATCTGATGATGGCTTGTCAAGCAAAACTCGCAGTCTGCAAGACATTTCCACCCACTGCGATGTCAGGATCTCTCGGCAGCTCAGTGAGCCTCCAAATATGTACTCATCGGAATATTACCTCAACTTGGGAAGCGAGCTGGTCAGACAGAGCTCCAATCCAGTGTTCCCTGTGTCAAGGACTAGCAATAATGAAGTAATTTTCACTCCTGTCGCGTCGATGCCTGAACTAAAGTCAGTTCGTTCCCAAAGTAAAATCGAACCTGTCATAAGTAAGACACCGATAAAGTCAGCTACGGTGACTAGCAAAAGTAGGTTTCGAACTGCCTTCAGTGCTCACACATCAACGCCGTCCAATTTACTGCGACAAAGTCTTGCCAGTAGTGATTGTCTACTAACACCGATAACTGGCGATGACAAAAGTATGAGTCCTATAACACAGAGCGCAACTAAAATGAGCAAGGCTATGCAGGTACGCATGTTTGTTTTTTATCATTTGTTATTTCCTATGGCAGAGCGAAGTGAGTTTCACTTTGGCTTCTTTGTCGCTTAGATGTTCGTCACTAACAAAACACTTCTTTCGTATTGCGTCTCTTAAATTCTACTGATTAATTTTTTTGTTTATCCGTCACAACAGGAAAGTATAATGACTCCCAGGTCTCGGAAGCCAGTCATGATGGTTTCTGGCTCGAATCTCTGCAATCTTGCGTCTATTAAAAACGACTGGACTGAGTTTTCTTCGTCGAATGACATAAGAGGATCTAACTTCGAACTAAAGCGACAGGGCTGTGCATCCATCCTCGAAGAATCCCAGAAATTGGATAGCATCGGCGAAATGGGACTTCCGGGAAACCAGGATGAGAATAAGGAGAACCTCGAAGAGGCAGAGAATAAAGAAAATCTTCACGGAAGAGTGTATCGAGAGAGGAATTATGTCACTTCCATCGAGGACGACTGCGGCACAACTATCCAGAAAAGTTCTGTGTCTATTACCAGTACCTTCAGAGAGTATCTCCTATCCAGAAGTGTTTTAACCGCGAGTCCTGTGGATTTGAGTTTTTCATCTCGCACCGGAGACTTCGAGCCCTCAGAGTCGGATTTGAATATGTTGAATGATGATAGACTATCGGACAGTCTTCTCCATTGCTTGGATGGAAATAATCCTGAGTCGGATACTTCGGGAATTGGATCGGGTAGCACAAATAGTGCCAACAATTCTGCAGAAAAGGTTGACAGTACAATGTCATCGCCGAGGAAGAGAAGCACCAGCTTACAGCGAAACGATTCCAAGAAGTCTGTCAAAGACGAGGCTGTGTGGGTCAAACCGAAGAAGCAGACACTGAAGAACAAACAACTGAGTGAGTCAACGCTGAATCCTGTCAAAATGAAAGATACCGTGCAGGAAACGTCATTTTGAAGAGAAGACGTGTACTTAATCCGTAAGTATAATCAGTACTTTAGATGCAAAGTAAAAGACAATGACGAAATAAATTGTTTTTAGTAGGCTTGCATTTGTTACTGTACATTTTTCGGTATAAGCGAGGTCCTAAAAATTAAATAATGTAATAACTATTCAGTTTTTTTTAGCAATTGTTTGCTATATGAATTTTTTTATTGATTACCAAAAAGTGCCGCTAAACAAATAATTTGGGACAATAATTAACGCGTATTTTTCCATATGGAATTCCAAATAAAATGTGTGATTATTATTGTGATCATTGTGAGTGATATGTGACAAGTATTTCGATCACTTTCATTCTGTAACTTACTCTAAGGACGGAAGGAAACGAACATAAGTGACAATATTTTAGTAAAATAAAACTGCAATTCAAAAATTAATTTACACCGAGGTAAGTTACTTTTTTTCCCTCCTCGTTGCATTTCATAAATCCGTTGTGTACAAAAACATTGTAGGAAATTAACAATTTAATTTCAAAAATGATTATTTCTACAAAGAATACAAAATCATTGTTATCAATAGTTTCCAGGAGACCATCCTATTATTCAGACATTGCGCATTTGATATTCGATGCCTTGTTTACCGTCATTATGTACAATGTTTCTTCTACTATAATAATGAATATCACTGATGTATGCAAATAACTTAATGTAAGACAGATAATGAAATTGCATAGATTAAAAATACAGAGACGGGTCAGAACATGTCGTCGTGTCCTAAATCAGGAATATACGAAAGACCACGCTCCTTCAGAGCTTTGCTCATTAATCGTTCTTGATCTTGCTTTAATTCTTGCTCCCGCCTTTGAGCATCCAAAATATCATCCACAGACACCTCGGATAATGGTAAATCCTTTTCTTTTTCCCTATCCTGTACGTAATTAAATTCATTACACGGTTTCAATTACAAAAGCCATATAAAATGGAATCGAATAGTGAATAAAAATTCTTACTATTTCTCCCAGAAGTACCACATTCTCTCCTCTAACTATGAATACTCCTCTCGGAATGTCTCCATATTCTTTACCAACGTGGATCCTCTCGATTGTACGATGAAGTACGAGATTAGCAAACTGATCGACGCTTCTCAGATAACCAATTAGAGTTCTGCCATCGCGAAGCAAGACCATGAGCTTTTCTAAAAAGAGATAAAAAGTGAGTTTCAGTGAACATGTTTGTGTATACAGCTCGTACGAGTCGTCCATAGTGCACGTATTATTGTCTCAAGAGATTGTTCGGCATAACCTAGGAAATTAATCACTTCACGGTGTAGTAGATAAGAACACACGTACTGTCAAGTTCTTCGAGCAAAGACGCTGTTCCTGGCACTGCGTTCATGTTAATACGTCTTCTTTTGCGATACCTTTGTTATAGCGAAACCTTTTACATGTAATTTACTCTCAAAATCAATTTTCGAGGTTCTAACCTGTTCACATGATAATCGGCACTCGGTACTCAAGACGCCATTTGCAATTTCCTTTTTCTGGACATTTAAAAATTCTTCAGTGTCCATAGAAATTAAAAACTAATTTAGAACCATGCACAAAACCCAAACCAATAAATTCGTATAGACTGTCCTTCAAGAAGAATGAAATGATATTATTCAGAAAGTAAAATAATTTATTTAGTTAAAATTTGTACAGAAGGTTCTGAAGGAAAATTCTTGTAGACGTTTTAGGAACGGAAAGTATGTTTCATTGTTCAGCAACCACGTGTTCGGGAACCACTTTAGCTACTTTACGAAATTCCTTAGTCATTGTCTTTGGGCACTGCATTTCCACCCAACTGATCGGCACCATTGCTACGCCTGAAATAAAAAGTGTTTTTAATCTTGTAGCAGGAGGACAATGTGGCATCATTGTCCCTTTAAGTTTACCTTCTTCGCTGTGCGCTATGACAACACCCAACTCATTTTCTGCTGTAGTAATCTGATATACATGTGGCTCTGTCATTGGCATCTAAATAATAATGTATAGGAGAGAACAGAACGGAATGAAAGTCACGCCTAAAACTCATCATTAAAAGGATACAACTCTAGCGAGAATTATGTCACCAGGTCGGAAGCATTTGTACATTTCCGTCAAATCTTTTTGGGTTGCTCTAACATCTTCTTTCCGTAAAATTGCCCTATAAGGTCTAGTCAAAACAATGTCACCTATGCATTTAATGATACATTTGCATAGTCTCTGGTTAACTAGTGTAACCATTGCTGTTACGATATCACCCGGAGCTGGCACAATGCTCTGTTCCGTCGTCCCATGTACTTCTACCGTACATGTCTGTAATTAAATTAAACCGTTATACTTTGAACATCGAGTTAAAGAAATTCACAATAACATCATGAATTCAATTACATTTTCATTTTTCACCAGTTTAATTACACCAGCAAGTTTTGAATAAATATAACCGTGCTGCTCGTACGTTCCAGGTCCTGCGAGATTAGCCTTATCCGCCACGCACAGTCTTTGACCTGCCAGAATTAATGACCAAAACAATTCAATTACAGGAAACTAAACGTTAATTTCTATGATTAAACTACTTTAAGTAACATAACCAGTAAAGAATTTTTTTCAACTAAAAAATTATTTATGTAAATACCTGGTACACAAATAATTGGTTCTCCTTTATCTCCCATTTTCAAAATTGTTGCGATACCGTTTATTCGTGCAAAGCATAATCCATTTAAAACAATGATAGGTTAACCTAACCTCGCCGTGTACCAATTCGCTCAAACTCGTTTAAATACGTGTAACGTGTACACGGATGATTCCTAGGTCAGAAATAAAATTGTAGAAAATAATCCTGTAAAAATGCGCCAGTAAATAATTGTAAATATTTAAATCCCGTTTTTAGTTTTCCTCATTTTCGAACGAGTTCGATTTCAACCCGAACTTCCGACCCCTCGCAATCGATATAAATCGAGCCGTACAAAATGGCATCACCTATCGATCAATTTCAAAATTTCGCTTTGTTCCATGACTTTTCCACTTCGTAGAAATAATAACTCTTTAATATCTCTATTAAATCCCATTATTACGTTAAATCGCGTTTTCGCTAAACATCATAAACCCAAATTTAAATCATCTGACACATTCATGCTCTCTCCTTCCAGAAAACAACACCGAATTTCGAACATGCCGTTATCCACGCACGCTGCTGAGACTGGGTGGAAAGTGCCGAACATTCATATCGAATAATCCTCCAAGGATTACAGTAAATGCACTCGAAAAGGAGCCTGGAAAACCCCTGAGCTACCGCCAAAAACACCCTAAAAATTGCATGGTAACAGCTGCTAATTTTAAACGAACTCCAATAATCAGGATTAAGCTGGAGACGCGGGGGCGAACCGCCATCACCGCCATCTTGGAACAAGTCTCGGAGCGTTTGCCTACATCTTCTCCCCACTTCTCCTCCTAAGAGACCGGATCCTTTCTCTCTCTCATACTTCCGCCGCGCGAGTGCGACAAGGATACTCCAATCCCGCGGCGGCACGTCGGTCTCTGGCCCCGCCCCTCGCCCCGCGCCCTCCTGCGAGCAGCGACGCGCGGTCGGCGCGGCGCGCGAGCCGTGAACGCAACCCGCGTTCGTAATTCCCTCCGCCGGCGTAGTGGCGCTCCCATCGCTGGCGGCCATTTTGGCGTCGTTGGGAAATTGACCTTGGGCAGGGCTGCGCTCACGGCGAGGCTTGGGAGAGCGCTCTCACGAAAGGGAGAGAAACGCGGCGCGTTCGGCAGTCCTTCCCGCGAGTTCTTCTTTGCGTCCCCTTTCTTCCGCCCCGTCGCCATCGTCCTCGTCGCGCCCGTAATGGCGACCCCTCGCAGTCCCTCCGCGGCGTCGCGAGGTGCCTGCTGCTAACGCGCCGTGCCCGCGGACCTGTGAGAGAGAAAGACGGAGGGACGGAGTGTGCTCGCCGTAGGCCGCGCGTCCGCGCCGCCCCGCAGCGCCCCGACGCTCGGTCGCCGAGTCGATCGGCCCGGAGCGCCGGTTCATATATGCCGCCGAGGCAGCCGACAACCCGCAGCGAGCCGCCCCCCGGCCGAGGAGAGTCGTCGAGGTCGTCCTGCGAACCCGTCCCTAGGTAACGAGGAAGACGTCGACGAGAACTCCAGGAGGGACCCCAGCCACGCGGGAACGTTCCTCACTCTTCCTCCGGACGATGGCCTTCCTCGTCGCTTCCTCCTCCACCTTTCTCCGAGCTCGACGGGTTTTGGCCTGCCGACACCTTTGTCAATAGTCCTCTGGAGAAAGTCTACAGGAGGTCAGTGCGTACATTCGGCGTTCGTTGTCTTCAGGCAATGGTTTTGTGCCATAGAACTAATGCGTTGAATTATGTTGTCTTTTATGGAGCAACGGAGGGATTGAAATTAAATTATCTTTTCTCCAGCAGTATCCGAAAGCACGGTTAAGTTGACGTCCAATTTCAAGCTGGAAGAAGCTTTAGTGTGAATTCTACCTAAGTCCAGCCGAAAGCAGATTGTGTTCTTTTCTGCGGTTCCTGCTGAATTCATCACGGTTTCTGGATGCAGTGGAAATACTCCATTTGGAAGATGGCTCGATTAGGGGCCACCTGTGTTGCTTCATCGTCGAGTCATCGATTCTTGAGGTGTCCTGATTATCGGGTCTAGACGGGAGCAATTTTGAAACTAGGAAAGGAAATATCACGTGTGAGTATGGATTTTGGTCCAGTATATCGAGTAGTGTTTGAAGAAGGAGCAGTTGCCTTAGGGCCCATCTTGAAATTCAAATTTAAATAAAACAGCAATTAACATTTAAAACCATTATTGCCACAAAAATGTAAAGTCCGTGCTTTAAAATCGATATAAAGGAGAGGCAACTTTGAAACCAAAGCGTCGAGCCTTAATCGACAAAAAACATGATAACTTTCTGACGAACCTAACCTAAAAGAGAGATGTTTTAATCCATGCTTCCTGTTTGCAACAGCAGGTGACGATGTTCGACCCGCAACAACTTCAGCAGCAGCAGGCTGCTCAGGGCCAACAATCTCAGCAGCAGCAGTCGCAACAGATGTACGTTACGGAGAAAAAAGAGGACAAGTCGCAGCAGCAATCTGCGGCGACCGAGTTCCCCTTCTACTACAATGTCAACATGCTCCAGAAGGTTCAGACTAACGCGGTGAGCACAATTGGTGCGATCACTACCGACGACAAGGGTTGCTACCGATTCGATGTGCAACCTGTCGGTTATAACACATTACTGAACCAGATGAGCATAGCTGCAGCGACGAATGCGACCTACAAGTGCGACATTTGCGGCTTGGTATTCGGCCACATGAGCCTGCTCAATCACCACAAGAGGATTCACAATACGACGCCAAGCAATCTGCAGCAGCAGCCCCAGCAAGTCGTCGTACAGACACCGACGACAGTGACTGTCGCCACCACGCCGGAGCGACCTTACACGTGCGACGTGTGCGGGGCGTGCTTCGCGTTACCGGGCGAGTTGAAGAGCCACAAGACTAATATGCACCAGAAACCGAAGGTGCAAATCTGCGAGGACTGTGGCAGTGAGGATCCCTGTGAGCACCACCCCACCAAGGTCAAAAAGAGTGAGTATAATCTAAAATCCTGGTCTACGAAGTACCGTATAATTCTACTTTCCACAGTTAATGAATTTTCTTAAAGTTCTATGTCAAAAAGACGTATTATGAAAAGTTTTATCTTTTATCATTAAAATGAGGTGAAGTGTGTAGTAATTGAGAATTTGTTGAAGAACTTCGATAAAAAGACTTTGATCATGGACAGCCGAGGCAAAGAGATTATGTGTCGTGACAGAATACGTAAATTCGAGTAAATTGAATTTTTATGTGATAACCTGTTGAAATTTTTGCCAACTTTCTCAAATATTGTGTCACTGTGTTCTGTGCGCAGCTATTAAACCTGGTCACCACCCAGTGAAACGACGGGGCGTCACCAGCGTCACCAAGTGTCACAAGTGCAACGGCACGGGCATCATTTTCATTGGTAAGTCTGGAACCTTGTCTTTTCCTGTGGGACGAAGGGGACGTTACTCTTGAGAAAGTGTCCCAAGCACCGAACTGTCACCCATCGTCGCCAAAAAAACAGTAGAAACATTGTCGATGTGTCTTCGAGCCCTTTGTTTGAGAATCAATTGCATGCTTGAAACACCAAAGAGTAATGTCTCGTTTGGCACCCTTATGCACCTGTCATTCTTTTTTTTTTTCTCTCTCTCCATTTCATTATTGTCATGATCGTACATCGGGTGGTATATGGTAGGTAAACACGACGAAAAACTAGATTCCGGAATCAGTTCCCTTGCGAAGTGCGGTGGCTGCAAGGCGACCGGCCGCATCATCATAGGAAGTAAGTCGGACTACGTAATATCAGAAAAGAGACGATTAAGGGTCTGCGACTCCAAGTTAGCTCCTTTCTCACGAGGCATCCTGTCAGTTTTAGATGGTGACAGTTCTGTTGTACCTCTTTGGAATTTCGAATCGAACGATGCCCCTTTTTCACCAACGACAGGGTTTCCCTCATTTCCAAACGAAGATTTTTATTGCGGAACAATTTGCAATTAGTGGAATGGGAAGGACATTGCATTACAGGGAAAATGACATGGGCATAATTTTGACACTCGTGTATTTAATTTAATTTTCTTCGACTCTGCGATGAAAAAATTCACTGTAACTATTTCTGTCGTTGGTGAACCCGAGCAAATAACTTGATTTAATTCTAAGTAATTCGTAACGTAAAGTGGGATTCCTTCTCCGTATTCTAAACTATTGCATGTCTTCGTAGTAGATAGTTGAATCTCTCCTGGACAACAGGCTGGCTTGCCGGCATTGTTGCAACATCTTTGACTCGAATGTATATTTTCCTTTTACATGTTTATGTATGATATAACGTTAAACATTTTATAACTATATTATACACATTTTATTTGTGGGTAGAACTGTCGGCATCTAACTATAAGGATGATTACACGGAACGAAATCTCCCCTAAGGGACAGTTTTATAAATCTCATCGGAGACTGGCAAACCTCGCTGGTCGCGCATACGACGAGCTGCGTTTCTTAGTTGCATTAGCTTGTCAAAAGTGAGAAGAAAACAAAGAAAGAAGGAGGAGGAACGAGAGAACGACCTGAGCATCGATGGGTCCTCCATTGATCCTTCGGTCTGGATTTGCGAGATTTACGGAATACGTTTATTTAGCGATACCTGTTTAAAAATTTCTAGATAATTCTCTGAAAAGTCATGAAATACTTTCCTTGAAAACATGTCTTTCGCTGTCAGGGTGGTGCGATACCTCAGGGAGGCTTCGAAGAGGTCTGCGTTCCAATGAGACTCGTCGACTCGATTAATAAATACTTTAAATATTTTTAATTCTGAGTCTCATCGATGGAACGCAGACTCCTGAGAACATCCTGGCCAGGTGTCCCATCGTCAAGTCATTAACAATTTTTGTCCTCTTGCCCATCCATCGGTCACAAAAGTAAGATGTGCCATTTCACTCAAATTCCAGGATCGTAGCCCTCCGACAGACATTTTTCCACCAATGGAGGATCCTCTCCGGAGCCCCTTGGACATGAATATTTTTCAAGCGGTGTGACCAGGAAATCCCTTTTTAACTGATCACGATTCCTCTCCAATGTCCAACTAGAGTCTGCTTCGATGAGACTTTGTTTCTCGTCTCTTGAGATTGTTTTAAAGAACTCCTACGTAGCGTGTTCCGTAAATGTCCGTCTCGCTTTTCGTTTCCTTCCTTCTCTCTCGGTTGTTGTGTTTTTTTAATAACTCTTTCCTTTGTTTTCTTCTCAACGTGCCAACCTCGAGAGAAAGAGAGAAAGGGGGCGAGGGGGAGCGCAACGTTTTTTGTAGAACTGGCCCTTCGAGGATAACTAACGCACCGGTCGCATTTTCAATTTCAGGCGGCAAGCAAAACAGTCAGAACCAGCAAGAGAAGCCCTTTCACTGTAACGTTTGCGACGGCACGTTTTCACGGTACTCGTCGCTCTGGTCTCACAAGAGACTTCACTCCGGGGATAAGCCGTTCAAATGCGAGGTCTGCGGTCTGGCCTTTGCCAAGGGTAAGGCTGCTGCACGCGAGTTACGGTTGTAGTTAGAAAATTCTCGGTAACATAAAATTCGACAAGGTAACCGAGCAAACGTACCATAAGTTACCGAGAATATCTAGAATTTATGAGAACGTCATTATTATTTTTTTTACAATTTTTTTTTATACTTCAGGGTTTCTTCGTTTAAGAGGACGCGAAAGTGGAGCATGAAAGAGGCCTCGTTTTTATGAAACTTTTCTCGATGTACCGAATCGTATCAGACTTTACAGGGTGAGTATGGGGGCTATAAGGAAGGTCTTGAAATCCGTAAAATTTCAATTTTTATACAAAATAAAATTTCATGAGGGTCAGGACCTTCTTTATGGCCTCCAGGTGTACGTTGTAAAGTTTGAAACGATTCGGTATAGCTCAGGTCGTAGAAAAGTTTCACGAACGGTTGACTCTTTAGACGCCACTTTCACATCCCCGTAATAGTGGCATAAATTGTAGCGAATGCGCTGATAAAGCATCACCTGGGCTCCGATTTCCAGCGGCCTACCTGAAGAACCACGGGCGCGTCCACACGGGCGAGAAGCCCTTCAAGTGCAGCGTCTGCGGTATGCAGTTCTCGCAGAGCCCCCACCTGAAGAACCACGAGCGGATCCACTCCGGGGAGCGGCCGTACCAGTGCGAGGTCTGCGAGAAGACCTTCGCGAGGCACTCCACCCTCTGGAACCACCGGAGGATCCACACCGGGGAAAAGCCCTACCGCTGCAACATCTGCGGATCCGCGTTCAACCAGGCGACCCACCTCAAGAACCACGCCAAGGTGCACACCGGGGAAAAGCCTCACAGGTCGGTAGTATCCTGGATAATTTATTCATCGGTTATATCCTCGGTTTTGTTATCGAGGTAATATAAAGCATTGGAAGCTTAATTAAAAATCGGCATTTTAAACCACAGATGCGACATCTGCGAGATCGGCTTCTCGGACCGGTTCGCCCTGAAGCGCCACCGCGCCATCCACGAGAAGTACGGGCAGACGGCGCGAAGTCAGAACGCCAACAGCGCTAGTAACGCTCAACAAGCGAACACGAGTAACCAGCAGCAGCAGCAACAGCAGCAGCAACAACAGCAGCAGCAGCAGCAGCAACAGCAGCAGCAGCAGCAGCAACAGCAACAACAGCAGCAGCAGCAGCAGCAGCCCCCACAACCGCAGCAAGCGCAACAAGTGGTCGTCGTGAACGCAACGACCCCGGTTACCGTTAGCCAGGGTCAGGGTCAGGCGGTGATGCTCGAAGAGGTCTACAAATGCCAGGTGGCCTTCCCCGAGCCCAAATGATTCGGCTAAGGGGACGCTCGCGCATCTCGCCACTCGGTTGCGATTCGACTTTCTACGATTTACTTTCGATTCGGCGATAAGGAACCGCGGCCTGGCAGACCCTCTTCCCCTGGACGCCGTGGACCCCCCAGGGAGGGATACCTGTTGGTCTTCTTCCTCTTCAAGGTGCTCTTCGCGTTCCTGAGGTTTGAGGAGACGCTCGCGGATGAGGCGCCTGGAGGTTGCTCGACTCGTTTGCGAGGGTCTCCCCGGGTTGATGGAATGTGAGAACCTCCTCTTCGAGGTCTCCGGAGGAAGGACCTTGGGAAAGGAAGATTCTTCCTCGTGCTTCCTTTTTTTTTTCCTCGCTTCGCCTCGTCGACCGAAGTCTACGAGGGCCGGTGCACGCATTTCGGGTACTTGGGGGCTTGATCATTCGCAGACCGGGGAACGTGTCCTCGCGTTGTATCCGTTCCTTCGTAGGGATCGTTCGTTCTACAAAAGACGGTGCAATATTTTTTAATCGAGAACGAACGGTCGACCTGGACGGAGGCCTTGAAGAGCTCTTCGTCTGCGTGGTCGCGCTTCTGATGGAGATAACGAAGGTGGAGAAGAGGACGTTCCTGGGGTCCATCTTTTCCGTCCGGTCGTCACGTGGAACGCCGATTTTGACGCCGGTGCAGCGGGCCGATGCGTCGACGGTGGCGCCGCGAGTACTCGAAGAAGGGAACTAAACGGAGGAAGAAGGCCGGGAATATCGACGGGCAGACTAATCTGTTTTATAATTTTAAGCTCGAACCTTATGAGAGTATCAGTTACTATATCTAGGCGATAGTTTGTAACGGCGTTAGCTGACTAGGTCGTAACGTGTATACATTAATTTTTATATCTCTCCCACTTGTTAGATGTGTGACGACGCACCGATTGAAGCGCCGCGCGAAATCGGCTCTCGGCGTTTTGACGAAAGAAAGAAGAAAAAGGGGCGCAGGTCCGATCGGGAAACCCTTGAAATATCGTCACGTGGAAAAAGAAAACGAAAAGATGTCATCGAACCTATGGAAATGTTTCTTTGAACGGTGCCTAAGGAGTATTTCCTTAATTCCAGGATCCGATTATCCAATTTATTCGAGTTTGAGTGAAATAATTGTTAATTGAATTTAGGAAATGTTTCTTTGGTACCGTTCGATGAGATATTGGTTTAGTGACATTTTTTTTTTTATCTCGCATGCGATCTGCTGCGGGATTCTCTCCGTCTGCGGCCGTGATGCGGATGCGCGATTTCCTCCAGGCGAAGGGAACGAATTGATTTTCTTCCGACAATCCGGGACCCTCTGGGAGTTAATTATGTCGCGTTGAATTTTGTTTTTGACGCTTGGATGTGCTTTGGAAGAAAAAAAAATAGCTTTGTGGCACCTGAGGGATCCATCGTTCGTGAAACTTTTCCCCCGAACTGGGTGCACCGATTCGTTTCAAACTTTACTACGTGAACGTGGTGGCTGTGAGGAAGGTCCCGAGAGACCCGTGAAATGTTCATACTTTGGCGAAAAATATCTGAAAATGTTCCCGTTTCTCCGTATTATCATCGATCGCTCTTCTTTCCCGTTTTTCATCTCCGACTCCATTTTTCTTTGAGCCCTTTCCTTGGAACTTCTCGGTGGCGTTGTGGAGGCCTGTTCGTCGTTTCGTTCCGCCACCCCGGGTGTAACCCTGTAAAATAGATGCGCGCGATTACGTTTAATTCTTACGTTTACGTGGTCATAATACCTGCTACAGTATTTCGGATTAGATTAGAAACCTCTGTCGGCGTCCATTGACCGTGGGTCGTTGCGTTTATTCACCGGCGATACGATTTCCCTTTAGATGGCTGTCACGCGTTACGATAAATCGCTGCGATTTGTAACCCGCCCTCTCGAGTCCTATGGCGTCCTGTTAAGTCTGTACAGATTTATAGAGCGATTTTTCTTGATATCGCTACACGCGTTACGATAAATCGCTGCGATTTGTGATCCGTCGTGTCTGGTTCCATGGCGTCCCGTTGAATCTGTACAGATTTATTGTGCGATTTATCGCGACGATTTAGTAAGCGATTTAGTGAGCTTCCCGAAAGCCGCGACATATTTTTCAACGATGTGGTAGAAAATTCGCGAAAACGCGAGAGTTTATGCAAATTCGTTCCAGTTCCATGGGACGGGTATTTTCTTTTCGACCTTTCGAAATCGGCAGAAGAGGAGGAATGGGAAATAAATGGAAAACTTGCTCCGACAATGCTTAGTCCGGTAAATCTCGGATTTTCGTATCCTTAGTCGCTCCTGAAAATGTCGTAAAGAGAGGAAATAAAAGCCGGGGGAAATCCGCGAAGTCCTTGGTCCTTCTCACGAGCACGTCGAAGCTTTTACATGTATACATAGTGTACCTACGTTAAGGGATGTTTATAATTTCTCCTTTCACTTCGTTCCCTTCTTTATTTCCTTTCCGTCTTCGGACGCGAAGCAGCGAATGCGTGGAAAGTGAGAGAAACTCGAGAAAGTGATATAACTGCGTGCGAGAATGCGTATAAATAATTGAATTATCGGTCGATCAGTTATAATTGTAAGTAAGCCCGTAAAGAGAATGAATTACCAGAGGCAAAAGCTCGGAACGTCGAATTTTATATATGAAAACGTCGCGACCGCATAGAATCGATTTTCCAGATTTTAAATACGAACAATAAGGGGAGAATGAACCCGCCGTAAAACTCGTCCCTCGATGATTCAAGATTTTTTCTACCTGGTTTGTAAGAAATGACGAATAGGGTATATATGTATACATAAATATGTGTATAACAAGAGCACGCCTGCGATCGTCGGTTTTTCTATCGTCTCAACAGGGCCTTGTAAGAATCACAAGCGATTTTCAGTATGTAAAAGAGGTTCGTAAGGGATAGGAACATGTACATATGGAATGAACGTCAAACTAATAAACTGCTCTTTCATAGTGTAACACTTTCGATGGAGGATCGACCGTTTTCTATTTAAGTATTTTACGTGGATTTTACGTAAAATGCTTCTCTCAAGTATTGGAAATTGTTGAATCGCATTTGAGTTTCGCGCCGCGTTCGATCGATCGAAGTTTTCAAAATGGCGGCGATCGCAGTGTCTCCTCGCAAGATGGTGGCTGGGACTGCCCGCCCAACATGGCGGCGATAGAAATGTAAGTCTCTTTGTTACACTTTGTTATTTGATGATTGCGTCATAACAAGGATGGACGAGCTGAAAATTACTGTAAAATGGAGCGGAAAGGAGTACGAGATACCCGACATTCGCGAGAGCGACACCGTCTTGGCCTTGAAGGACCGCATCCACGGCGAGACGGGAGTCAGACCGGAACGTCAAAAGCTGCTGAACCTCAAATTTAAAGGTTATGTTTTGACGTCGTTTGGAGTACTTGGCCTTTAAAAAGTTGCCCAGAGAATGCAACGTTGCATGTCCTCACATTTTATCCGTAAAGCTAATTGATTTTCTCGTGACGTCTTCGAGTTTGACTAGAGAGTTTGTTTAAAAAGTAGATGGAATGTAATCGTCACTATCCAGTATTTTTAAATTATGTAAAGTTTATGGATTTGGTTTAATGTATGTCGAGGCAATCGCGTGAAGGTACTTACGGTTGCATGTTGAATGTTTGTAGGTAAGGCAGCCGAGGATGGGGACACGATGGAGAAGATCGGGATGAAGTCGGGTTTTAAACTTATGCTTATGGGATCGAGGGAAGAAGACATCGCAGAAGTGAGCCAGGCACCCGAAGACATGCCTGATGTCGTGAATGATCTTGACATCGAAGAGGAGGAAGTGGAGATCGAGAAGGCCGAGGTTTATTTGTCGAAGATCGAGAAGAGGATTCAGCATTATACGATCAATGAATTGAATCCTTTGAGGGAAGGAAAAAAGTTGTTGGTGCTCGACATCGATTACACCCTGTTCGATCACAGATCGGTCGCAGAGTGTGGAGTGGAATTGATGCGACCGTACTTACATGAATTCTTGACGCAAGCTTATAAAGATTACGACATTGTCATTTGGTCCGCAACCAGCATGAAGTGGATTAACGAAAAAATGAAACTGTTAGGGGTTTCCAATCATCCGAACTACAAGATTGCATTCCACCTTGACTCTCTCGCTATGATCTCTGTTCACACACCGAAGTACGGTGTGGTGGATGTCAAACCTCTAGGCATTATCTGGGGAAAGTACAAGCAGTTTTCTGCGAAGAATACCATAATGTTTGACGACATTAAGAGAAACTTCATTATGAACCCACAATCTGGACTACGAATAAGACCTTTCAAGCAGGCTCACTTGAACAGGGACAAGGACAGGGAATTATTAAAATTGTCTAAATACTTGGAACTGATCGCCAAAGTCGATGACTTTCAGACCTTGAACCACAAGAAATGGAAAGAGTACAAAGTCAAGAAGAACAGAAACGAGAGAAGAAACGAAAGTCACGACGATCGAAGCACATAGTCAAGCACGTAACTCGGCTTATTGTTGAACGAACTGCGTGTATAAAATTTCCACCTTGGTGTGCAATATTCAGCAATATGACTTTTCAATTCTTGACTCTTAGATGGACTGAGGCGCAGCATTTGAGAGGTGGAAAAATGCCAATTTTAATAATACGTTAATCGAGGAAGTATTGCCCAAATATCGCAACTTGAGTGATTTACTCCGCAATTGAAGGACTGTCGAAAAAGCGTATGTCAAGCATCCGTTCGTCATGGCATGAAGAATAGTCTAGAAATTTTTTATCCATCATAACCCTTGTGTTGATATTACAATACTTCGGTTCGGCAAGTATTTATTGGTTGAATTAATGTACACGAAGAGTATCTATTGTAAACCCATTTTACAATAGCTTCCAGACAAACTGTACCCACCGGAGTAGTAGGGGCATGAAGTATTAACGTATGCACGACGTGTACTTGCGCGTACTTCCGTACAATACTCTTTTCGGCGTACTTACATGTTGTGTAAAAATGTACAATAAGCTACCCGACTGTTTAGGAATAAAATTTTCATACCGCAGAGCTTTCCAGTGCCATCGGGATCCAGCTTCCCTCGTGCTTGGACGACTCGCTTCTTGTAAGTCATTGTAAGTTTGATTTATTCCTTGAGTAACATAATTTGTATCGATGGCAATTCAAATATAACAGTATTTGTTAGCCTTTGCATTAATCTCGTGATTACGTGAAATGTAGAAATTACGCTCGATTCTAACCTCGAGATGTTCGAATTGCGCGGTAATGGCCGGGGAGTATCGATTAGTCGAAGCGATCGAATTGCGAATTAAAAATGGCGGCTGAGCTAACCTAACCCGGTAGATGGGCGGGCGATAGACAGTCAAAATGGCGATACGTTAGTCGTTGACGTGCATTGTCGGAAAACGTCACGCATGCTACGGATAAGGATTCGCGAGGGAATCCTAACCAGGTACGGCGACGCGATTCGAAGGAGCCCTCGAAAATGGAGCTTTTCCGCACCGACACGCACTACATCTTCGTCAAGGAGAGACACAGCCTCTGGTGCGATAAATACACTGGAGAGTTCTCCGCCAAATCAGGTAGACACCTTTCATCTGTCTCGAATTAACACAACAAAGCGAGAACGTACGATTGATTTTCAAAGAATCGCTCATAAAGTAATTTCTATTTTCCGATCAAACCTTGATCCACCGATAACTGTGTTAAATAATTTATCAGTGGGCGTATTCAGAGCTTCGATGCTATTTCCTGCTTTGATGGATCTCAGAGTGAAATATTAATTAGGCTCGAGCATGATGAATGTCAATCGAATGACTCCAACTTGCATGGAGCTGCATCGCTATTGAATTGTGCCGGTGTATGTTATCTTGATTTTTATTATTGTTTACCTGAAACGAGCCTCTTTTGCAGATTGGGAGTGGGCGTCTGCGAATGACTTAGAATGTCTGGGAATGTTCCATGGGATCGTCGGGAAGATCGAGCAGTCGTCGGTACTCGAGCCACGCCTGATGCTCATAAAGGAAATCAGCAAAGTCGGTGAACTACATGGAGGACGAGTGGTCTATAAGATCAAGTCTATAGCGTTTTTACATTTGGGTGTAGAAAACACTGATGTATCGCTGCTGCCTTGCAAGAAACATCAGCATGCTCCAAAGAAGAAGAGCCAAAGCGGGCTGTTTGACATTCCTCAGAAGGCAACCCTTGCTAAAACTTGGGGCACCATTAAAAGCGCCACTAATACGATAAAGAATACAACGCAGCAAGCTGCGGCACTCGCCACGTCTCAGGTAGTCAATTCAGGAGTTATTAATCATATATATTAAGGTGTATTTCTTGTGTACTTAAATCATTGACATCAATCAGGTAAAATCAACAGTGACGAAGAAGATTGGAAGCAAAGACCGTGAGCGATTCGAGAAGCGCATCTTGGAGGAGCTGTCAAAAATCTTCACAGAAACAGACTCCTTCTTTTTCTGTCAAACCGGGGACATAACGAACACTTTACAAAGGCAAAGCAACAGCGAAGCGCAACGAGGGAAGGGCGACGAGAACATCCCCTTGTGGCAGAAAGTCGACGACCGATTTTTTTGGAACAAGCACATGATTCAGGATATCATTAATTTAAAGGTAAGGAAGCCAGTTTAAGTTCCCCAGAAAAAAATACATTTATCCATCACGTGAAACGCATTCGATGCAGCGGAGCTATCCGATCGGTTTCTTTTCTCAGACAAAGAAGGCGGACTGTTGGATATTACCTATTATTCAAGGCTTCGTACAAATCGAGAGCTGCAAAGTCGAGGTAGGCTATGACGGACAACCTCAGTACGAGACGTTCAATTTGGCGATCGTTTCGAGACGCAGCAGGTTCCGGGCTGGGACCAGGTAAGGCTTGCCAAATACTGTCAGTTATTCTTAGATTCGTGTAATCGTCAGACTATCGCATCCAAAATCGAACGTTTCTTGTCCATTTTCAAGGTACAAGAGGCGGGGCGTCGACGAAAATGGAAAGTGCGCGAATTATGTCGAGACCGAACAGTTGGTCTGGTACCACGATCACCAAGTGTCATTCGTGCAAGTGCGAGGAAGTGTCCCGGTGTATTGGTCGCAGCCTGGCTACAAGTACAAACCCCCGCCACGCATCGACAGAGGTATTGAAAAATATCTCACCGCATGGATATCTCATCTTAAGTGCTTTAACATATTTTAACATCCTAAGACGAGGCGGAAACTCAAGTGGCCTTCGAGAAACACTTTGAGGAGGAGCTCGCATGCTACGGGCCCATCTGCATCGTGAACCTTGTCGAGCAAGCAGGGAAAGAAAAAATAATCTGGGAAGCTTACAGCAATCATGTACTGGTTTATGATCACCCTGACATTACCTATGCCACGTTCGACTTCCACGAGTACTGGTAAGACTTTTTGCTGGAAATCAAGCGACAAGTTTAAGATTATGTGACAGTGACTTTTATTAAGGTTAAGTGAATTTTAATATGAAATTTGATGGGCCTCGGAACCTTGTTCAGAGTCTCAAACGATTCTGGTCCACCCGGTTAGGGGAAAATCTTCGTAAATAATTCGATGCTCTACAGGTCACTTTCACTTGTAAATTTATATTTTTATGCAGTTATTGTTCGAAATTGTAATATTGTCTATTCTACAGTCGCGGCATGCACTTCGAGAACGTGTCGATCCTGGTGAGCGCCCTCGCCCAGACGTTAACCGACATGGGATATTGTTGGCGCGATAAACAAGGGACAATCTGCACGCAAAAAGGCGTCTTCAGGGTGAACTGCATCGACTGTCTGGACAGAACGAACGTCATCCAAACCGCGCTGGGAAAAGCCGTGATGGAGATGCAGTTTTCGAAGCTGGGACTCATTCCGCCTGACGGAAACCTACCCACGAACATCCGACAGACATTCCAGCTTCTCTGGGCTAACAATGGCGACATCATCAGCAAACAGTACGCCGGGACGAATGCCTTGAAGGTTTGCATTCTCTCCTCTAAAGGTGGCTGCAAACGTAATGATAAATCGTAGCGATTCTATATACATATAAATTCTTACGACGTGGTCCTTCCCCGAGGTTGTTCCGTTTCCTGGCGAGTAATCTCCGAATGTTTCCACGGAATTCCAGGGGGATTACACGAGAACCGGCGAGCGGAAATTCACGGGGCTGATGAAGGACGGCATGAACTCTGCTAACCGGTACGTGCCAGGAAGCAAAGGGAGAGCAGAGGAAAAGAATTCGGAAGTTTCCATAGGAAGCTCAGAAGAACACGCACGTTTGATGCTCGATAGTTATAAATTACAATTTTTAATCATACGATTTATAAACGTACATTTTTTTCTTTCACTCGCGCTTCCGGTCTATCAGCAAAATTTCAGAGCATGAAATTTAGGGCCTGGACTTCCATGGAAAATCCGAAATTCTTCGGCAGAAGCGAGCTAGGATTCTCTAGGAATCGAAATTAGGAGTAACTAGACGTAGGGACCGCTTTTCCCGTTTTCGGTGCTTCCTCTATTCGTCGTTCGTCGTCGACGAGAGTCAGAGCCTCGTTCGGCGGTCTCGCTCTAGGATTTCGGGCTTTCCTGATGCTTTTATATACCCGTCTTCTCGTAGATATTACCGGCAACACTTTTTGGACGACTTGCGCCAGGCGGCGGTAGACATCTTGCTAGGGAACCCGATCAGCGTCGACCAGCTGAACGGCGATTATTGGTCACACCGATTACAAGTCATTGACAATTGCTGTCTCGAACTCATTCCCACGAAACCGCCCGACATTCAGCTCCAACTCGCCACGCATCCAGATTTCCTTTTTGCCAATGCCGTGTATCATTTAGCGAGGTTCGTCCTTTGCATCTTTCGCTGTTTTCTTTCACTTTTTATTTATTTTTCTCGCCTGGACAAATGAGCGATTTTTTTTTTTCTCCTTAACTCGCTTCTGCTGGGAAGATCCCTGCATGGTCTGTGATTTTCTGATTTGGTATTTAGTCTTCCCCTATGCTATTGCATGTCGCCTGTTAAAGGTAATTAGTATCGGTGATTTTAGTCATCGTTCTTCAGGGGGTGATTGATTTTACAGGTACTACCTGAATCGCTTCAAGGATGTCTATAGACAGGCCAGTATCGACATGATGCTGGGCGACACCGTCTCCGAGGAGGAGTTTCAGGAACGAACGGAAGAGGAAGACAATGCCTCGACGGCCGTTCACGTGAAGCTGCTGATCGAGGATTGCAAGAAACTCTTGATACCAGACCCTGAAGGGATACTTGGGAGCTGGGGACTGATCGACGCCGACCCTGTGTACGTGTTATCGTGTTAATTGTTTTACTCCATCGCGTGTAAAAAAAAAAAATTATAAGCCGTTTTTAAACAGAACCGGGGACCCAACCGAGACGGAGATGGACACGATTTTAATCTTGACGAGGGACAGTTATTACGTGGCGGATTACGACGACCAGATCGACAAGGTGACCAACTACCAGAGGGTCGCTCTCCAGGACATCGTCCTCATCGAGTTCGGCCAACCCGAGAGCACCGTCTCCCTCTTCAAGAATAAACATCACTACTGCGTCAGGATCAACTATAAGATGCGCGGGGAATACGGCTTCTTCCACATGTTCCGCAGCACGAATTTGCGCTTCTTCAACAACATGGCGGTTGTCATTAAAACGGAGGAGGAGGCTATAGGTGGGTGAACTATTGGCCTAGGATTTAAATTGGGAATTTAAGTAATTTAGGTATTTAAAAAAGAAAAGGAAACAATTGTGATTTTTATCAACCCTGAGAGAGACCCTGAAGAGCGACTTTTCCACGTTTCCTTAACTTTCAGAGTCCCTGAAGGCCATCTGCGAGGCGATCACCGTGGCGATGGAGATTGGGAACCTGCCGAAGGTGCCTGTGGCGATGAACGTGACCCTGGACAAACGAAAGAGCAAGATTGTCAATGTGAAAGGGTCAACGGGATTGCTGGACATCTCGTCTCTTCCGGAGCTCACGAGGAACGTCTCCGAGACCCAGCTGCTCGCCCTGAAGAGCGCGGGTTAGCAACTCTTATCTAGTTGTTACATTAACTTTCGTACGAACAGGATTACAAAATCAGGACCTGCCTCGAACAATGTAGGATATTATGAAACTGGAATCTTACGGAGTCAGGTGGGAAAAATATTAAATTTCTCAGCGCCTTTCGTATCACCTCGTTGCGTTTGATATACTTAATTAGCATGGCTTGAAATTGGAAAATGAGCTCGATTGAGCTGATCGAAGCGTAAAAAAAAATAATTCGACAAATCGGTAGATCTGGTTTCGATTTTTAATTATCACTTGCAGGCACGAAGGCGCTGAGCAACATGTCGGAGCAATTCAGCAAGCTGAACAAGCTCAGTCACAGTTTCGGGGCGAAGAGGCCAACGGAGTCGTCGAAGGGGATCAAAAAGTCATCGAAGCCGATCTTCACGGTGGGGGACCGCGACCTGGAGGGAAACTCGAAGAGCACGAACGGCAGCAACAGCAGCGACGAAGAGACTCAACAGACAAAAGGGGAGATCATAGCAGAGATGCCAACAATCCAGCTTGGTAAGCCAGAAAATTTCAGCCACGATGAGAACCTCCTGGAAGGGTACACGCCGTCGATCGGGATCATCATGGGAGTGAACAGCAGCACCCTGACGAACGTGGAGGACCAGGCTCGGCAGAAGTCTGAAGATGCTGCGAAACAGAGCGGAGAGGTCGTGAATCTGATGCCGGTTTCTAAATCCGCGACGGGAGCACTCTGTACATCCGAGAAGAACTCCACAACGCCTCCGGAGATCACCGTCCAGGGAGCTGGGGACGTCCCCGAAGACAAGGAGTGGTCCTCGCCGCCGACGACGTTGAACTTGCCGAAGAACATCAGCCACTCCTCCGGGGAGGTGGACGATCGTCTGGTGACGGACGACGCGACGGGAAGTACCCTGAAGACGGAGAACAATACCCTGGGCGAGAAGAAGAGGTCCAACTCGGAGAGGGACTTATCCCTGGGGATTACGTCCTCCAGGAGCGAGTCGGCCCTGAAGACGGCCAGGGCGAGCATCGTCGGCGCGACGAGTCCTGTCGCGGCCACCGCTAAGGATATCCTCTCGCCGTTTTCGAAATTCGCCAAGGGCGTGCAGAACCTAGGGGCCAATCTGGACCCCAGGAAGCTGAAGTCTGGTCAGGCTGGCCTGGCCAGGAATCTGTCGGATCATCACCTGGAAGAGAGGCACAGGCTCCAGGAGAGATGGAGCAAGTGCAGGTCCAAGCTTATAGCTCTGTAAACGTTTGTCAGGATTCTTGGCCAGGAATGTCGGAGACGTGGGGATTCTAAGGGACGGGAAGAGAGGCTGAGGTTCCAGGAGAGGTGGAGCAGGTGCAGGTCGAGGTTGATTGCTCTGTAAGTGTTCGGATTCCTGGCCAAAGAATCTGATGAACACACGAAGAGAAGTAGAACATCTGCAGGCCAAAGTTAACGATTGTCCGGATTCGTTGCTGGTTTGCCGTAGTTCCTTTAACTTAAAATTTCGGCCGGTTAAGCGATGCTACAAAGGAAAGGGAGAATGAATTTTAACGAATCGAGATCCAACGCCGCTTATGTGTTTTTAGGAATTGACGTAGATTTAACGAAAACTCATTTTACCGAGATCGTTACCTTGCCAGCGATTTGTACGTAAATGCGGCTTCGTCGTGCGTCGAATTTTATATGTTCGGGAGTCGATGTCTATTTAGTTGCAGAAATCGTTAGATGCTCCCCATTGTCTCCCCGAAGACGATTGTAGAGCCGTTTTAATAACAGTATTCTAGTAAATGTAGTAACGGGCGAAAGAGTGATAACGTAAACACTGATAAGTCTGCTAGGGACTTGAAATTCTAACCTCGTTCCTAAACCAGAGATTAATCAATGACAATGAATTTTGCAATGAACTCCTCTCGAGTCCTGAAAGAAAGTCTTGCCTCGAAGTACAACTCGGTCAATATTTTCAAGTAGCGCTTCTTTTTGTTCAGTATTTTTTTTTTTTTCAGAGAGGTTTTCTATCACCTTTTTAAATTCACGCGAGAGCACTCGCGTTTGAGAGAATTTATTCAATTGAGCGTATATATTCTGATACGTATAAAATGTGCAGTCGTCACCATCGTGAGACGTGTACTTTTTGAGAGTTCCGATCAGTACAAAATTTTTGCCTGGTTGTTCAGTGTTTTATAAAAAACGATCGTGCGAATCCCGGATTTTATTCTGGATTTTATTCTGGATAGAGGTGTTTTTACATTTACATTTCTTTTGGAAAAGGCAGACGCCACTTGCTGTCAAAGGCACCAGATGTCCAAGAATGAAGCTTTTTAGTCAATTATGTAAATACCAATGATTACTTAAATATAGCGCGACAGTAAAGTATTACAATTAGTGCGTAAGGAGAAACGAAAAGAGGAAAAAATAGGAGGAAGCACCAGTTACCACTGTACTCGCAGAGACCTTTGATAGATTAGGTTATAAAGGGTTGACGTTTCGATTGTTCTGCTGTTTTAATTGTACATACATACTAGCTGAGTTAGCAGGTCTTACGTTGCAGTCACGTGTAATGAGCATTTATTCAGACGTCTATACGTTTTATTTAGGTTATAATTATATAGACACATTGCCGTTGGTTCGTTGAGTCTTCGTGTAGTTTCAGCCAGGACGTAGGTTAATTCTTGAGATTATTTATTGTCATTACATTTCCTGATGTTAGTTTTATTCTGGATAATGGAACTAGGTGAACGACGTAATTTATATCCACCTTAGGAACACCAATAACTTATTGCGTACATTTAGCAAAATTTTAGTCCAGTAAGGTTAAATAGATCGTAATTTCATATGCTCCGAGAACATTGAACAGCGTTCCCTTATACGTGTCGTATGCGTATATTAATAGAGAAACCGAGAAAAGTGCTACGTTATTTAATAACGATACTCCGAGACGAGTTTAGGGAGGTACTGGCATTCGTCAAGGCTTTACATTGCCGGATCCGAAACAAACTTTGCAGCGCTCACCTGATTTCAATTGTTACTCTCCATTGTCCAACTTGTATATAAATGTTTACAGGAATATGTAAAATTTATGTACATACGATTCTTTGTGCAACCGCCACGAGCCCTAGACTGTGATAGACAACTGCCAGACATATGTAGAAGGGTTAAACACATTTAATTTAATCACGGAGACAATTGGTTTAAGATTAATTAAATTGTTTAATCTTGTTTCTTCGCAGAATGGAGTGAGAAATAAAACGGCGCTTAAAGTGGAGAAACTTTGCGGGGAAAGTATTAAGATCGACGCGTAAACACGCCGAGAATGGGTCGACATAAAGTATTGTACTCGTTGTTCATTTAAGAGTCATTTTAATGTACCTGTTAATATATTGTATGTCGGATCGAGCAGAACTCTAGGCAATGTAAGGTTGAGCCTAGGTACAGTATTATCCGCATAAAGTACGTATATTACATGCCGCCTGCGAGTCAAAAAGCTGATATATAAAGTTAGTTAAATACTAGCCTACCGAGGGCTTGAAATGCCTTAAATGCGTGTAAACATGTCTTAAAAAAATTAGCCACACATAGAAAAACGTTACTTTGCGGAGATGTAAGCAACACGTGTAGAAAGAGAACAATAAAGTGCACTGCAGTGGCACTTGACGATTTACTGCTGGATCCATCTGGATATGAGCTTCCACGCCCCACCGCTAAATTGTATAAACACCACCTTACCGACATGTATTTCAAATAAAAAGTACCAAATTTACCACCCCTACAACAAAAGTCTATTTTTTTAACCCTTCGAAAATACCTTCAAATATAACTACAAATTATTATAATGATAAATACGTGGAAAGTATCGAGATACGGACCTGCTCATCTCTGCGAGATACAAGTACGCCGTGACCCGCCAACGGCGACTGATAGATGCACCGCCATTGACCGCCATCGCGAGTGCGCGAACCCCTACGATAAATTCGTTGCGCCGCCCTTGGGGGCAAAAAACGGTGAAAGCTAACGTACGAAACCAGAGGGCAGCACAGGATGCGATGCGCGACCCTGCCCGTGAGCAATCTCCCAACTCATCTCTGCTCGGGAGTGCCCGAGCGAGGTTTCGAAAATGGTCGCCAGGGCGCGGCGCAGTCGCGCGCTCCCGCTCGCGGCCGAGCCACGCAATATGTCGGCCAGTAAGCGTTCGGCGTGAGGAGACGGCGCGTCGGTTTTTCGGGGTTTTCTAAGTGAGGTCAGGGAGCGGCGTCGGACGGCCGGTGCGGGATCGCGAGTTCCTCGAGGATATGACCGTCTGACTCGGTGCGCCCCGTCAGCCAGGACCACGGAAGCTGCTCGAGAAAATGGGTGAGTCGACTCGCGAACGCCGCCGGCGCGGCCGAGGGTCGCGTTACGACCCTTCCGCGACACACTGCCCGACTGCGGACACGCCCGCGCCCTTTTCGCCCCGTTTCGCCCGTCTTTGCCCATTCTTCCCCGTTTTCGCCTCGATTTTATCGGGGATGAGCCGAGCCCTCGAATTCCTCCGTTCCGAGGAACGGCGGGCCGATGTTTTCGAGGAAGAACTTATCCGCAGGCGTCCGCTATAATTAGGCGGATCCGCGCGCGGTTTGACGTTTTCTGGGCCGGTTTTTCATGCTCGTTTTTCCCAACGGGGAACGGCGGTCGCGTTATTTGAGCGTGACCCGCATTCTGAGCCAACCTGAAGAACCAGAGTCGGTTAACCCTCTTGTTCCTCGCACATGAACTCAGGATCCATGACTTTGCTCGTTTACACCGAATATAGCCGGCTCGAGGATTTAGAAGCCTTAACAGGGTGCCGGTTAAAGTCGGCGGGGGGATTCTCCGCAATTTTATTAAAGGGGAACCGCTGTACAGCTTTTTGAACGTGACCTGCATTTTGAGATCGGGGAACGGACCTGAGCCGATTAACAATTTTCAATCGGTGTGCCTTTAGAATCGAGGGTTCATGTTGAGTTTGTTGAATTCTTGTTCCTTGACGTTAAGTCTACATTTTTTATTTGTTTCGTTTCATTCTTTATTGAGAATGATCATTAACCTTCATTGAGTGTAAATGTTGAATGGCATGTATCAATTGTAATCACAGTGAGTCTTGAATTATTTATCTTCATTGAAGAATTCCTTACGGTTTTCAGATGCACCCTCTTTGGTGCTCTCTTAGCGTCGCTCTAGTAAATTAATTCGGTACTTCTTGTTATCTGCCTAATGCACTTTGGCACACGGTATCGGAGAGTGCCGTTAGCTTCAGAAGAGAGGATGGTGAATTCTTTTGGTCTCTCCGCAGCTTGTCCACACCTAATTAGAACTCTCGCCTACTCGGGTGGACAAATTAGACGCATTTGTAAAAGTCTGCCCTTTGAATCACTCGTGTATTCTTAGACACTCGACGTTCGATAAGACAAGGAGAGAGATGGAGGGCCTTTGTAGATAAGAAGACAACGCCAGTCCAGATATCTTGGAGAGAACGATTTCCTGGCATCGGTTCCAATTAAGTCAAGCCAAGCTTCCTCGACGCTTCTGGCCACGAATGACAATTTCTCGTCACAAGTCGTCGACTGCTTAAGGAGGGCCTTCGGGTGCCGTTAACCTGGAGAACGAAAGGTTATACAGTTCACGGGATTGTGTCATCGCGTCTTACAAGATTGGAATATGCAACAATATGTAACGGGGTGTAGTAATGTGGAATAATATGTAATAACGTGTAACGCGATACGTCGGAGGTTATGTCACCGGTCCACCCGCGCCCCGTGCTATAATCCATTCCTCGTTGCACTTGCGCGTCGGCGCGCATTATATTATGTAACGAGCGGTGCACGAACGTGCTCGATGAATAATACTCTCGTCTGGCCATTGTCGGACTTAAATGGGATGCGATCGACGAGTCGCCCCGCGAGATCGCGCGCGCGTGCAGCCGACCCATTGTCGCGTCGCGAATCGCGCGCGACAATTTAACCCTTTCCCATTGCCCGGTAAAAAATGCGATCGTGAGCTTACATACAAGATTGAACCATCATCTTGATATCCCTATGAAGACTAACAAGCATTCCTCCTTTCTCCTTCCCTCGGATTTTGCAAAACAGCTACGCAATCCAAAATGGCGGCGGGCTTCCCTCGGCAAGAGAAAAAGGAAGGAAAAAAATCCCCCCTTTTATTCTCGCCAATTCTCCAGAATATCAGAAGTGGGGGACAGGGTTGAACAGTTACGCGTAATTCCAGTTTTCTTTTTTTTTTTTTTTGCGTAAAATACAAAGCACGTAAATGCAAGTGAAATACCTAATCACCCGACAAAGATGGCGGGACTGTACTCACTTTTTCAAAGCGGTCAAAGGTATACACCACTTCTGGAACTGCGGAAACAAAGTCCCACGTTCGTGTAATTTACTTTACGCGGTGAAATTTTTAAAATAAAATACCTAAGAATTTACTGTAGAAAATAAAAAGAACTACGGAGGTTACGTGGAGGATTTTGCTTAACCGTGGTCCGTGGGCTTGCCTCTTTCCCATGGGTCCGTGGGGTCGGCCAATCAGAGAGCAGCCGATTTATGAGCCGGCCAATCAGCGACGCCGGTTGCTCCGCCATTTTGGATTCGCCGAATCACGAGTTTTCTCGACCGAGGGTATACGGAAAAGCGGCGGAATTTCTCAGCTCTGGACAAATTCGCCCGGTGTGTCGGTCGATATTGATTTTCCGCCCCCCCCCCCTCGCCCCTCCTTGGGCGAGTCCCTAGAAAAGTCATTGCCTTTATCGCCCTCGATGCCCTTTCGCCGAGCTGCAATTGCATCGGCTTCCTCTATCGCTCTCTCTCCCTCTCTTCCGCTTATATACGTTCTCGTACTTAGAATTTTTATTTTACGAGTTTTATATCACACTGGGAATATAACCGAGAGTATAACCAGTGAATAAATTCTCTGCGAATTTATGAGAACTGCATGTTTTTTTTTTTTAGGAACGCTTTCATTTTATCATTGCTTTCTCGTTATATGTTTCTTTGAGTTCTTCGCTCGAATTTCGCGCCGATAACCCGAGAACGCGTTGCATGTTTAACTTCTTGTCCATGTAGACAAAATATTTCTCATTTTCTCCTTCGCCACTCCTCCATACGTCCACGAACTCGTTATATATTTCATTCTCTGTCACTCCTTAAATTATTCCTCCTCCACTTTCGACAGTTGATCAAACAATGGCCATTCTTCGGGCTCGCATTTCCCTCCCTCATATCGCGACATTTGTTTCTTTTCTCCTTTTTTTTTCTATATATATATTTTTTTTTAACAGAGATAAGAAGTGTCGGATTGAATTCAGACCGGTGTGGTCGGTCACGATGCGAGCGCACCTTTGGGTTTTAGGTTATGTAACCCGAGCCGGGTAATGTCGAGGCGCGTTATCGACTGTCGCACGAGGCTGATAAGATTAGGCCGAGAATTCGCGAGTGAGAGAGAGGGTATCTTCGATCGTGACTGTCGAATGTGTTTTCCAGACCGATTTTCGATTCTCCAAAAGAAAGAGGTCCAATTTAAAATCGCGAATTGGCCGATCGATCGATTATAAAACTATAGCGGTGGGCCAACCACCTCGCAGAAAGCGGATATCCTTGGAATCTCTAAAAAATGCAATTTGACAATGCAATCGTCCATTTTATCTTTACTTTACTCGAATTAAATTCAAATTAAATTCAAATTCGACCTACGGCTGTTTACTTTCGACTCGGTCGAAAAGTCCCGCCGCCATTTTCCTTCCCCCTCCATCTCGCTCTCTCACGTGCGCGTGCACGTTTCTTTCGCCGCCGTCTCGTCGGCGGTGTGCGTGTGTGTATAATTGAAAATCGCGGTTACGCAAAACCCGTCCCGTATGCATATTCGACATGGAGGGAGAAGGCTCTCCCGCGTAATCGCCGTTGTCCGGCGGCAGTTAACGATCCGCGTAATCGCGCGCGAATTTTAATTCGCCTGGGCGCGATTTATATGAGTGACACCTTGAAAAAGAGGGAGGATAAAAAAAGACTGTAAGTCGTCGGTGATAATGGAAATCACGGACACCTCGCCAGGTCACGTGACGTCACCCTGTCGAAAGGAATAATTAATCCTTTGGGTACCGGTAGACGTTTGGTCCAATGTTGCTTGCACGGCCTGATGAATTTCGCCCGTATGTCGAAAGGGTTAAATAGAGTCCGAGTAGATACTTGGAAAGTATTCGTAATTTATGGGCCAGGAGGACGGTTTCTTTAAACTCGTTTTAAATGCCCGGGATTTTTCAACCTGTCCCGTGGGTCCATTTTCTTTGTCAGATCTTAAGGGAAAAGTCTCTCGGACTTCGCAACGCTGAATGTTTAATGAACGTGCTTTTTCGGGCCGTTAGTCAGAACTGGCGAAGGTCGCGCCGGTGACGTCACTGGTCCCGCCCGCGGCGGGTAGCAGGGAGCTGACGTACCGGCGCGACGCCGCAGTCGCGGCTCGACCGTCGCGCGGGGAGGGTCGTCTCTCTTTGGAATTCCCGTTTTCGATTTTTTCCCTTCTGCTTTTCTTTTTCATTCCCGTGAAAGAGACGCTTCCCTTATGAAGCGTGATATCGGCGACACGAGGGCGAGGAAAATAAATAGGAAATAAAAAAGGGAGGGGGGTGACCTCTCGAGATTTCAAGACTGTCCACTGGGTCACGGGGCTGGGAGTCGTCAGCCCCTCTCTCGAGGGAAGACATGAGGTCCAAGAGGAACGGCCTCGAGGGCACTTCCGCCCTGAGGAACGGGAAGGAAGGAACGGGAGAGAAGAAGAAGGGTGAGCGAGGAGGGGATGAAGAGGGGGTGTTTTTTTTTCTTCCTTTCCCCGCGCAAATAGCATTTTACAATTACGGAAATGAGGAATATATATACAAATGTAGGAATTTCACGAAACAACCGGATATATATACAATGTCATTAATAATCTTTGTACCTCGTAACCTCTTTCACTGGTTCGATTTTTTATCGTTGCGAAATTTCTCTACGAGAGAAAAAAATCCAACCAGCGAAAGAAATTATATTTAAGGTGTGCACAGTCAAGAGGCGCATTCTCTCGAAATATATGGGTATATATGTAAACGCGTATGTATGTATATATATATTTTTTTTATCGGCGATCCTGCATTAGCGACTCGACGGGGTCAATTTGTCTTTGCGAGCTAATCGAGTTATCAGGGCGAGAGTAACGGGGCCTGGATAAGTGTAACGCCGTTAAGAGGGGCTCGAAATTGAGTATTAACGAATTAGGGCGTCTGGAATCGGTGGAATTTCTTTAATGCGAGGAATGCCTCGAATATTTCAAATATCTTGAATATCTGAAATATCTCGAATATCTGAGATACTTCTCGTATATCCTTATCCGTTAAAGGGAAACTCGTCGTTAAGAGCCACCAGGGGTCGAGCGATTATCGTTTGTCGTTTATCGCTCCTAACGACTCGAGCTAACGGCGAGCGGCCTAATGCTTACGGGGAAATCGTTACTTGAATCGGTACTTGAAGGGGGGGGATCGTTAATGCAGAATAAATGTCTAAGATGAATTCCGAGCCTCGATGAAGTCGGCCCTTTAAACGTCACACGAAAAAAAAAAAAAAATTGATAGCGACATTTTTAAGGATTGTTCATTCGGACATGCAGGACGATACAATTGTTATTGTACAACATTTGGGTAGGGCGACGAAATTTTGTCGATTTTTGTTATGATAGATGTATTGATAAAGATAAAGCGATTCATGCCGATCAGCTGATCGGCATGAATCGTACTTTAAACAAAATCGAAGAAGAGGTTTCGGTCACCTTTGACCCGACCGATCGATCTCTGGCAATTATTCGATAATCGAGGGCTAGGCCGCGATATTCGGTGACCCTCGTGCCTCGTAAAACGCATTCAAGAGAGAGAGAGAGAGAGAGAGGACGAGTACTCCGGGTCGTCGCGTTTGACCCCACTTTATGACATCCTATTTAGACCACTTTATGAATTGCATTAACATATCGCCAGGAATATGTGTCGTCGACGAGGTCTTCGTGTACACACGTGTATACATAATCATGTACATCTACGTGCATTAACGTATACATACACGCATGACGGGCGCACACTCATACTCAAGCACGTACACTGTGGGAAAAAAAAAATTTTAATTGAACCGATGAAATATATCGTTAATTCAAAAAATAATTATTTCACGCAAATGAACACTGGGATTAATTGCACGCGACTATTTGAGTTAATTCTTTGAATTAACAAAATGTTTCTTTGGAACGGTTCGAAAAAAAAAAAAAATTTTTTTTTATTTTTGGGCCCATGAATTTATTTTTCTTAGGATGTGCGCGTACAGTCGTGACGGTGTATGTTTAAGGACACACGTACACGTGATATGATGTACATGACTTTTCGCCCACGAGAGCGAGAGAGACAGAATTGCATCGGTGGATGCAGAATTCTTGCACGCTGCACTCACCGAGGGAACTCGTAACGCGAAACCACCGACTTTCTCTCTTTTTCACTCTCCTCTCTCTTTCTCTCCCCATCTCGCTCTCCACCCACGGGAGATAATTCTCGAAAGCCTAACTTTAAGCTTCGGGATGACTAACTCCCGAGCATGCACTTGCAGACATGCACAGGGATGCACTTCTCACATATAATGCGGTATACATGATTTGCATTGATTTTGGAATCACTTTTTCTTGGCTTTTTGGAAGCGAGTGAGAGGGGGGATATTCTCCTTGTCTGGGAGAATTTTTTTTTCATTTTATTTTTCATGGAAAAAAAATAATTAGGGTTTCTTTACCTCCACTTTCTTTCTATTCGTCAGTTAGTTTCTTATAGAACAAAAATCCAGGAAAGTGGACATTCAATTTTCATTTTTTTTTTGCGCCTTCTCGAAATATTAGAATGGATCTTTTAATAGTGAAGCGATTAGTTTAGTGTGAGGGCGAGAGGTATAAGAATTCTTTTTTTTTTCTCTCTCAAGGCGAGAAGTCTTCTCGATGACGTCCACAATGTAAGCCGATGATGTCAAGAGTGTATTTTTAAGTCGGCCGGTGACGATGCAAACCCACGTGCGAGCTCGAGGTACACATCGGACATGAATAGAGGGTCTAAAGAGTACTTGCAAAAAAAAATAGAAATATTTTTAGGAGCCTCTTCAATTTTTTTTCCATTTTTTTTTTTTCCCGAGGAATCCCAAAATTCTCGCCATTCGAGAGGACTCGGTCGACTTGACAAGAAAGAAAGAAAAGGTGGAGGGGTGTTTCGTTTATCGGTTGTGATTACAAGGCAACGATGGGAATTATTATTTCGTAATGAGAGTAATAAAAATCCAAGCACTCTAGGAGAGGCCTTCACCTGGTTTCTTTGATTAGCCAGTGCGTGTCTAAGTGCGTGATGAATGTCTTCTTTTTTTTTTTCTTTTTTTTTTCTATGTAAGGAACTTTTGTCGTTCTAAGTACTGCTTCTTCTTTTTTTTTTTCTTTCTTTCTTTCGTTACCCTTGATTCACACGAGGGGAACTTACACGTCAGACCTAATTACACGTGTAACTGTCGCATTTGAGGAGGACGTGTCTCGCATACGAGATGATCCATTTTGTGGGAAGACATTGTCAACGTGTCGCCGACATGAGTAATCGGAATCCGCCATGTTTTATTCATGGAGAGTTGAGGAAAAAGGGAAAGCAGTGCAGAGAGCAGTCGGGCCTTTGATTCCAAAAGCGAGCGAATTTTTACCCCTTGGATGTGATTTCTTTTTTTCATATAAAAAATTGCAGTCGCCGAAAAATTGACGCCCCTCTTTGTTAGTAAATTTATATTTCGATAAGAATTCGTCTTATTGATGAAAATCCTTAAAATCTTGCCACGGAATGAAAATTATGAAATGTGTTTAATTGTGCGACTTAGTTTTTCTGCATTTTTTAGGATGCACTTTTCACCTTAAATTTCGACTTTCACTTGTCTCACCTATTTTTTTTTTTCTCTCCTTCGATTTTCAGGGAAGGCTATCTGCCAGTCTTGCAAGAAGAAGTGCAGCGGCGAGGTGCTGCGAGTGCACAATAAATACTTTCACATAGGCTGCTTCAAGTGCGTCCAGTGCAATTCGTGCCTGGCGCAGAATGGATTTTTCACCCACGAGGGTGCATACTACTGCCTGAAGGTGAGTGCCCTCTCTCGATGCTGGAAAAACCCTGGATTTAATTATTTAATTATTTTCTAACGCCGCCGAATTTTCAGGACTACCGCGAACGATGGGGCACCAAGTGCACCGGTTGCGGGGAGTATGTCGAGGGTGACATGGTCACTGCTGGAGGGAAACATGCATTTCATCCCAGCTGCTTTCATTGTCGGAGATGTAGACAACCTCTTCTGGGACAAGGGACCAAGGTGACGCTGGTCCATGGTGAGGAGTTCCTCTGGGAAGCCGGGATAGAGAATTCCTTGATAAGCGCACGGTCATAATCAGGATCGAAGGGCTAGAAATTAATCGGGATTTTTTATCGGGATGATTTAAGTCAGCTGGATGTTGGTGATAAGGCGCAAAGGTGTAGTGATAAGGATATCGAGATCTCGACCTGGGGCGCCGACCTGGAGATCCGATGTCACTGGAGATTCATCGAGGCGATCGAGCTGATCTTTTGCGTGTTCCCCAGGTCAAGTGCTCTGTCATAAGTGCGTCGGCATGCCCTCGAGGGAGACGTCCACCCCGGTGGGCAACAGCGCCCCCACCTCGACGGGCGACACCTCGACCGACCCTGGAGCTTGTGCAGGTTGTGGACAACAATTACGAGATGGTCAGGCCCTGGTCGCCCTGGACAGACAATGGCACGTCTGGTGCTTCAAGTGCCACAGCTGCGACACCGTTCTCCAGGGCGAGTACATGGGAAAGTGAGTTCGGATTGTCCCTCTTCCATGGTCAGAGACTCGATTCACGCATACGAGTAGATTCACGTGAAAAATTTCGCACGCGAGTAGACTCGCATGAAAAAATTCGCATGCGAGTATATGCGCATGGAAAAATTCGCATGCGAGTATATTCGCATAAAAAAATTCGCATACGAGTAGATTCGCATGCGAGTAGACTCGCATGAAAAATTTCGCATGCGAGTAGACTCGCATGGAAAAATTCGCATGCGAGTATATGCGCATGAAAAAATTCGCATGCGAGTAGATTCGCATGCGAGTATATTCGCATGAAAAATTTCGCATGCGAGTAGACTCGCATGAAAAAATTCGCATGCGAGTATATTCACATGAAAAAATTCGCATGATAAAAATCGCGTACGAGTAGATTCGCATGAAAAATTTCGCATGCTTATTTAAATCCGCATTTTGATATAAAACTCGGTGGGTATCGTTTTTTCAGAGACGGGGTGCCTTATTGCGAGAAGGACTACCAGAAGCAGTTCGGGGTGAAGTGCGCCTACTGCAGCCGCTACATAAGCGGCAAAGTGCTGCAAGCAGGAGACAACCACCACTTCCATCCCACCTGCGCCAGGTGCACAAAATGCGGAGACCCCTTCGGGGACGGCGAGGAGATGTACCTGCAGGGTGCGGCCATCTGGCACCCTCGTTGCGGCCCAGGGCCTACCGGGTCGAATGGCATCGTCAATGGGCACGGGGATGCCCACACGCCCCGGCACCGAGAGTCCGAGCGCATCTCCAGCAGCGCTTCGGAGATGCAAGTAAGGGCACTCCGAATGCCGAGGAGATACCGGGTTGATCGAATCGATCGAATCGATCGTCCTGGTCGAGTGGATCGGACAAATCCAATTAGGCCCGGTTGGACAACTCGGGTTAACCGAGGTTTAACCGGTTCAACCTGCTGTAAATCAATTAAACTCCGGTTAACCCGAGTTCTGGAAGCTGGGTTTAACCGTGCCGATCGAGCGGTTAGAGTTGATCGAGTTGATCGACCCGATTAAACTGATCAACCTGATCAATCCGATCGTGCCGAGTCAACCGGATTTAACTGATCGATCGGATTCCTCGGATCGAATCGACCTGATCAAACTGATCGCGCCGATCCAGCGACTCGACCTGTTCGTCCCGATCGATCCAATTGATCCGATCGATCCAATTGATCCGATCGATCCAATCGACCTAATCGAGGAAATCTCTCTCGCTTTTCTTCCGCTTCATCCCGGTCAGGGCGAACCCGGCGAGACTAGGGAGGCGACCTGCCCTGTAAAAAGGCAGGAAACAATTGCGCACCCCCGCAGATTAGTCGCATTTGTACATAAACGCATTTAGGCTTGAGCCTCCTTGAGCCTCGTATTTGGTGCTTGCTCTGATTGTATAATTTCGATGTCGTGCATACCGGCGACGTCCCCAGGATGACGACACGATGTCCACTTCCACTTCGGCAATACCGCTCTCAATTTAAAAACACTAAATAAATTTCTAAACTACTAAATCGAATACCCGGGGCCGTCGACCGACATCTCTAGCTAACGTCTAGCCGCACTCCGCCTTTATTTATATTTAATTAATCAACGGAAATTGAAAAAACGATATTTTTATCATCCCTATCGTTGGGTACTCGGTGTAGTATTGTGTACAGCTGCGTTTTGATTTTGCGCCGAAGGGGGAGGATGGCTTTTTAAATATTAATTCCCGGGATCATAGAGGGCCCTCTCCCTCGTCCAAGTTTTCCCTTATCGCACGCCTTGTATTCTCAATTTTTTTTTATCGCTCTCCTTTGCCGATTATTTCCGATATTTTTTTCTGGTAATTATTTAAGTCTCGCCTGAGCCGAGTCCGCGGCCGCTTCTTTTGCGACTCTCATTTACCTGTTTTCTCGTTTTTTTATTTGCACGGTCATTGTGTATAGTTTTCAATGCGGTCACGCACGCCAAGCCTGAATGGATCGCTGGGCAGCCCTTTCAGCAGCCTGAGTCGCAAGGTATGCCACCAGAGCCTATTTATCCGAAATTCATGGACCTTCGAGTCCCTCAGGGAGGGATTCGAATTTTTTCTACCTTAAGAGACCCTTCCGGAGGCCCGATAATCGCGCGGAACGTCAAAAACACCGGAAATTTCTGCGTACTTTTATAACGGCCGAGCGACGCCATGTCCGCCATTTTGGATTTCAAGTCTCGCCGAGGCGAGAACACGGCGCCAAACTTTTGCCCGATATTTCGCAAAAGAAATGCTATTTGCCATCGGAATACAATACAAAATGATGTTAAATATTCTGAAAATGTATCGGGTGAGCTCTTCATACCGGATTATAAACGTGGAGACGAGGTTATCACGAGTTGAAAATTCGTTTTCGCTGCCGCGCGATGGCGGGCCTTTTGAAGAGGCGGTTGCGATCTGAGAGCAAAAACGCGTGATTAATATCGAATATTTCTTAGTACTACTCTGCAAGATCCGGCAGTCCTGGACTCACTCTGCGGGAATATGGACGGGGTGGAATCGAGGATGTCTCCAGGATTTACACTTACTCTTACCTTACGGAGACGCCAACACAGGGGTATCTGAAACGTCCTATTCAGCCTTACGACAAACCGCCGACCAGTCCTCATTTCCATAGACCGAGCTGTGAGTCTTCGAGTTCCTCATGTAGCTTGAATATAATATAAAAATATTTTTATTTTTATTCTGGGCCAGGGGGTGTATTCATGATCTCGAGTATACAGAGCCGTGATTTAATTCCTCTGATAAGACCTATTATCCGCAGCGTCGCGCTCGATAAGGAGCAGTGGAGGACGCAGCAGCCGGTCAGGAATGAGAGCCATGGTGGACTCTTTAAGCGACACGAGGCCGAAATCCCCGGCAGCGGGGAGCCAGGTCGACAACGACGAGCCTATCGAATTGGCACATTATCCGGATGCGATGAAACCTCCCCCGGGAGCACAGCCTCCGATCGAGAGGGACGATTTTCCTGCCCCTCCTTATCCTTACACCGATCCCGAACGACGTAGAAGATGGTCCGGCACATACAAGGTACCTGGAGAAATTAACTCTATCTTAATTTAACTCATAAGGTTCATAATTTCGCTTCCTTAAGAACATTATCCCAATTAAAACCCTCTTCGATTCTCTTCGATGAATTCCTGGAAACTCCCTTCAGGGCGTGTCGACCTCGGACGACGAGGACGTCGTGGATAATCAGGCGTATATCCAGGAGGCCGAACAGAAGCTGAAAAAGGAGCGAGATGAGTTGAGCAAGATCGACACGGGCATCGCTAAAGTGTTCCTACAGGACCGGGAGAAGGACCGGGAGAACCTGCGACACAAGGCTGCCAACGTCGACCCCAGGAACGCGTCGAGGACGCCATCTGCCGCTCGAGAGCCGACCTACAGATTGCGCTACGAAAGCCCAGTCGGTGCTTGTAAGTTTCCTGTAATTGTCGATAATACTTTTAAACTCTCATAAATTCCCAAAGAATTTAATCATCGGTTCTTATTCCCATATTTTAATTTATTTAATACGTCATTTCATATCTTTACCTGTTGCAGCGCCCTCCAGGAACATCGACCACGCGAAGCCCTGGGAGGACGACGACGGCATCAGCTGCAGGTCGAGCGTAGGGCCGGCCTACAATGGTGGGTCGCATAACTCTCATCGCGTTGTCTATTAACACGAGCGTGTATATGTCATCTCATACATGTCCACACGTTCGCACATAACACTCTTGACATATTTCACTCTGCCGTCGAGCGGGTGTCGGCGTTCGGCTGCGCGTTCTCGAAAGCGTGGCGTGCTTTCTGCACAGGGTAAAATAAAAGGGACGAGGAAGGCCGTCGACACGTACCTCTGGTGCACGTACGTGGAGTTAATAGGGACGAGAGAGATTATTTGGCATCTCGCATAGCAGGCAACGGTTTAATTACTTAGAGTTTGAGTGTCCGCGGAGGGTCGGTGCTCTCGTCGGCCTTAGAGAAAGAAATCAGAAGTAGGGATGGGTCGACTCACCCGATCTCGATTTTTGTGGCCTAGCACCCGAAGCCAAACGGTTACAGGTCTCAGGTGATGTATCCTTTGCATGCACGCTTTAGTACCTATTTGCTTAATCATTATCGGGGAGGAAAAATTTCGACCACGTTAAGAGAGGTTGGACCGTGTATTTTTATTTCTGTACATACACTCTCTTTCGTTTATTTCTGTATATACATTTTGTGTTCCGATATTTGTCCGATGGGGGACCAGGGGAATTATGTAAGTTATTTTTCAATTTCTCGTGTCGAGTTTAACAACGTCAGAGGTAACAGGGATTTTTCCTGGGTGATGCGATGCACTCGCAGGCACACTTTGCTATGCTGTTGCACGTTGCACGAGGTATGACGTGGTGGTTCGACTCATCGGAAACACTACAGGTTGCCTCGAAGTACATCCCATCGCCGTCATGATTCCTTGAGAACTCGGTCCAGCAATGTTGGAAGACACCTAAGGGTTTCTCGTGACTCTCTTCACCTCTTTCCATGCATCCGTGTGTTCCTTTGAGTGCGTACTCTTTCATTTTCTCCTCTTCGTCTTCCAACGTCGAGGGCCCGGGTTTGGTCACCTGCATTACCGATCGTAAAACCATCGTGTCTCTATTTGTGTTTTTGTGTTTGTGTTGTGTTTGCGCGGGCGGCAGCTGGGAGGTCTTCGGCTCGTTCCCCGGCTCCCAGAAACTATCCGCCCCTTGGTACTCAACGAGCGTTCACCCTTCCAACCGCCTCTAGGCACTATCAGTCGGTGAGTCCGATAGCTCCGCAGCAGGTCTAACGTGGTCTGCAACTCGTCCTCCCTCGGCAGAAAGCACTTTTGAAATTCTTCTCTACCCTTAGATTGAAAATAAATAGATCCAGTCGAGTCAGGCTGGAGGAGTGAGGTTATGTTGCCACCACGTAAGGCCTCGTAGTCTTGATAAGTTCCCCGATAACTCCTCTGCGAACTTACACGGGTGCTGGTCGTACACGCGGCGGAAACTCCCAAAGGGAAGGATTAAAGCGAAGAGAACGACCGATCAGCTGTTAATCGATCGCCACCGATTGGCGCGATCAGCTGATCGACAGCGACGTCACGTGACGCGGTCAGCTGATCGACGGTATTGCCAGGTCGACGTTCTGGAAATTTTCGGAATTAATATTTAACAGGCATCCTTTAAAAGTTCCTCATCTTTCAGTCCACTTCCAAACGAGGGAAAATTCATTCGGATTTTTTTTTTTAATTCCTTCTCTCACTCTGGCAACACTGTCGAGCGACCACGTGGCGCGCGCGTCTATCAGCTGTTCGACCACGTGGCGCGCGTTTGACAGCTGCCGACCGGTCGCGTCTGACAGCTGCGCGCCATGGCCAGAGCACGGCTCTCGAGATACAGTTTCCCATGTAAATGCCAAGGGAATTTAAAAGTGAAGAAAAATTGCGAACGTGGGGCATCCGTATGGGAATGAGATAGCGAGCTCTCTCTCGTCGGCACCTGACAATTAATCAAGTTTAACTCCTCTTCGATTCTGACATTTGACGACCAGTTGTGAGCTCCCTTCGGACCGTCCCAAAACCGGGATACGGCCTGGCACCGCGAAGTCACACCTTCTCGTCGACCGGCGGTTCGGTTTCTGCTCTCCCCGTAAGTCTTGACCAGCTGCAGCGCAAGAGGCCTCTGATAAGAGGACCCCCTGCAGCGCGTTTCACTTCTCTTTTTTTTTTGTTCCCTCTTCAATTTATTTCATGGTTTTTTTTTTTTTCAAATCTCTCTTTTCGAATTCCGTAGAGGTTATGGCGACGCGAAACGGGCGCATTCTCAGGTACTCGTATTCCACTTTTCTCCGAGCTGGATGGACCGAATCGCTTGAAAATCTAACGCGTTAACGTGGACACCTTGGGGAAGGTCGCGACAGTATGGAATCTTAATTAAAAAAATTCCCTTCCATTGAGAATTTTTGGATTCTTTAGAAAAGTGGGATTTCATCCGTGTCGGGATTTTTTTTTAGGGTGTCTATGTGACGTGGTGAAATTGTTAACGATTCGGTATATCTGGATCGGAGGTAATGTAGAATGTACGATGGAGATACTCGTTTTTCGTCGCCTTAATGAGAGATTATTGGAGGCGCCGGATACTCATCGAATTTTCTTTGTCATCCAGGTTGACTACTCCTTCAGCGGAATGGGCGACAAGACTCATAGCACCGACTTCTCCTCAGGAAAATCCGACAGTGAGTAACGAGGCGAATGGCTCTGAGAAAGTCTCCGCTGAGAGCATCCACGACCTGGCCCGATTTTTCCCCAGCATAATAAGAGAGTAAAAAACGATTCGGAGGTTTCCAATACCTCGAGAAGAGATTTGATTTACACCTTCGACTCCTTCGCTGACAATCGACCTTTGTTTACACTGAGAAAGAACATTGTTGGTTGACTCGAAGAAATTACGACAATGAAATCCTGCGATAGAATATGTTTAAAGAAATGTCACTCTTGCAATTATGTATGACTCGGGCAACTAATCTATTTTTCTCAGTGTACACGTCGACTTTTTTTGCGTTTTTCTTATTTTTATTTTTTTTTATTTTTAAGCCCAGCATGCATTTACTAATATTTGCTGCTAACGAGACGTCGCACCGTCATTGTCGCTTGTTCTTGTTCGACAATGCTCCAGATCTTGACTGGCAGCTCTACATGTCGGAGTCTGTGAGATGCTCTCTAGACTTCGATCGAGTCACGGTCTCGATTTTATTTTCCACCTTCGAGTGATTGATTATAAAATTGAGGTTATTAAAAATATTCTAGATTTTTTTTTAGACGTATAATTAACGCTCCGAGGAGAGAAGGGTAGCCAATGTATTTTAATATGCACATCCGCACACGTATGTACTTGGCGTGAAACTCTCTATCCTCGGCGACATCTAAACAATTATACATCAATCGCTCGAAATAATGCATAAAAAAATCGAAACCGCGGATCGATTTATTCCAAATTGCCGATCCTGCGATCCTGCACCTGTCGATCTCTGCCTCGATGGGCCTGAAACAGATTTTTTAATTTTTCTTTTTTCTCGAGAGCAAATTTAGCGTTCCAAGGTGTAACAAAAATGAGAATTTTGGATTTTCGTCGACAACACTTTTGCATTTAATTGCGGTAGAAAAGGAGGCTGAGAGGGCAGTCGCAGAGGTCTCTATCTTTAAAGTGACACTGATCATGTACGATACGGTTTGACCTGGTTTTTCTTCTCCCTTTTTTTTCCCCAAAACAACAATTTAGTATCTGCAGGCAGCATCACGGATGTGGACCGGCGGGCATTGGTATGTACCACAGCCCCCTACTACTCCCGGCGAATTAGCATGGTTTGTAAGCTTGTGATTGCACCTTTACCGCCTAATCGATCCTAGGAACACCCTGGAAGAATAAAGGATTAAGGCGGTGGGAAAGTGGCGTCGGAGAGGTCTCGTTTCTTCCACTTTTCCCCTAACCGGGTGTTCCGAGTCGCTTCGAAATTTACCTCGTGAATATGGAGGGTATAAGGAAGGTCCCTACACTGAAAAGATGTCGGAATTTCACAAGTTTCATTTAGAAGGAATGAAAATTTAAGGGTGTAGGGACCTTCCTTCCACCCTCCATATTCAGGTTGTAAAGTTTCAAGCGATTCGGTACACCCAGTTATGAGAAAAGTGTCATGAGCCCTTCAAATTCCACTTTCACCCCCCCCCCTTAAATAGTAAAAAAAAATAAAAAAACGTTGTACATAGCTGTGAATATTTTTGCATGTACGCTTGCCAGCGTAAATTCTTCGGCATTCCACTTTGCGTGTACATACCTCTTACAATTGTCATTGTTTTTTTTTTTTTATTATTATTTCTTTCGCCTCTGTCGGATGCATTTCACCATATTAACGCAATTAACCGAGTGCGTTGCATCCTGATCCCATGTCTTGCCTGTATTTTCCCCAGAGTAGTTACATCGAATTTGTTTTATTTCGGTAGTAGTAATTAGTTCATTCCTGTAAAGAGTAGATACGTGTACAGTGTATTATCTGGTTGTAGAGCTAAATATGTAGAGTGGTGTAATGCCATCTCTACTCTCGTGGTTTCGTAACGATGTCAAATCTCTATTGTTCTTATTGTCCTCTCGAGTTTAGTCCTCGAGAAAATTCGGCAGAGTTTCGCGCCAAGTACATACTTAAGGATTTTTTTTACATACAAAAGAAACGGTAATATTTCAGATTTAACACAATAATTATGACGATATATGTAATATGTACTCGGCGAAGATTCTCTACGTCTGAAATATTTTTTTTTTTTAATTTCATGTCTGTATAAAGTTTTACGGAATTAATACGAACACCATCGTTTTGATGGTCAAGACATATGTGTACTTGGCGATGATTCTTTACTCCTGATGAGCTGTTTTTTTTTAATTTTTTTTTATTTTGTGTAATATAGTTGTATGTATGTATGTGTATTAATGCATTGTTACGTCGACACAGAATGACGGCGGGATTCTGCCTTCATCAACCACATACACAGGTGGACTGGGCTCGGTGGTCGGATCCCATGGTGGACACCACGTCCGTCGATCCCTCCCGGATATGGGAGCGACCCCCAGCGAACCTCCGAAACTCTATCCTTATCATTTGCTGATAATCACCAACTACAGGTTGCCGGCCGACGTAGATCGTTGCAACCTCGAGGTGAGCCTGTGGATCAATAGTTGAATCAAGTTGCAACTATACATTATTCCAAATGACTGTCGCAACATTTATCAAGATTATGTTTTTTTATTTATTTTTTTTCTCAACCCTTTACCGTGAAAATACCTCTTCCCCCTTTTCTCCAACCTGGGTGCGCCTAATCGTTTGTAACCTCCACCACGTGTTTTCTCTTAACGTTTCAGCATCACCTCTCCGACGCGGAGTTCCAGATGGTCCTGGGCTTCAGTCGAGCAGAGTTTTACCGACAACCTCTGTGGCGTCGCAACGAGCTGAAGAGACGAGCCCGACTCTTCTAATTCGACGGACGAAGGAGTACCATCCGGCCGCCATTTTGTCCAGCCCTTTCTTCCCCGTTTTCCATGGATATGAAAAAATTAACGGCCAGTGTACCGTCATTTACGTGGAGTTAAAAATGCCGGCCGGTGCAACCGCCACTTCTTTTTTAATTACGAAATGACGGTCGGCGTGTAGCCCTCGTTTTCGTGGATTTAAGAAAATGGCGGCCGGTGCAACCGCGTACATTCCTTCCGCGCGATCCGTAGAGTAGTCGTGAGAGTATATCGTAGATCGTTTCTATGGATATGCGTGACGGGGAAAACCCGGGAAACTGGGGATGTCCTAATGGTCGGGTGTCGGAAATGTACACACCACTGCCACTCGTCAATTCTCTCGGCCAACGAGTCCGGGACTTTGCGGAGCGGAAACGGGCGGCTTGACACAGTTCTTAGAGCAGAGTTCACGGCGCTTAGCCCGTTTTCTATTGTAGGATGTACGGCCGGCTTTTACTGTCTATCGCTGGTGGGGAAAGTGACAAGAATAAGGAAAAGAATTTCGACGATAGGAGGCGCGGAACGCTTAGATGCGATTTTCTATATATGTTTTACTATTCTTTGATATGGACCTCGGACAATTGGTATAAAGCGCGTCACGGAGTTACCAATCAGTTCGGTGAAGTTTTCATACGTTTTTTGGGTTTTTTTTTTTCCCCCCGGGGATCGAGGTGCAACGTTTGGGCGTTTTTCTAACTTTTATGGGGTTTTCGTGGGGTTCTGCAGCCTCTCGTTTTCATTGCAGAGACCTGATCGCAACCGGTGATCGCGGGTAGAAGTTCGCGTCGCGCCTGACGCACTTCCGGGAGGTTATTCAATGTTCAACTAGTGTTAACGTCGATAGTTCCGAGTTTTTTTTTTTTTTTTTAATCGGGCACCGCGACGCTGGACGACCTCGCGGGATATGTATTTAATTATTAACGAGTATTCCCATCGATATCCAAGCTTTGGTCCCGTCTGGCGATGCGATGCTGTGTCGGGAAGGTGTTTAACTGCACAAGAGTCGTGGAAGGGCGCGGCGAGGTCGGGTATAGGGAATATAGTGAGGAAGAGTATAGACGGTGAAAAAATTTCAAGATTCTCTTCGGTATGCTAGGAGTTACACTTTTAGACGAGTCGAATGCTTATCGTTACCCTGTTTCGAGTCTTTTAGTGCTGGAAAAGTTTCATCCATCGCCTATAGTCCTCCTCACTATATCTCCTATGTTCGACCTCGTTGGCAACGACGAAGAATGACTTCCCGAGGCGAAAAGGGAACCGGGCAAGAAGCAAGGGGACGCAGGCAATACGCCATCGATAGGATGCACTGTTGTAAATAAAAAGAAACGCGAAAACGAGACAAGAAAAACGGCCAGGAAGAAGATAGCAGGATCCGTGTGCTCGCGTCGCAGAGGAGCTGCGCGCGCATACGCTTTTCCCGATTAATTATACATATATACATATATACATACCTACGTATATATATATATATATATAGATAAAAAAATATTACACGATGCTATCACGTAAGAGCTACTACTATTGATAATTTTAATAACTACCATTATATTTTAATATAAGTGAGCAACAAAAAAAGGGTACGAAATGTGTAGGTAGGAGCTACAGCTTGTTATCGAGGGAGCTGATTTCTTTCCTCGAGGATGTCGAGCTCTAGGATTTGAAGGATTTATTAATCGGTCTCGATTTAATAACCGATGCCTCCGGGAGCCAAGCTCGAGTAAAGAACTCTAGAACGTGTTGCACGACTCGACGAAGTCCGGAATCATTTTTATCGAGGCTCCGATAGTGCGACACTCGCAATAACGCTGATTACCTATATACATATAAATACATATATAAATATATATATATATATATAAGGACCGAGCGCGAGGCTGTGTCTTTTAACGGGTCCTTTTGTACATTGAGTTTTCGGCTCTCGCGCGCCATCAGCGATTGCGTTTCTTTTGCTATTAATTATTAATTATTAATTATTGATTATTGATTATTGAGTACTATTAACATTTATCCGTACGCGTCCTATGCTAAGTCATGTGCCTATGAGAGGAAGAAGGAGGACGTGTCGCGAGGATGACTCCTTTTATTTCCTGCTACGCTGATAAAAATTATAATGTTAATTTAAAGTTAATTTTTGGTTGTTTCGATGGCACAATAAATTGCAGGAAAGTTACATTGACTCCGTAATGTCACATTCAGCTTATAAGTGGAGTTAAGGGAAATTATAATGTAACGTTAGGTGTATTTATTCACTTTTTAATTTGTAATTTTTTTAGTCTAGTGTTTTTTTTAATGTAAAATTATGGTTTTAGGGTGTGTAAAGATGCATGTAAATTTCTATGGATTTTTATCAGTTTCAGGGAAAGTCCTTTGACACGTTCTCGAGTCGCGTTTGTACATTTCTGTGTCGACACTCGCCTATTCGTTTCCTCAGCTTTTTCGCGGCGAGAAGGCGAAACGTAATTCGGGAGATTTAATGTTCACGTAGTGAGAAAAGCGGGGAAGAAATTGGCATCCTTGCTTACTCTTGTTCAAGGATTCTTGAAATTACTGGAGGAAGAGTCGTTCCGCCTTCCAAGTCGTACTATTCGAGCCACCTGTAAGTTTCTATTGTATAAAAGCACATTGCTTGCGCTAGTCCCTAAAGTTAAATAAAAGCAAACTCTGTAAGTCCTTCCAGGTTCTCTTTACTGCGTTCCGTTGCATTTTCTTTTTATACTTTTGGCTCTGTCAAGAGGAACAATACCGTTTCTCTCGACGCCTCTTAAATCCCTTATTGCCTATTAATTCTTTAAAGAGAATACAGATGGCGCAGGGTGACACTGCAGTTAATTAGGGCTTCGATCTCTTTATAATTACTGTGCGGAAAGGACATATGGAGTATGCCATTTAGTACAATACCCGATATAATTCGACACGGCTGACGATATGAATACGAACGTCGGCAACGCAGGTATTTAGAAGAATCTCTCTTACCGACGTCGACCAAGTCTTTCGACGTCTTTCACTTCACCTCAACCTTCTGCGATCGTTTTCAGACACCCACCGCCGTTTCTTATTAAATCCCCAATTGTAAAATAGTCATTCAACGGTTCAATATCCTAAAGGGTCTTTCAGACCTTCTCCTTCAGGATGACGAATCCTTCCAGGACACTGGAAAGAGCCTCGTGCTGGTCACCGACCAGCTCTGCTCTTTCCCCGGAAGTTAAAAGCACAGGAGTGGAGTGAACTTGACCTCCTGCGATCGTTTTCGGACATCCAGCTTTTCCAGTGGTGTCCACCGGTTGACCAACCCTCACCGAGACAGGAATCGCCTGAAGGAAAAATAAGAATTCGTAAAAAAAAATTCTATAATCCTGTGATCCCTTTTGTGAAGGAAAAAACTAACGTTCAGATTCTCGTCCAGGGTCACCAGCCATCTGGGTTCCATCGCCAGGGTTAGACAATATAGTAGATAGTGAGACTTCCCCAGGATCAGGCCTCGGCAGTCCAGACAGGACACCAGGACCACCAGGATGCCTGCCAGTCCTGCCTGGTCCGGGACCTTGGATGCATAATGCAGAGGACGCAAGGAAATTGTTCCCTAAAAAATAAACAAGGCTTAATTCTTCGTCCTTTTTATCCTATAAATTAACATTAATAATTCCATTTTTTATCACCTTTCCCAGGTGCACCAGGCCCTGGGAGATCCTGATCAGGAATAGGTGTGCAGGATTTTTTGCGTGATATGCGGCGAGCTGTCTCAACATTGTTGCTAAACGAGCGTTATTCGATCCAGCACCGACTAAACCCAGGGCCAGGATGGCGTTATCAGCGACGTTAACGTCGCTATCGTGGCTGTATTTATTCAGGACGTCCAAAATGGCAGGATCAGGATCAGAAAGTGACGACAGAGCCAACGATAAAGGCATGGCTCTCCTCGCAGGAGTTGAACCGTACCTGCCAATCTGGAAAAGGAATTAAAATGGAGGCGTTTATTTATTTCTTTCATCTGTTCGCCCAGATAATTTTAAAATTAATTTAGTATCTCTAGCTGACAATTTTAAAAGGTGAGATAAATAAATAACTCTCCATGTTAATTATTTGATATCATCGAAGAGTTGGAATCACCTGACCGAAGATCCTGGAATTTTCTTTGCCCTCTCCGAAGCCAACCACTCCGACTCCTAGAGATGCTATTGCTTGGGACAGACCGATGTCTCTGGAATTTAATTGATTAGTTAAAAATTTAATTACGTGGATTAATTAGGATGGTAAGAAGAATATTTAGATTTGCGCACGATTGAGCACCCTCGTCCTTCGTGGAGGTCTTGGATTTGGATTTATCGGGGAGCTGAGGAACTGAGGACGAAGTAGAGATTTGGGGTCGAAGGTTGCAGCATCCTGTCATGGAGATGGTTTCCATTAAATTAGATCTGCTGTCTCCTTCGTAGGGTTCGGAACAGATTCGTAACAGTTCCTGGACGATCAGGACGTCGCCTGTTCCGGCGTATGAACAAACCTGGATAGATTTATTTAAATACTTTAGGTTATTTTCTATTTCACATCGATATCATCTTGTCATCTTCTTGTACCAATATTATAAACAGTTTACCTGCAACATGGTTTGTGAAGCAAGTTTGTAGGGCTCCGGTAGAACTTCCAAGGCTGCGGAAGGAGTTTCTATCGAGTCTCGACATCCCATATAGACCATTCCCAGGGCCAAAGGTAAAAACCTTCGGTCAGTAAATAATAAGTCAAATATATCAGTAAATGAGGTAAAGATTAATAATTATTATAAATTATTCTATACTTTGTACCTGCTCTGAGTTACCATCAGTTCTTGAGGCGTCAGTTCTAATAATTTCTGCAGGATCGTAGAAGACACTTCGGAGTCTTCGGACCCAACGTTCACGAGACCCAAAGCGATGGCTGCAACTGACATAACCTCCATGGAACCTGAATATTAAACACGGAAAGTAAATTTCATCAATCAGACACGATCCTATTTTCTAAATAATTCACTTTGCTCATCCGTCAAGGCAGCTGTCAGCAGTTCGTTGACATCTTTCCTCCTCGATCCTGCGTAAGCCAAACCGAGACCCAGAAGAGCTCCCACTCGAAGAGTCAGACTCTTCGATAGAACATGATCGCTGAGAAGTGCCAAAGCAGGATCGCACTCATTGCGGACTCCACAGTTTACTAAACCTATTGCCAATAGTGCTCCGGATTTGATAAAATCCTCGTTGGTATACAGATACCTGAAATGAAAGTAATGCTTGTTAATTGTCAACTGATTAGACGGTACTAAAATAATAGGCTCACTTGTCGATAGGGTCCAGTCCTCCGTCCACATCCCAGAGATGTATCAGACCGAGAGAAGCAGTAGCTGACATCATTCCATGATCCTAGAATTTAATTCATCTCCCATTATTTGACAGTGAATACTTTTAGAGTACCTTGGACTACAAATTAATTTAAGACGAGGCACCTTATTTTTGTACACCCAACACTCTTCGGTGTTCGCCATAAGCTTGTCTTGCCCAAAACCAGCATGAACGAAACCGGTAACAAAACTGGCAGCGAGATTCACGCGAGCTGAATCGTGCTCAGGACGTCTGAACGTAAATAGTGGTAAATAGTACCAAGAAGAAATTTTGTATAAAGTTTTACAGGTTAAGTATAGAGAGAAAAATAATTTGATGTCGATAGAGAAATTTCATGCCTGTACACTCCGGTCTCAGCCCAAGTCTTGTAGATGTCCTCTGGAAGCTTCGGCTCCAAAATGTCCAGCTCCCTGGCTAGCATGCGGAAGTGGTCACTTACATGAGCGTTGCTAAGAATTGCTACGATGTCCTCTTCATCCTCACCATTATATTCTTTTTTTAGAGGTTGGTCCTGGTACGAAAAAGAATGATTTAAATATTTCTTACTTATCTCTCCTTTATTAAGTTCACCTGTTGCCTGGCTAATAGGTACGCCAGTTGTTTCCTTATGAGGGGATCTGGACACTCGGTGAGGCATTTGTGAATTAGATTAGAATCTTTCAGCTGAAGAGCCACCAAAGTCGCCTGACAATACTCATTAAACCTCAAGAACTGCTCAGCAACGGTTTCCAAGATCTGACGCTGTTCCATCTCCTCGCTTTTAGAAGAATCCATGTGATATATCGAGTTACCTTGTAAGAGGTTATGATCTAATTCAATCCATGGTATACCTGTAGTAGGCGCAGTTCATGAGGTATTGACAGATCTTGAGGAAGTTGTTCGAGTCTAATTGCTCTCCGATGAGGTCCAATTCATCGATCTCCTGGCAAAGGTCGCAGGCTTGGATCTCAGCATTGTGCTTCATGTCGAACCTTACGATGCTTTTAACCAGCGGTAGCAATTGCTTCCTACAAGGTACGGATTACATTTTTATAAATATTTCTTTTTTCATCTAAGCTTAAAGAAAGTACCTCATCTCCTGTTCGAATTTCATAGGTGTATTGGACCATTCTTCGACTATTTCAGTTTCCAGTTGTCGAACGTACTCATGACCCCAGTCTCCAGGGTCACGCATGGTTCCATCGAGACAAAATCGAAGACAATCCCTGACTCCGGTGTTCGTCCCAGCTATGGCCAGGACACTGAGGATGTCTGCGAACCTGGATTTAATCTCCTTCCTGGAGACTCTGGAGTATGCCTCCTTCAGGGTATCGTAGTGCTCTCGTAGGTACTTCAGAGGCTTCGGAACAGAAGTCATCGAAGTCGTCGAAGTCCTTATCAAGACCCTAAGCTGGCCCAGAGCCCCAAGGATCGATTTCTCGTCTTGACTCTGTTTGAGATAGACTTCAGAATTAATTTATCTAAGAACGTTTTTTTTCTTTACTTCGTAACATTATCCAAAATATATAAAAATCCTACGGTCAATATCTCCACCAGCTGAAGGAGCTCCTCCTGCAAGCCTTTGTCTTCCTCATCCTGGGAAAGAAAGAAAGCTCCTGTAAAACCTTCCGATGGGTCCAGATTGGATAAGTTAACTCTTCGATTCCTTTTTCAGAAATAAATTAACTTAGAAATCGATTCATCAGAGGAAAATTAACTCACTACGTGTGTTTTATTTTTCAATCTTTTCGCTCCTCCCTGGTCTCCCATTTTTTTTTCCTTCTCGGGATTCGAAGCGATTTTTCACCTCGATGACGCGACTTGGAAAAAAATTCATTCCAGAGGAACATCGTCGGTCGAACTTCATTTTTTTTAATCAAACGAAGCGTCTTGGAATTGATAGTTTCTTGTTTCGTTTTCAGATTATCGCGAATTGTTTTCCACATCCCTGCAATTTCAAAAACTTAGTTTCTTCCCGAGTTTCGTGCCTTAGATCTACGAGTGATTTTCAAGGATCAGGAATAGGCGATTAGAGGGTTTGCTAGACACACTCGTGTAATTAATCACCCTCATTGTTATTGTTCAATAAGTTGCTTTATTACATTAATTATTTTACAGTTTATTATACCTCAGGTACCGCGAGTACATACACTTTTGAGCTCGTTTAAAAGAATATTAACAAATTGTTCAGTTTTGTCGTCAGCTTCTTCTCTCGTTTCTTCAGGTTGAGACCTCGTAGAGCATCCGGTCATCACCTGGTTGCTCGATGTAAAATCCCGGTAAGGATTCCCTCTGCTACTCTCTGGAGATTCCGTGAGACATCCCTCTTCTTCTCGTACTCGTAGTACGAATAATAAATACATTAATTGTCTGTAATTAAATACAGGCCTCCACAGCTTCCACTCGCCACTCATATTTTCAGTGTTTTACCCAACGTCTATGTACCCCTTTCAAGCTGCAATCGGTGAAGAAAACTCCATAGGAAAATCTCCACAAGACTGTGGAGTAAATTCTGAAAAGTCAGAAACTCATCGATAATGGCGGAAAGAAGGAGGAATCGACGTGACTAGGTCGCTCGTCCGAGTCGGCCAAAGAAAATGCGACATAGAGGAACTTCTTCGTGCCATCCGAAGAAATGTCTCCCCAGTTGAAGGAAGACTTTAATCTCAGTGGAGGAAAATTGAAGGAAGAGGCGCTCTTCCGTTTCTTTAGACTCTTCTTCCTTCTTCTAGGCTCATTGTTTCGACGAAGTGGAGGCGTTCAGTTCGGGAACTTCGGTGAGATCTCCGCTGAGCTCGTTTTGGATCTGCTGAAGAGTCTTCCCCTTGGTCTCGGGCAGCAAGAAGATGGTGAAGACGACGCTGAGGGCCGCGCAAACCCCGAAGATCCAGAAAGCCGTGTGCGAGCCGAAGGCCACCTTGACGTTGCTGAAGAACTTGGTGATTATGAAGGCGATGAACCAGCAGATGCAGACCGTGATGCTGGAGGCTTTGGATTTAACATCCGAGGCGAACATCTCGCCCATCACGGCCCAAGGAAGTGGACCCCAGCCCACGCTGTACGTGGAGATGAAGACCATCAGACATCCTATGGGCAGCCAACTGATACTGGACGTGTCCATCTTGGAGACCTCCATCAGATAGAAGAAGAGACCCAGTGCGCCCTGAAGAACGAATTTTAATTAAATGATAAGATTTCAATTTATCTAACTAATTTCTTAGCACCTTAAGGCGATGTCAGGAAAGTCCATGTCTAATTCACTTCCAGGCAAAAAAAGGAGAATTATGGGAATACCACCATTGAACCGATAGAAGCAAGGTAGACCTCAGGTGTGGGAGACACATTGTTGCGAGACAATGCTCGAGGGTCGTGTAATGTCACCGTTTGTGATATAGAATGCAGCGCAATGCACTATTACGTGAATTTAATCCCAGGAATTCCCATCCGCTCGGATGGGTTGCGATCATTGCGGCGTTAAAAAATCGTAAAAAATAGGAATATAAGTCAATTGATTGGAATCGCCGACCTGATTTTTAAGCATTAGTTTGTTAAGGTGCCTACCAAAGTTATGGTTTCTCCCACGCCGGAAAATACGAGGAGGATTCTCCTCCCGAGGCGGTCCACCACGAAGGGCGTCACAACGGATGCTGCGACCTGGACCACTCCTATCACTATCGTCGAGATGGAGGATGGAATGGTACTGTGTGCGCTGATAAATATTTCCTCCGTGTAGAAGAGCATCACGTCGATCCCGCTGAACTGTTGGAAGGCCACCAGGGCGCAGGTGAAGAGGAGGGCCTTGAAATTCGCCTTGACGGTGAAGAGGTCGGCCATGCTCGCCTCGTTCCTGAAGGCCTCCTCGACGATGGCCTGAAGTCCCAAGTAAAGTATTAATTCTCATCTGACCGAGCTACAAGGACCGATAATCTATCTAATCCCGTGTCATTTGAATGTCTCTTCTTAAAGAAATGGACCTGCATCTCGTCGGCTTCTTTCTGCACTCCTTGGACGGTTTTTCCTCTCAGCCTCGCCAGATTTTGGAGTGCATCTTCCTTCCGGCCTTTGCTCAGCAAATAGTAAGGAGACTCCGGCATTGGCAGGAAGCACAAGAAGAAGATCAGTGGTATCGTTGCACAGGAGTAACAAAGCACCACGTAGGAAACGTAAGGCCCGATTGCGTAGCTGAAGAGGAAACCGATGGTGATGAAGAGTTGCAGGAACGAGCCCAGGACTCCTCTTATCGAGGTCTATGACAGAGATACCCACGTCCATACTAAATTCAGGTAAATTAAACCTTGCAACTCGGCTACTAAAATTAAATTACCCTTTCCTCAGGGTGGAAATGAGAATTACCTCAGCGATTTCCCCGACGTACATCGGCAAGACGGTAAATGGAACTGCCAGGGCGATTCCAGAAATTAAACGAGCTACGTAAAGTTGAGGGATGTTCGTTGCAGTGCCTACCAAAATCCATCCTATCGTGTATGGCAAGGTGCAAAGAAGAAGAGTCTTTTTCCTGCCAAGTCTGAAAAAAATGGAGTATCGAATCAACAATTTTTTTTTGGCTCTCGATATGTAGAACTTGTATGTCTTTTAAATAATGTATACCTTTCTGCAAGGTAGCCGGCAATAATGGCACCGAAGACGGTCCCTAAGGGAACCAGGGACCCTATCCAGGATGCTTCCTCGTCGCTGATAGGTCTGCCGAAAGGGTTATCAGCGGCCACTTCTGAAGAAACTAATTTCGGCAGAATCGGACTCGTCCAACCCATCATGGCTCCTCCGGCGACGACGCACATATTCCCTGAAAATGATTTTCCACCATTTCTGTATACTATCAAGACCATCTTCCTATTAAGATCATCCTTCCGCAGATATATCGGCAATAATTTGCCATGCTTATGTCACGTGCAACGTAAGCGTTAATTTTCCACCCATTGTTGGAAAATTCCAAGGATAGAAAAAAATCCTGAAAATTCTCCTTTTATTTCATATTCAATATATATATCATATCGAAGCGCGCGTTTACTATCGCCATTCAATGGCTTGGTACTTATGAAAATGGGAAAATAGTGATAAGGAACGTTTACGACGTCCAGATTTCCAAGTGCTCCCGTCATACGTCATGTGACAAGTTATGTTACATAGTTATCACTTGCGCGTTTGTCCGATGGGTGAAAAATGACCAGTAGGCGGTGCTTTATCAGTAGTATCGGCGATAGTCAACAAACTGCGCAAAGATCGGATTTTTCCTTAGGTATTCCGTGCGATTCGGTATGTGGAATATTGCTGCAATTATTACTCTGATTGACACGCATCAAATCGCCCCACGTGATTATGAAATTTGTTTATATGCATACTTTAATTTAAAAAAAAAAAATGAAACGATGGAATTTCATGGGTGGAAAAAATGGATAAAAAATGGATTTATCCCATATTTTGTGTCCTATTCACTTATGTCCCAATAATCTCAAGTTTTTATATTAGTTTATATTTTTTATTACGTTCGTTTGTATGTACAGTTATTTGCGTACTGATTAGATTTATTTGATAATGAAATTTGAAAAGCGAGGGAACGGTTCCCGTCCAAACGATAAATTGTTCTCATCCGCCTCCGGACGATTGCAATCGGCTCGAATTGCTTCCTTTTTATGCCCTAGAAAGGAAACGTTTATACTATTCCCACGTGAATTTCTTTGAGATCTCTAGCGAAAAATGGAATTCCCTGAGTTTCAAGACCTTCGTTAGGACCTCCATAATCACGTGTTAAAGTTTCAAATTAATCGGTGCATCCGGTCGGTAGAAAAGTTGTATAAATATTTTCACGCTTCGATACATATAGAATGACCCTTTCATCTCACCCTAACGTAATGGATTTTAATTGCAATTATTAGAGGTTTTATTTATATTGCCGAGATGTTGAAAACAGTAATGTTATGTCATGAATTAGACAGGGAGGTTTGTTAATGTGGGTGTGGTGGACAATAGATAGGTACATCCTGTATATTGTTCCGGTTGAACGAAACCTCAGATTACAATTTGTTTGCAAGTCTCGTCCGTTACCGGTTACGAAAAGTCGATGCTCTTTTGACATCCGCGAAATCGCTCGAAAGCGTCGATAAACTTTTAGATAGATACTTTTCCACTGGCTAAATGTTTTTACACTCGACCGAGTTCCCCAAAGAAAACTTAAATTTGATTCGCTCTCTCGTTCCATCGAAGAGAATGAATCTAGATGTTTTAAATTCACAAAACTCTAAAATGACATAATATTAACAAAATAAAATTTTAAATATCATGCGCGAAGATGACACAAATGATGAACTCTTTTTGATGGGTTCCACCGAAGAGTGAGAATCGATAAGTCTTCTTCGGTGTACATTTTTGTCTTTGGAGTCGATACCCTTCCGAGCACTTTTCAAAATTGTTTTTATATTCCTGTGTGTTGCGGAGTGGACTAAAATATTTTCCATTGCAGGTGCAGATGCAGTCGGAGGCCTTACCAGTGGCAGCTGCGATAAATTGGAGGAGTTTGGAGCCCTTTTCCGTCATGGTTAGTCCGCAGGCCTTGCGAGCCCTTGCTCGGAGCGCTCTCTCCCTCTTCCGAGGGACTTCGGAGTCCTCTTATTCCTGAACTTTGGTCGAGAGGCGCGGAACGTCCGGCAAGAACTTGCGAGTTCAGGGCTGTATCCATACTCTTTATACAAGCGCCCCTCTATGTCTCTTGTCCGCCACTGAGTGGGGGTCATTCTCTCCTCGGATCGGTGCACTTTAACTGCACTGTAACTCCACCGAACGATCTCGTGATAACTGGTGGCCTTGGCTATGAAAACCTGCCCTTTAACCTGCAAGCAATCCTGGACAGGAGGATTATTTTTGTATCGATTATGCCAACAAAAATAAACAAATAGTATCGTAACATCGAAAGGCATTGTACCTATCCTCGATGACCTTATAAATACCTCTACTCTTAATTTATACATATAATATACAAATTACAATTACAATATTCTTATGGGTTTTCTCCTGAATACTATCTCATTCCCTCTGTGACGGTGAATTTAAAATATAAATCATTGCACCGATCTCCAGGAGACATGAGATATCCTGGTACCAATGGTCACAAACTATGCAGCGCTTCAGTTTTTAACTCTTCGATGGGCTTACATTCCTTCGGTGTGGCCTGATTTAATTTCAGGACCTTCGAAGGAGCCACTTCAATTTGCACCAGCTCGGGTGCAATGGAAGTCGTTTCACCAGTATTCGATTGGGCGATAAAATGACAGTAACCTTGACTCTGCACACCACAGGGCATAGAACTTTAACCCGCAGAGCACGATAAATGCATAAATGCATTTCCGTGGCTTCATTGAAACGACAAGGGAAAGGTCCCAAGAATCGACGCGGATCGACGCGCGTAACGTGGGCGCCGCCATATTTGTTTTGCGGAGTGCCACGTGACCACTGACAGCTGTCACGACCACGTGGTTGCGGGAACGCCACTCTTGAGGCGTTTTCCTTTAAAACATCTCTAGAATCGATCCGCGGAATAATGCGACATTTCTCTTTCAGGTAACTCCAGGTAACTCGATTGACCGCGCAAACAATGTTCCAGCAGGCGTCTCGATGCAAACATTGTTTCCGCGGAAACGACGCCGATGCTTGGATTATGGAGATCGTATTTCACAGCATTTCCCATAACTCGACGGCGCACCTTGCGGACTAGAAAAATCGTCCCTACGGTCTGTGCAATTTTATTCTATTTTTTACCCTACCTTTTTTTTTTAACGAGCATGCCTGTCGAAATCTCCGATCCCAAAAGAGACGACGTCGACCTCGAAGACTCGATTCGTATTCTCTGAGCATATCGAGGAGGAGGTCGAGGTCTTGGCCGTTTTCGTTCCGCCAAGGCGAGGGAATACCGAATGCCTTCGGTACTTCCCGTATGCGTTTCCGCATGCCCTCACCTCGTGGGAAAATCGGTTTGGGAAATCGTTTGATCGCTGATTGCCCCAATGACGCGATGCACGGATGTGCACTCGATGCATTTTTTTTTTATTCCACGTCGACGCGATGCAACGATTATGTCAGAGCTCGGAATCGTTTCTCCAGGTGGATTTCGAACGCTGCCCATTTTGATTCCTTATCAAATCTGGATTTTTTCAGTAGGAATAAAACTTACAAAAAAAAAATATATATAGTTTTCTTTAAATATTCTGATAGGGAAAGAAGGAAAATCTCGAGAGACTTTCTCCTTCGCATTGTTGAGGGAAAAAGGAAAACTGATTCGAGGCCGATCAAATCGATGAGTCGGCAAATTTTCCACAATTTATCGAGTGCACGATTGCATTTTCCAGCTCCCTCGAGTGGCCTCGTTCGATTTCACAGGAAATCGATAATGGATATCATAGCTGATCGAAGAATCTCTACCCGAGTCGATTCCTCGTTACTGATAACGGTAGTTATCAAGGCCGCCCCCTTAAAAAAGATCCATGGTGAACAAATGAAAGTATTTTTTCTATAGTTGTTATTCTCAAGTCTGAGAAACAATTTCCTATCTCTAAACCTGTTAGTTCACTCTTTACTTTCAACTATGTCTTTTCCACCTTGCATTTTGATCGCTCAAGGTAAGGAACGAGACATGAAAGACAATAAGTTGATTAATTCATTTGCGAGTACAGCGCATTAATTATTTAAGTTGAGAGCGCAATGAATTAATCAATTAAATCCGAGGTTTACTGTGTCTCTTCTTTCAGGGGGGGAGGAAAATTTACCTGCGATAATTGGACCTCTTAATTGTAACGTTAATTACAAATTCGGGTTTCCCACAGGTGATTAGGAATCCTGAAAGCTATCAGGAGAAATCGCTTCCTTATTTGTTCGACGTTCTCGATTTGCAGGATTTATCTCCTGAAAATCAGAAGCCGTGCATTAATCTTTGTGGAGTGGAAAATTATCCGAACGTCCTGATAAGCCGCCGCTAATTATCCCCAGGTAATAATGCTTCGTACGACCTGCGCAAATATATCTACAATTAATATCCGGGGAATATCATTAATGTTAAGAGATCACTCATGGGTTTTTTGGATACAAGATATCTTTCTCTATGAAATTAGTGCAGTAATTTCAGGGCATACAATGTTTGTCGCCAGGTTGAAGTATTCTTAAGATAAGCACGGATCAACCAAAGGCCGACGTGTAATCCCTGTAATGGCTCGATGAATATGTTGTCTTATCAGTAGATAATGCCAGGACAAACAATTTCGAAGACCCCTGGTTGTCGTAATTTACATGTAAACAATTTCATACAAAGGAGGGTACACTTTTTAGTCAAACTCGCACAACCCATGACGTATAAAAATTAAGCTAAACGTCAAAATTCCGACGGTCTCCGAAGTTCATAAGTTCAATTGTTCATTTTAATATTTCCCTCGGTTTCAGATGAACGCGAAAATTCAGCTTCGAAATTCAGAGTCTGGCGAACAATGGGCGAAATTTCCACTTCCGGCTCTTCGTCGCCAAGAGATGAGTAAAGTCTTTCAAAAAGATGAGTCTTGATCTTGGAAATACGACTTGATTATTTTTTTTGCAATTTTTACGGGATCTAGAGCACAACCTCGAGTCTCACTTTCCGCGTTAAAAGACAAATTTTACTCGACTTTGCTCATCGCTTCCGCCAAGGAAAGGTTTAATATTAAATTATTAATATTGCTCAGTCCATACACTTGATGTTTAAAAAAAAAAGAAGATATTTCAAGCAGGTCTGTTGCCACGAGTGCGATTCAGCTTGTCCTGGATCGCCTGCAAAGTTCGTCCTTTGGTCTCCGGGACGATGAAATATGCAAATGCAGTGGCAGCGACCATGAAACCGGCAAAAATCCAGAAAGTCACAGCTTCTCCCAGGGTTTCCTGCATGGTAGGAAAAGCCTTCGTCACCAGGAACACCAGGAACCAGTTCAGCATCACAGCAACCCCCGAAGCAACGGCTTTCGTCTCCACGGTGAAGAGCTCGCCAGCGAGCATCCAGGGTATGGGACCCATCCTGAAGAGTGAGATAATTAATAAAAAATTAATCTCCTTGATATCCAAAAAATGGCAGTTAAAGATTAAAACCTCAAAGGTACTCTTCAGGGGTAGGAAATAAGATTGACAGTCTTTACAATACCCCCCTGAAGATATTAAACAAGAACGTTACGCTTAATAAACATGACAACAAAATTTCTGCCTACCCAACAGAGAAGGCAATCATGAACAACGTCAACGAGGAAAGCGGAAGCCATCCCAGGTTGCTGACATCCGTTCCATCCCTCTGAAGCTTGAAATAAAGTCCCAGAGCGAAAAGACTGCAAGCCATAACCGATGAAGAGAACATCAACAATGGCTTCCTTCCAGCCTTATCAACAATTAAGGCTGCCACCGCAGACATGACCATCTGTTAAGAAAATTGCTCGTTCTCAATTGTTCTTCCAGGACCATTAATAGAAAAGTCATGTCTATAGTCGTGAAGTGACTGAAAGAGAAAAATTTCTACCTGGACCAAAGCGACGACAATGGCGGCGATGTCCGGCTTCAAGGAGCTTCCAGCAGCTTGGAAGATAATGGCGGTGTAAAAGATAACCGCGTTAATTCCCGATAACTGCTGGAAGATCATTCCTCCGAAGGAGGCCTGCAGAGCTCTTCTAGATCCTGGGGTTTTGACTAGATCCAGGATCGTGGATCTGCGTTTCGACTGCTCATCGACGTCCTTTTGGATCCCGGCAAGTTCACCAGCAGCATCGAAAGCTCCTCCTCGAAGGACCTTCAGAGCTTCCGCTGCATCCAGTTTCCGGCCTTGGCCCTGAAGATGAATATTAATGAGCCGAAGATGAAATTAATGAACTAAGCCAGAAGGCCACGACCATAACGTCGAAATGGTGAAATAGCGTTAACGGAGCATTTTCCAGTAAAAATAAAAAAAAAATAAAAGTAAGTCATTAAGTTAAATTTCTAAAGAAAAACTTGAATGATTATCGTTCCTTAAAACGCTACTTTCGTACCACCTTAACAATCGAATCCAGTTTCAGTCAGAATTTTGGTGTTTTTCACGGTTTTCCTGTCTAGTGAATTCCACTAGATTTTCTTTTAGCGCATTCAACCAGAATTCTGGTATTTTTAGATATACCTTTTTAAATGTATTTTATTTCTAAACTCACCACGAGCCAGACCGGCGACTCCGGCATCCAGGAGAAGGTCGCCAAGAAGAGGACCTCGACGACCCCGCAGACGATGGCCAACCCGGTGTAGGAAAGGACATACCCCGTGACGAATGTCAGGACAATACCTATGGAGATTAATAATTGGAACATCGCCCCAAGGGTTCCTCTAGCGGAAGGCTCGGCGATTTCGGCGACGTAGGAGGGCACCAGGACGCAGGTGGCCCCGACGCCGACGCCGACGATGAACCTGGCGAGGCAGAGGACCCAAACGCTGCCGGCCAGGGCGATGATCGTCCAAGATACGAGATAAGGGACGGATAGAAGAAGCAGGGCCACCTTTCTCCCCAATTTGTCAGCTGCAGATCCCGCAGGAAGAGCCCCCAACATCGCCCCGATCGCCAGGAAGGATCCTATCCAGGATCCTTGCTCCTCCGTTATCGGCAACCAGGAGTCCTTCTCCTTCAGTTTCAACAATACCGGCGATGTCCATGCCAGGGCTGTTCCTGCACCCACGGCCAGCAAGCAAGCTGTGGAATAAAAAAATTTCAGATTTTAATTAATACTTTAAGGCGGTGGGAAAGCGACACGACGTGAATATGTACGCTATAAGGAAAGTCCTGGCCCCCATGGAATTTCAATTTTTTTTTTTTAATTCTTTGTAATACATGAATTTCCATCATTAGAGCCTCGTAATATTTAGTTTTATATCTAAACCAATATAATCTATTCTTGAAGCCCTTAAAAATTTAATCTCATTTCATCACGAGTTTGGCACGCAGTATTCCCTTTTATAAATAATTTGTTACTGTATATGAGGAGGGGCATGTAGGTAGGACGTATTTTTTTTTTTTTTTTCGTGATAAGTCGTGATCTATATCTACGGTTTCTTAAGAGGTGTGACGTCCTCGTGTTTTAGTGACGCCAGGGCGTCAAGTGTTCGTCAGAATGGGAAGAACGTCTTCAAACAATTGCGAAAGCCAATATTTGAGAGCTATACTTCCCCGTAATCAGTGAGGAACCGACGATTCCTCAGGTAATCTAATAGAAACGCAAACGTTCAATCCTTACGTCTTTTTTTACGTTCAAACTTGAGCCGGTCTTATTAATCGTTTACTTAATGATTCCCCTTGCGAATTTTCAGACAGCCGAGTTCTTTGACCCACTCCATTCTTCAGGAATTTAATATCCATATAAGTATGAATTTTAAATAAATTTCTTATGACCATCGAAACTAATTCACATTTCTTATCGAAGCCAAAAATCCATTCCACTCAACCAGACTCGCTTCTTAAAATTCCCCTCATTCCCTTCGTCGTCAAAATTATTTTTTGTTATTAATTTAAAAATAGCACCAACATACATTGTTTAAAATAAAAAAGTCTTACCTGAACATGCCGAAAGATATTGCCAGAGTTTCCTCCCCTCCTGTCGCACGGCGTTTCCATTCAGCATCCCAGTGCCCTCCATAATCGATTTTGAACCCCCAAATCCCCTTTTCGATTTTTCTTTTCGATTTCAAAATACCAAAGGATGTCCCCCAGGATCCGATTTTGATATCTCGAGGGTCCTTTATTTTTTCCCTCAGTCGTATCACACGAAAGTCGCGCAAGAAGACCGTGGGAATCGGCGCGACATTTTGAAGAATCGGGTCGATCGGCTGACGCCGAATGGCCGAACAAATAAGTGATCATCCTATATCACCGAGGGACTTATCTGGCAACATTATCATCGATCTGAGTTATCTGCACTACCGCTTGAAAAAGAGAAGAAAGAGAAAAAAAAGTGGGGAAAAAAATTTAGACTACTCGCGCGCCGATAAACTCCCGCGGAAATGACGACGGAAATTCGTGGGAATTCATATTTTCTTATATTCATTTTCTCGCCGTTTATATTTCCCCTCGCCAGTAATTGAGAATTTCCCTCCTCGATTCCGGAAATCCCCGGGAAGAATGTCGAGTGGTCCCTTATCGAAAAGAAAGCCGATTGGGGATTTTTAATTCCTACTTCCGGTCTCAGGTCGGCATTTGCTTTTCAGGGCGTGACATTTTATTTATTGCCCTCTGAGGTGACAACGAATGTATTGTATGTGGTTTTTTTTTTCTTTTTTCAAAAAGGTGCATCGTGATTTTTTGGAAAAATTCCACGTCGAGGGAAATTTCTAAAATTGGGGGAAATCGCGTTTCCTCGCCCTCCGGAGGGAAAATCGAATTTACGAGTCCTGGGGGCATCCGGTGGATTTTCCGCAGCTCTCGTTTAAATATTTACCGACCGTGTTCGAGCACAACAAGAAAATCGACAAGTCGACGTGAATCCGGTCCGATCAATATTTGATAACGTCGATAGGATCGCAGGGGGTATCTCTATTATCGGCCTGGAAACGTTAAAACGATTTTACAATCGAAATGTCAGGCAAACACGACTTCCCTCGGGTTAATTTAACGCTTAGTAAATCATTTACACACAGCCCGTAATTAAAGTGTCGTGTCAATATCCATGAAAAAGACAAAATAAAAAATTTTCCTCCGAGCCTGCTGCACCGAATAATTTTAAATTTCAACCCTTGATTACGGGGACCTTAATGAAGGTCTTGAATATTCCCTAAATTTAATTTCTCGGAGAAGAAAAATATTCATCCTGGACAAGGACGAAAAAAAGACATTCTTTTTCGAAAAATTAAATTTTGTAAGTTTAGAGACCTTCATTAGGATCCTCCATAATCACCTGTCAAAGTTTGGAATTATTCGGTGCCCTCAGTTTTGAAAAAACTATATTTCCACGTTTTACTATATACAGAATGAGCCTTTAACATCGGGTTAAATGAATTAATTCGTACTAATTAGGGCTTGAATAAATGAAATTGAGGCGAGTCGCGGGTCAAAATATAATATCACGATTTATTGCTTATCGAAAAGAACTTGCTTCCTCGTAAAACGAAATCTCTTACGTATTTCTGTGCACTGTCGAGCCTTAAGGCGTTGGAACAGTTTAAAAGAAATTAGGAAGAGGAAACCAGATTGAAAGAAGAGGGGAAGCCTGGCTTTAAAAAAAAAGAAAAGGAAACGAAGGAAAAGAAAAAAGGTACTCGCGCCGAGCGAGGTTTTTCTCTATAATTAAGACGATCGAAACCGGCGACCGAGGAGCGCGCTTAATTAGCTATATAATTATTTATCAACCATTTTTTTTTTTAACGAAAAAGAACCACCGAAACCTTGCGACGCCCTCCTCGATCGGTCGCGGGTCTTGTCGAGGATTTATCTTCTTTTATTAAGGAAACTTCTCCTCCAGAAATATTATGAAAATTTCTATCTCGAGACGTTGCGACGTCCGATCGTCTGATACAAAATGGCGGCCTTAAGACGCTACGAAAGTGGCGTCCGAATAGTTAATCGTTAATGAAACTTTCCCCGAAATTATTTGTATCGAATCGTTTGAACTTTTACAACATCGAACATAGATGCGGTAAAAAAAGTTCTGACGTCCGTGGAATTATATCTTTCAGAAATTCTTGATTAAGCATCCTGGTGATTTTTTGCAAAATGTCGAAACCTTCCTTAAGGCCTCCGTATTAACTTGGGAAGATTTCAATTATTTCGGGAGACCCAGTTGGAAGAAAAGCCGAATAAACGTTATCTTTTAGGCGCCACTATCGTATCACCTTGATATTCGATTTCTGAGGCTTTTAAAGTAAATTGCGCCCGTCGTGGTAGGTCGTAAAAGAGGAGAGAGCGAGGGAAAATAGTAGAAAGAGAGGGAAAGGACAGTAGCCTAACTAATTGATTGCTAAATACTAATTGCGCCGATGGCCTGAGCCTAGTCTCGATATCTCTTAATCTCTCGAAGTTACTTCAAACCTCGCCGAGAAATATATCAACTTACTCGCTAATAAGGCCCGTTACTTATGGTACTTAGGATAGCTCACTGATTTTATCACTGCGTGGTTTCCGTGAGTCGGTTTTCCATGCAAGCCTCGCGAATCCATTTTTCTACAATTTCGATCAAAGGAAAGAAAAAAAACCGTCCCTGATTAATTGTGCAAAATTTTCAACCGCGGAAGTAATTACCACTTTCACATGGATAATGAGCAAAGCTTTGATAGGGAAATTGCAAAACTGTCTTGCAGATCTTTTTTCTTTATTTCATATTACTTTACGCGAAAATGTTGAATTATGAGAAAAATGAATTCTCGATGCTTTTACAGGTAACTCCTCGTGTATATTTATGAACAATGCACTTGCAAGAGTCGCGAATCCATTTCCCCGAAGAAATCCTTATCCCTCGATAACTTCATATTTTGAAGGGGAAAAAAAAAGAAAAATAATTCGAAGAGCATCCCCAATGATTTTTACAAACTTTTTTAAGAGCTCACACCGTGGAAAATGGTTTGTGATTTTCGTATGGAAAATTAAAACTAGGAAAGAAAAATGTATTCGCGATGGTTTAACAGGTGACGATGCGTTTGCGTATTAAGGCGGTGCGATAGTGGCCTTGAAAAGGGTTTATGAATATAATTTCAGACTTTACAACGTGAATACGGAGGCCATAGCGAAAGTCCGTCCACCCGTGGTTAAATTTCTTTTTAATTTCTTAATAGAAGTATTAAAAATTTTCTACAAAAAATGAAATCGCATGGGTGGAGGGACCTTCCTAACAGCCTCCACCATTCACGTGGTAAAGTTTGTAAGAATTGGGAACACCCAATTCGGAGATAAGTGTCACGGGCAATTCATTAACGCAACTTTCGCATCCCCTTAATATTAATGCGAGACGCGTGCGATGCGGTGAATGCGGTGATTACTAAAAATAAAATCTGCGCGATCTCCGTAAAACGACGTCCCCTCCCCATCTCCTTGCAGTAAACGGAACCTACGGTAAAAACACGTAAGAAATTAAATCGCGTTATCATTTGGCTTAACATCTCTCCAGCTTATCGTACGAGTTAAGGCGCTGCACCGAGGTCGAGCCGAGCTCTCTCTCTTTCTCTCTCCTCCTCTCTCGGTAAATCGTAGGTGAGTCTCACCTAGGATTCAACTTTTTCTCAAAAATCGAGATCCCCGAATCTCTGCCTTTCCTTTGAAACTACGATTATCTCCTAATCGCCTCGCATTTATGACTTTAAGGTTACGTTACATCCCGTCATCGACACCACGTGGCGCTTTGTAATGACGTTGCATTACATACGTCATTGATAGGACGCAACATTTTGTCCTGACGTTGTCGCGTATCATCCTGACGTTATACCTTCCACTTTGACGTAATATTTAATCCTGACGTCACGTTACGTCTAATCCTGACATTAATTTCCAGCCTTACGGCGGAAAAGAGAGCCGTTCAGAGATTCCTAATTTCGGTGGATGTTAAAAAAACCCCTTCGAGGATTCCACCTCAGAGAATGTCCGGGCCTCAAGGACCTCCGATCGTCCTGAATCTCGAAGAGCAATTGTCCCTCCGGTCGGATCAAGAGAATGAAACAGAGATCATCGGTCATTTCGCACATTGTCGAAGATCCATCCCAGAGATTGAAAGTCCTCGCGGAGATTCTTCAAGGTCCTCGAGACCCGCGAAGGAATCGTCGTCCCAGACATTCGCGACAGTCCTTATAAATAAACCGATCCGCCGTGCAGAAGCCGAACTCCTGCAACTCGGCGGATCCCTTTGGATGCCCTAGCTTCAGGGAGCGATCCAGAATCAGCTGGGCTAGATCTTCAGCAACCTGTTGTAGAGGAACATCAGCTTCCCGGTGTCCGAGGTCTGGACCAGCTTGTACCGCCTGTCCGTCAGCTTGTCGATAAGATTCTTCGTCTCCATCTCGCTGTGGTGCGAGCTCCAGCGGATCGACAATACGGATATCCTGATGATGTCCCAGGGTATCGTGTCCAGGACCTGGAGCCATTACAACAAATCATTGCCATCCGCTTGGCCATTTTTCAAATTGTTCCAGGTGCGTGGTTCATGACGACTTTTACCGGAACAATTAAAAACAATTATTTTCCCTCACCTGTCCGTCCTGGGCGTCTGGACTGTCCAGGCTCAGGTAATCCAAGGTCGTCACGTTGTAAGCGAGCAGAATACTGTACAGAGGAAAGCACTTCAGCCTCGTCGTCGGCAAACTCTCGTCGGACGTCAGGAGGCTGTTAGGACCTTCTCCTAGTTTGGTAACTTGCACCTCGGTCTCTTGGTGGTAGGTAATCTGTAAGGTAGAATGACGTTTAGTGCCTCTTCAAGGTACGGTTTCGATAAAAAAGGACTAAGGTGGAATTCCGTCCAGAAGAAAAAATATATTTCACCTCTTTGGTATCCCTGTCTGTGCTGAGGCAAGCGTGAAGCACCCTGGTCCTGGGGTTCCTGGTGCTGCGACGAGCCTCGAAGAAGCTCCTGGGGTCCGTCAGGGCTAGGACTCCTCTCCAGTTGAGGCTGGACTCGAGCCAGGTCGTGGTAGATGTTGCGCCTACCTGTAACGTGCATATTTCTCATAAAGACCTTGAGGAGGACCCTGAAGTACCTTACGAAAAAGATATTCCATCCCCGGAAGACCCGATTAGAGAGGGTCGAAGAGTCTCACCCTGCTAATGTATTCCAGATACACTCCCTGCCTCTTTTCCTGGGTCAGGGTCGCCACGTATTTCTCCTCCGGAGTCTGGGTGGCGTTGAGAGGATCTTGACCAGTGGTCGACTTCAGCTGGACCTCTTGGATGTATGCGACCAGCTGGGGATTGTCCATGGAGACTCTGTCAAGCACGTAGTCTCGGGTCATGTTAGCGTCGAAGGCTTGTCTCCTGCAAACGGGCCAGGTCGGCTTTAAGCGATCATTGTGCCCAGGTCATCACGTTACATCTACCTCATCCTCGAGACAAGAAAAATTATCTACAATATCTGATGATCAGGGTGCTTTGATAATTCTCTCCCTTTTTTCATTTATTTTGCAGGCTTATTCTCTTCAGATTAGAAACGACGAATAATTTAATTTAGTTCCTCCTCTTTTTTTATTTTTTTATTTTTTTAATGAATTTCCCTTTTTTTTTATTTAGTCATGATGATAATGAATTTTTTTATTCCAGGGAAGAGGAGGAACGAGAACTCGAGGAGGTCTTTGGTATGGAGCGGATGTTCGCCTTCCCAGGCCGTCCTGTGAGAAAAACATTCCCTCCCGGCCTGGGGGATTGTATAAATATTTCGTCGACGGTATTCAAGCCCATCCACGAAGCAGGAGGCCACGAGGAGGGAGGGGGAGGACGTGTTCTCTTTTTCTGAGCGAGACCCCCCGGGGTACTTCGGGAAGAAAAACGAGAGAAGAGAGGAGAAGAGAATATCCGATTTTCCGTGGCGATGGGGTAAAAACACCTGAAGAGGGGAAAGAGGGGCCCTGAAGAGCAAAGAGTAGACCCCGAAGAGCGAAGCAAAACTTTGAAGATTAATAAAAAATCCCCGAAGAGTGCAAACAAATCCCTGAAGAGCGAGAGAAAATTCTCCAAGGAAGGAAGAGACCCCTGAAGAGGAAATGAGAGCTCTTAAGATATACGCGAGGATCCACGAAGAGGAAGAAAGGAGCAAGGAAGAGGACGAAGAGGCAACTCTTCATCTACGAGATTCCTCTCGTCGTCTTCCTTAATTTTATAAACGGTGCTCCCGCAGACCCCGAAGAACCTGGGTCCATTTTCCCTCCGTACTTCCTCCCGGATTCCCGTTTTCCCAGGAGGAGGTGTCTTTACCTCAGGGCTGCGGCCTCGCTCCAGACAAGAAGAAGAGCCATGGCGGTGGAAAAGGCGGCCAGGAAGGCCAAATAGGGTGCGACTCTTCGCCATCGGGTCCTCTTGTGACTCGTGGGGATCGCCACCCCCGTTGGGGGCGGACCAGGGGGCTGCATCCCCACGACGGCCGGTGTCCCTGCAGGAGACATTCTGGAAAAGCAAAGTGAGAATTAAATGGTATATATAACAGTTTCAAAATTATTTATAAAAAAAAAGAAGAATTAAATTTCATGGGTGGAGAGGACGAAGGACGATATCGCCTTGCCGCATCCCGATGCGCGCGCATCGCCGTTGCGAAACGGCGATGCGCGCGCATCGCCGTTGCGAAACGGCGCGGGAGGCTCTCGGTGAGTCAGAGCCCGACTTTCTAAACAGATCCACCAGACTGCAGCTGCACATCGACTGCATCGGCCATGTCGAGGTATGGTCCCGCAGGTGAAGCCCCGTGGACAAAGGCGGAGGGGAAATAATGAGAGGGGAGGCCCAACCGGCAGGTAGGCGAGAGTCAGCAGGGCCGCTCCTGCGCCATTGCACCCCCGCCAGGGGCAGCCCTGGGGCCGGCGGCCTTGGGGATGCGAATTAGTGACCGGGAAAACGTGACGGCGCCTTTCGGCCGATTCGGGTAATGGGCTCGTAAACGGACGGACAGATGCCGCAAGAGGGGGTGGGACGTGGAAGGATGCGCGGATAAGGGAGGAGCAGATGGGGACAGAGACGACGGAGAACGGAGGTCAGGCATGCCGAATAATTCGGGACGTTTCCTACATTCTCTGGAGGGGGCGCCATCTTCACGCGCGGCGCTGAGTCAACCCCGCCGCTGCCGAGCCTATAAATAGGGCGCGCGGTGGAGGAGCGACTCAGATCGCCGCGACCCGCGGACGTGTACGGATCGGAGAGCCTCTTTATAAACAATTTTTTTTCTTATGGCCACTGACGCATGGAAATTATCCAATCGTCCCTCTCTTACACTTCCGTCGCGTCTAATTGCGACTTTCCCAGGAAAATGAGAAATTTCAAGTAAAAGGGTGGATTGCAGTCTCGGTTAAAAAAAAAAAAAAAATCGAGACTAGGAATTCCTTATGCGGAGATTTTGATATCGCTGTACCATGGATAAGGTTTATTAATTAGGTAGGTAGGTGAAAAATGGATGATCAGCGTTCAGGGTGGAAATTGAAGCAAGATCGTCGGAAGTCAAAGCAAAGGTTCGCTCACTTCGTCTTTCCGTCCTTGTTGGGATCCAGCTTGGCGGATCTGTCCGTCTTGCTCTCTCAAGCCGCGTCCGAGGGACCGGAGCGTCGCGTCATCCTTGTCTGTCGCCTTCCCCGCGACGTCGCTCTATCTTCCTTCCTCCTCCTGCGACGCGCGTCCCCCGAGGCCCTCTCTCTGCGACAAGGAAACATGCAAATACTTTATGTTTTTGATATATTTTCATTTTCAATGTAACATAATGTACGTACTTAGAATTATTCGTGACTTATGTGCTCACTCAATACTTCATGGGTATATTTCTATATAATTTTATTTTCCACCAATGCACGTATTTGGCAAAAGTAACTGATTTCATTGTGCCGTACAATCAATCGCTATTACATGGGCATGGTTTTGCAAAATAGACTTTTGCAATGGGACGTACTTGACGCAAATTTTTTTACACAGTTCCTGCGAGGTATATAAAAAAATCAGAAATTCGACGCGATTACGGTAACATTTCTCGGCTAAACAACTCCAACGAGAACGAGAGTCCCGATCGAGTGCGAACTTTCTCTTTGTCCGCAAGGGAGAACCTAACCCCCCACTTCCGGAAGTCGAACCGCGACCTAACCTAAAAGTCCGTCAACACGGGTTGATGGGAACGACCGATAAGATCGGTCCTACGAAACGCATCGCCCTCTGGATCGGGATATTCGGGAGGCGTCGAAATACTTCTTTTCTTCTTCTCCTACATGTATATACGTATTTATCGCGCTGTAAACGGCACACGGTGAGATTTTACGCGCGATTCGTGACCGGCCCGGTGCACTTCGGGAGGGTTCGGGAGAGCTCGGCAACGCTCGGGCGATTCCGGGCCCGCGAGAGAAAGCCGTTGAGTCGTTCCGGCGGGCCGCGCGAGCGCCGACTGCCCTCCGGCACCTGGAAACGGCGTGGAGGCCGCCCCGAGAGTACAATGCCTCCTACCGTGGGATGTCCTTCTCTCCGAGCGGTCACGCCGTCTCTCTCGCGCCCACCTAATGACGTATCTCGCCGTCTTGCTCGCGCCCGAGGACACCGGCCGCTCCTACAGCGCGGGTCAGGTACGCGACCAGTGACGGTCAACCCCCACCCGCCATTCCCATCGCTCCTGCGGATTCAAAATGGCGGCCCGCGAGATTCTCCAGGGTTGAGTAATTTCCCATTTTTCGAGGTTTTTCGACGTTTTTCACGTATATTACGTAAACCATAGTTTACCGTAGAAATCCAGTACCATGGAGGTTCTAACGAAGGCCTTGAAACTCGCGAAATCTCATTTTTTAAATAAAAATTGTATATTTATCCCGGATAAAAACCAAGACATTTTTTTTTTCTCGAGAAATGAAATCTCGCCAGTTGCAAGACTTTTGTTAGAATCTCCATGATAATGTGATAAAGTTTGAAATTATTCGATGCACCCAGTTTGGAGTTTTATTAATAACTTTTTGGTTAGTAAATATATATGACGCTTTCATAGTCCCTTAAGTAGCGACGTGCTGAAATAACGCGCGCACGTGTCCCGGCTCGATCGTGGTCACGTGCGAGGTTAGGTCTGAAAACTTGACGTAATTTATCGGAACGTTTTCCATTTTCTATTATATTTCTGCCTCCCCTTTCCGCCGTGCGAAGGGACGGGTAGGGCTTCCCCGTCGCGGCCGTTTATACTTATTCCCCACCTGTTTCCATTCTTTCTTTTTTTTCAGCGGATTCAGACCCTCCAATCGACAAAAGATATAAAGTGCCTCAATTTCGAGATTTCCGATCGCATCTCCCGGATCCTATTCTTTCAAGATTGAAAAAAAATCGCCCTAATAAATCCTCACCATGGAATGAAGGAAACAGAACATAAGGGATCGGTTTCCACCAGACGTGATTAGCGTTGAAATTTGTTAACCGTGATTAATTAATTTCGAATTAGGGAAATTGCACCGATAAAAATTAAATTGAGGATTAAAATAAATAGTTTAACGCAAGTGTTGGTGTAAACGATCCTAATAAAAGAATACAGAGCGAGAGTGGAAAGGATGAGTTGTGGCGTAAGGACCTGGATTTCTGGGAAACTGGATCAAGCCACATGAAAACGCCAGAGGGAAAAGTTGTGGCGGAAATGTTGCGGAATAAGTTTTGTAGCGGGAGTTTTTCCGTGCCTGGCGCGGTTAACCCGGAAAATTTAGGTAAAGAGCGTGGTTTTAACGCGGCGGAAACGGACGGAAAGTGGAGGACGCGGGGAGGCTTAAAAGCGGAAATAGCTTCGGCCGCGGCGACGACAGGAAATGTCGTTATCTCTCTCTCTCTCCTTATGTACGTATAAACACATATATACAACTCTCTTTTTATCCCCATCATTCAAATCCTCTCAGCAAATCCACTTTGAATCGGCAATCGATTTCTCATCGGGCTCGGCTTAACGCTTCAGTCTGCTCTCCGATGGACTATTTGATTATTCATTTTTCTTCAGCTCCGAAGAGCTGTTGCTTCGCCCTGTTTATTGTGAATAATTGTTCCTCCAACTTGGCAGATCAATTCGACAACTTGACGAGGGTTCCACAGAACTGCGGAGATGTAAAGGACACCCCGATCGATCCCTGCTGAGGGGAGCCCCCCCAGGGGAGAAATTTAATATTTTCTGACAACGGAGCCAGGACAATAGCCTGCAATGAGGTGCATTCACTCAAACAATATCGTCAGTCTCATATTTTCTGGACTCAGACACACAGGAGCAGCAAGAAGGACAACCTTCAATAACCCTTTACGAGGATTATTCAAAAGAGCAGAATACCCCGAAAGAGCCTGCTAAGGGACCTCTCACTCTCTTCGACTAATCGATAGCTAATTCCTATACATATCGATGCTATGTCGATAGGCTACAGTTCTATGCAAATCCCTCGTAATAATTACATTCTATAAGTTTTCAGGGTTACGTCGACTCTTAAATTAATACTTATGGCTGTTAACCTGCATGCCTTCATGAACATCCACCCTGTTACTATCCCCAGTTTAAAATGGACTCGTCGTAAGGAAATATTCTTTCTTCAATTTAAATTGATACATGTATAAATTAATATTTAAGTAACAGAAACATAGGCTCGTGCTCATATCTCATGTTTCTTATTACATTTGCTATTTATTTTAGCCATTTAGAGAGTGCAGGGAAAAGCGAGGAATAGATGAGCATAGTATAAAATAAATATGTACCGAAGCTATTAAACAAAAAATGTGCAGAAGGTAAAAGTAAGCGATGGACAAGCATGGCATGAGATAAATATGTATCAAAGAGAAGAGAAATTCTGATTCTGTATAAGTGGACTCGAAGAAGGCATTGAGGTTATGGAACGACCATTTGTCCGAGCACGTGAGCGCAGGAGGTAACTGATCTAACTGATGTAAGTCTCGTGGAATGCCACGAGAGAGGCACATAACCTCTCGGGGTGGCGGAACCTACCGACGCGCCGGTGAGCTCGATGTGCGCCGTCGGAGTGCGGCGAGGCGTCTCAAAGGCGTCGCGACGTGCGGCACCGGTTATCTCGATGGGCACCCCGACTATACCAGGACGTACAGTAACGAGCACGAGAAGGAGGAGCGCGCGCGCGGTCTCTTTCCAAGTTGTCGGCGCAGCCGCGTGGGCAGGAGGCGAGAGCGTCCGCCTCACGTAGGAGCCCGGCTCCAACTGACATTTCTACGTCGGACACGAACCAGCGCGCCAGTGCGCTCCGGACCGAGAAGCGGACGTTAAACGACGCGCCGAGCCAGCTGTAGGCGGCGATCGCCATCGAGCGCGGAGGCCGAGCGCGCCCGAAGGCAGTCGGACAATTCCGAACGCCGCCGGGCACCGCCGAAGGCGTCCGACGCCCGCCGAGCGCGATCGCCGATCTCCGATCGGGACCCGGGAAATTCCCTGAGAAGAAAGAACCCCAAAAACGCGAGTTTAAACCTGAAACACGTAGCTTCCCCTCGAGATTTTTCATTTCCCGAAGGTGCAAGAGTTCCTTGAGTGCGTGGGCAAGCCCCCGCGGCGGGAAACTTGCGACTTCGGACGAGTTCGGAAGTTTGGAAGTTTGACAGGTACCTACTAGTTTTGAATTTTGAGCGCCGCGAGGAGTCGAATCGGGGCGGAGTTTGCGCTAATTCTGCGGGATTTTGGCGAGAGAAGCTCTAGAGCTGGTGGAAAGTGCCGGGTTCGGCGTGTGGGTCCATTTATTTAAGGTGGAAAGTGCGAGGTGGCAGTTGGCCGCGGCCGCCGCCATGTTGGATTTTGTCCGGTCGCCAGGGTCGTGAGAGTCGGAGAGGTATGCCTGATCGAGGGATCTACGTTCCCATCCTTGTCGATCCACGATCCAGATGCCTCCGACCCCTCCGATGCCGCGGACTGTGGACAGGTGCACCTCGCAGGACGGGAACGTAGCCGTAGCGTAACCGGAACCGGATCGTCGACCGCGTTCCACGTGCCGGTCCCTCACGCGGAAAAGGGAGCGCCTCGGATGACATCACTGCCGATGAAACACGTGCGTGCTCTCCACCGCAGGGAACGATTTCCCTTCCACTATCCTCGTAACCTGAAAAACGACCCTAGGTAACACCGGCGAGCCTCCCCTGCGTAATTCATACTCCACGTCGACCTTTATATCCTTTTCTTTTCCAAGGGAAGAAAAAACTCCAGCGGCCCCGCCGGCAAGACGTGCAGTCGACGTTTTTTATGCGAGCAATGCCGGTTCCAGGGAAGCGCCCGACCCCTTTTCCCCGGATCTCCAGCAGGATCTCCACTCTTATCTCGCCACCATTTCCCGGAGTAGCCACTCGTATAATTTATCATCCATTTTCTTTTTCGTTTAAGCGAAACTCTTCTTGTACAACCACGTGCGTTGAGAAGCGAGGGTGGAACGAAATGAGAAACGCTTATTCAATTAATTTTTTTTTTCTGGGGAATTCTCATTTACGTTCATTTCGTTTAACCCACTCGCTGCTATTGACGCCCTAAGGTGATATGAAAGTATCAGCTGAGGGGTTAATAATTTATTGTACACTTTTTTTTATCATGAATTTAATTTCATCGGCGTCGGGATCTTTCTTAGAGTCTCCAAATTCCTGTGGTAAAGTTTCAAACGATTCGGTGCAGCCTAATTCCCAAAAATGTTTAATAAAAGAGTGAGCCCTGAGAAGGCACTTTCGTATCGCCTTAATGTCTTCATTTTGAATTCGCTTTTTTACCACTTTTTTTTATTTCTTTCAGTCCTCGTTCTTCGAGAGGCGAGTCTCTCCCTCCCAGGGGCTGGTCCGAACACTACAGGAGCTATTATTACCGGCGACTGGCGGGTTCTATTTTCACCCGGGAAGTTTCCAGGGATCGATTGGATCTAGATCGGAAATTCGCGCGGCCAGTTGCACGAGGTCGTTGGACGAGTCGTCGATTGGAAGAACCGAGAAAAGGACGAAACTGAATGCGACTCGTTTGCTACGTTTCTGTACGCACTTTTTATGGATAACGAACGTCGAGCCGCGGGCGTAGCTGTCTAGCCAATGCTTTCCTTTTTTTCCCCCTTCAGGGTTGATGAAAAATCTTTTAGAAATATTTTTCATGTGTACAGAATGGCCCTTTTGTAACACCTCGAGGGCGTATTGATTCGCGGCTCGTTTTGGCCGAAAGCCATTCTGCTCATTGTTTTTCGGAGCTCCTTCTGCGTTCCATTCGGTGTAATTCGACGTATGTATTCATGCCCTCCGGAGGGAGGGCTTCGTCGAGCAAATCAATAGTCGTGTTTATAAGTGCGGCACGTACCGATGTACATGACTGCTTGTATCATTTGGAATTCCCATATTTAATAAGAGAAGTCATCCTATTAGTTACAAGCTCGAGGAACTGGACTGAGAAAGAATATCCATTTTCAGAAACAAATGTATATTGTTGCTCGTATATAATTGCAAAGAACTTTATTTAAAATAATGAGGTGTTTGTCAAAATGTTATATCAAGGGACAATTAATTTCAGGAGGGAGGAGAAATGTCGCGGTCGAGACGGCCGAAACGGACGCGGCCAAGGCGCGGAATTTCCGCCAGGATTCGGCCGATCGGCTTTTGAGCGGAAGTCCAGAGGAGGAAGATGGGTGGAAGCCAATCCGGAAGGAGTTTACCTACGCCAGGAGAGGAGGGTAGGTCTACAAGACCTCGAGAATCCTGAGACGAAAATTTCCAAAATCCAAAGTCCGGTTCAGTTGCATTCGCGCTGAAAAAAAAGTCCAGTTAAAAAAGAAACAGAATTTGAAACTATTTTATCTGGGTTAAATTGTTTACTATCTTCATACTGAAACGTATTGGAATCATAACTGAATTTTTTAGCCATATTAATCAGACCTTCTCATTAATGATACCCGAAAATCGTTTAATCTCACTTTTTCATTAGTGATACCTAGAAATCATTTAACCAGGTGCATGTTGTTAACAGGAATTTTTTTTCATTTTTTGAGTGCGGGATTTCGTTTCATGATGCGCGAATTATTCCCCACGAATGACCTGTTTCTCGATGGCAATTCAAGCCCCGGCTCTCATACCAAAGTGCCAGGATTCCGATGGAAAATTAAGCCGGTTTTTCCAGCTTTAATTACGCCGCGAGGGATTTTTTTTTCTCCTTGACCATATTCACGCGAAAGGGATGACGGAAGGATTCTTTTGCAGGAAATCAAAATGTCAGTATTTTGATAATCCTGATTATCGTAACGTATTATAAATGCAAAAATAGCGCCTTCAGGCTAAGTTAAGAGCGATTTGCTTTTATTTCTCTGTTCCAGTGAACTTCGACCATTTCCAGATTCTGCGAGCCATCGGGAAAGGAAGCTTTGGGAAGGTACGCAATGTCGAAGAAGCGTTCAAGACGGATGTGAAAAGCGGAAGAGAGGAAAACCGCCGTGTTTTCCTTGAAATCCAGTGAGCTTTGCATCCATTTACCTGGAATCGCCGATAAAAGGGAGCCTGAAGAGGCAGGAAGAAATTCCCGATTTTTGATACCGAGAGCCACCGAAAAGTTCTCCATTCTGCTACGAAAATAGGGAAAAAAAGTCCTTCGCTTTCATCCCGGAGCCTTAATCTCCATTAAGCCTCGTTATTGAAAATATCCGGTGAAAATGGATTGCGAAACAAGGGAGAAAATCGAGTCGGGAAAGTACCACAGGGTCCTCACCGCCTTAGAAGGCTTTTCTTTACACTTATTAACCCTTCGTCTCGTCGTGGTAATCCCGGCAGATTATCTCCGCTCTTCTGAAGGCTCTCTCGTCCTTTTCTCCTCGGAGCTCCGTCGCCTTAGCTGAAATTGAACGAAATTAAAGTGGAGGAGCAGCCGCTCGCTATCTCCCTTTAAAGTTAAACTCGATACTCTCCTCTAGAGGAGGCACTCCCGAATTAAACGCCCCCAGGGGGTCCCTCCTCAATGGGCTGAAATTTCTAAACGGCTCTGTCGGATCTGTGTCATGTTTTAGTAACTCGTCTACTCTTATTCCAAGGTCTGCATAGTTCAGAAACGCGATCGCACCGGCAACATGTACGCCATGAAGTACGTCCACAAGGGAGAGTGCGCAGAAAGGGGAGCCTTGAAGAACGTCGCCAGGGAGGTCGAGATCTTGTCGAAATTGGAGCACCCCTGTCTAGTCAATCTCTGGTTCAGCTTCCAAGGTGAACAAAAAAAACTCAACGCTCAGCTGTTTATATGATGACACTAAAAAAAAAAAAGTGTAGTCAAAGGAACCAGAATTACCTTGTTACGGTAATACTTCTTGCTGGGAAATCAAATGGAAATTCTTGAAGAGAGGGACAAGATTTTTTACCTAGTGCAGTCATTCGGGGATCTGATTGAGGAATGAATTGGAAATTTCAGACGAGGAGGACCTCTTCATGGTGTCGGACTTGCTGCTGGGGGGCGACCTGAGGTACCACATCCAGCAGGAGGTGCAGTTCTCCGAAGGCAGCGTGGTGCTCTTCGTGGCCGAAATAGCTCTCGCCTTGGACTACTTGCAGAGTCACAAGATCATCCACAGAGACATCAAGCCGGATAACATCCTGTTGGACGAGGAAGGTGAGACCGTCTAGGAGGGAAAAATAATAGTTTCTTCGTGGCCTCCACCGGATTTACATCCGCGAGGTGTCTAAGCCGTGACTGGGAACCCCTGGAAAGTTCAACAAAGGTCGGAGCCGCATATCGGGGTTGCCGGGTGCATTATACCCCACTGCACCTCGGTGTGCACCTTGCAAATCCATACCGGCCCTTGTGTCCGTCATGTTCAGCGTTTCAGCCTGAAATGGACGACGATTCCAGGAGAGAGGCCCTGGGAAGCTTATCCAGCTTCTACGGATGCTGAAGAGGCAATCTGGGGATAACTATACCTGGGGGGTATCCGGAGATCCATGGGAAATTGTCTCTCCTTCGAGTTCCCTGTAAACAGGGTCTTGTATCCAATTTTCACGGGCTGAGTTTTCCCAGACGAATTCTCATGGGACTAATTTTCCCTAGGCCGATGTTCATGAGGTTGATCTTCAAGGGACTAACTTTCAAAGAGCTAATTTTCCTGGGGATGATCTTTCCCCGCGCTAATTTTCATGGGGTTGATTTTCAGAGGGCTAATTTCCATCCTTCACCCCAATTTTCCCTAGTCTGATTTTTCATGGAGCCTATTTTCCTCGGGCTGATTTTTCCAAAATTGCTTTTCTCGGCGCGATAAATCTGCGCAATCCGATCTGCCCAGATTTAATTGACCATCGCTATAAACTGGATTTAACAGCCCAGCTTGCAGGTCGTAGCGATGTATCCTATCCTCCCCTACGATAATTCCTGGGGTGGGTTAAATCCCCGAAAATCGAAAATCGCAAACCGAGGCCACGAAGAGACCATCCAGAAGAATGTTCCTCCAGGTAAATGTCCAAAATGGAGGAGATTACCCGTAAACGAGCCCTGGTGTCCAATTTTCACAGAGCACGCGTCCGTTAACGAGGGTGAGGATCGAATGCAGGAGTATCGATTCCCTCGGGATCGATTTGAGCCCCAGGGCTCGAAAGCCGATATCCGTGCCCACCGAAGCGACGTTGACGCGTTTTGTCTCGCGTTTATTTATTAAACTGATGGATGTTTATTCGAGGCATGGAGAGCCGCATTAGATCCCACTGCAAACACTGTAATAACGCGCCTGTACCTAGATTGATTGCGTGGCTTGTAATTACCGACGTTGAGGTAGGTCGCGTTTCCTCGTTGCACTCTCGCGCAATCCGCTTGTACAATTATCTTCGAGTGCGCTGATTACGGGAAAATTCGGATTCTCGGGGTGTGGGATTTCTTTTTTTTTTTCTTTTCTTTTTGCGAAGATAAAAAGAGAGGAAATAAGCGAAAATCTGTATTCTAAGTGTGCGATGTTTCTGCAAGGAAAAAAGAAGGGGAAGTTAATTCTCTTTTTCCTTTTTTTTCTCGTGATGGAAAAAAGGGAGATATCTATTTGCAGCCATTATTCCGGTTGGACTGGATTTCTGAAAGGAGTTTCGAGGCATTTTCGGCTCACGACTTCGAGAGCTCCCACGTATGAATGGAAATATCGATTGCTCTCGGTACAAGAGCTGCTTGCAAGTACCAATCGGGAGTTTTTCAAGTACCAGTCGGATTTCGCGGACACTCGTTACCCCAAAACCCCATTAAAAGGTAGTTTGTGTGCAGGAACATATAGGAAACGACGGGAAATGCTGGGAAAATAATTTCCGAAAAGTTGAAAAATAATTGGTAATTTTTTTGCGGCATCTAAGTTTTGGGAAATTATTTACGATAAATTGGGGATTAATTGGTAATATTTCCCGGCGTCTGAGACTACTGAAAAGTACCTTAAGAATTGCCTGTAAAAATTGGCACTAATTAGATGTCAATATTTTACAGACTTGCGGTGAAGCCCTGAATTGTCTGGCAATGCTGAAAGGCGCTTTTGAAATTATGCGTAAACAAATTCTGCGGACTAATTAGTTGTTAATAATTCATCAGTTTGTCGGGAATAGAAGATCCGTGGCATTAATATTTTACAGGGTGAAGGGTCTCGACTGGAATGGGTTCTTTCACCGCCTGGGAATCCCAAAAAATGCTTTAGAAGCGACGCGCAAAAAATTCCGGCGACTAATTAGTTATTAATATTTCGGAACTCCGACCCCCGACGTAGGGAGAGGAAAGTGGGATCCAGGGGTTGAATTCGTCGCAAAACTGCCGGAGGTCTGTTTGAGGGTGGAAATTGCCTCTAAATGATGTATAAAATGGCGAAGTCCATTAAGCCCGATCGGGCCTTTTGCCAAGATGGGCCCGATCCTCGTCTCGTCTCGTTTTCCCGTGAGAAACCACCCTCGGGATATAAATCCTGCAAGTGGGACGCCAGTTTATTGAAAACCCGATAAAATTTGCATATTTCTCGCCGGTCTGGAAACGACCGACCGCGGAAATTAAGGGGGGAGGAGCGTGACGTGATTTTAATGGACTCGTTACTCGTGAAAAGAACCGCCATTAAATTAATGCCCGGAGGAATCGTTATTAAGTTTTCGCCCGCCTAAACTTCTGCGCGATTGATATAAATCATGGGGACACGAAACACGCCGAGAAGTTTAATCGACGTCGATGAAGTATTGAAATACAATTCGTAGGTACCCCTTTTAGCGCGGACGCCATTTTGGATATTCGAGTGGCCACACAAGAGTTATATTTATCTTGACGTTTCTTACACATTATATTGAGAATTATACGAAACGAGGGGCTGCGTTTCAATATCCAATAGCGTTCTACATTATTACGCCTGCGTAAATCTTCGCTGTCGATTCTAAGCTTCCAAAAGGCGCAAATATCGGAAAGACGCGGCGGCGCCGCCATCTTGGATCTTCTCTCGGATGAATAAAATTTGTACAAATGTTTTGACGATTCAGAAGCCATTTTCGCTTTACGTTAAATTGGCAGTTGGGGGGAAAAAAAATGTCATCGTGTTTCGTAAAATTCCCTCTCTTGTGTACCGAGCTTTGAGCGGTTTTAACGGTTTTAAGGAAACTCTCGGATGCACCGAGCAGGAATTACGGCCGTCTAAAGGGGCCCTCCCGAAGTTAATTAAACTGGATTTAATCAAATCAAATCGGCTGACCGCAGAACTCGGGATTTGCTCGCGTTCCACCATTCGAGGGAACCTGTGACCGGAGAAATGTTTGGAATTGAGGCTTTGTAAAACACGAGTACATGGTGGAAATTAACATTATGGTACTAATTGACTATGCGTGGTCAAGTTGGAGAGGAGTTGATAATTATGGAATTATTTTGTAAGATACATAGTCATGATAAAATACGATCAGCTAATTTATTGTAAAGAAGGAAATAATTTAGTAATTGTTCTTTTATGTCATTACAGGACACGCACACGTGACGGACTTTAACATCGCCACTGTGTTGGAAGATAGTCAGCTGGCCACGTCGATGTCCGGAACGAAACCGTACATAGGTGAGTCGCACATGGACTCGAACGCCTCCAGAGCGTGCAGAAGATATGGCTTATCATTTATTAAACAGCTCCCGAGGTGTACATGTGCTCCTGCGAGGAGTACGGAGTCCTGGGTTATGGATACGCCGTGGATTGGTGGAGTTTAGGAGTCCTGGCCTGGGAAACTCTTGCCGGTTCTCGTCCTTATCCTTTACACGCCGCCACGTCGCACAGAGACGCTCTGGCAATCCTTCAGGCAAGTTGGATGGATTTTAAAAATGCATAAAATGTATACATGGCAGTGGCAGATATTTGAAGGGTCGGTGGAAATCCGAAATTGATGAGGAAATATATTTTTAGGAGGAGAGGACAACTCCGGCTCACTGGACGCCGCCGATTCGTGAATTGTTCGATCGACTTCTGACTCTGGCCCCAGGAGCCCGAGTGTCCACCCTGAAGGAGTTAAAGCAGGTCGGAGTGATGGCCAACCTGGATTTCGACAAGGTCCTGGAGAAAGGAATAAAACCCCCCTTCACGCCTCCGAAGGACCACCTTAACTGTGACCCCACCTTCGAACTGGAAGAAATGATCGTCGAGACGAAACCTCTGCACAAAAAGAAGAAACGCCTTGCCAAGCAAAGGTGCGGAAGAAATTAATTTTTGGGTGAAATAGAATTTTACTGGCTGTTATCGACAACCTCTCCAAGCAGAGGTGCACTGAGAAAAAAATGAAATTACACTACACAATTTTTTTAAGCTCAGCGTCTCCAAGTCTGACTCGTCACATTGTCTGGGCATAACATTGTTGAATTGAAATTGTCATGGGACGCGATTAGTGATAAGAGACTGTTAGCACGATGGGATTTCCGTTAATCGAACGTTTTGGCTTAGATCCCTCCGGGTGGAACCCGAAGACCCGAACGCCGAGGCGGGAGGGCCAGGGATCGACGTCCGGAGATTGGCTTTTATCCCGGAATACCGGGTGTACAACCGGGAGAGAGAGCTCGAAAGACAAGAGAGAGAGCGCAAAGAGAGGCAGTGGGAAGAGGAGCTCGACACGGCCATGAAGGGAGCCGAAGAGAGGCTCAGGTACGGATAACAATGAGGTACAATTGCGGACGTGAACGCTTTGTCGAGGATTCGGTACGATCGGGGTATTGCGATAAAGCATTCATGTTCTCCACTGTACTGGAACGAAGTGTAGTAATTCGTTAATGTACTGGATCTCCAGTCTTGAAGGTACACATTGAGGGACATGGGTGCCTTGAGATATCACCACTCCGGGTGCCTATTAAAATCGATTCCCTCTTCCAGGGTGAAGACGCAGTCCAAGGCGCCCAACCGACACCTCAGCGTCTCGACGGCGAGCGTCAAGGCGCGAATCAGCGGCTCTCCTCGACCCTGCCGACGGAAGAGCACCTCCGAGGACATCGACTACATAGACGCGAGTCCTGAACCTTCGACCTCCTAATTCTGTCCATGATTATGAAAGGGATTTGAGTAATTCCGATATTTTTCTTTCATTGCGGAACTTTACCTTATTGTAATTTAACCGGATGCGGCACAAAATAGGGGGTCGATTCATTTCTTTGATGTCTTTTTTAGTTAGACTTTCGTAATTACCGGCGCAATTATCGAGCCAGCCTCTCTTCAGGGACCAGCCATCGTCGTGTCCGATCGACCTGGCGAGCTCTTCGGGGCTCTCGGCCGAGAAGATGGGGGGAAAAGGAGGAACCTGGCCTGGCGTTCTTCCTGAAAAGTGCGGGAGTGCACCGAGCTCCGGTTGCAGAGACGTTGAACGACATCTAATCGATACCACAATGCAGGAGGTGCGGCGGTGGCGGACAATCACGAGGTCACGAGGTCAGGAGCTTTAGGAGCGACCTCGAAGAGACCCCCGGGTCCTTTCCTGGACTCTAAGACGCGTCTTGGGGTTACGAGGATGCGAAGCCCCTTTTGCAGGACCTTCTTCAAGGGCGACACCCCGCTCCGGTATTTTTCCCCATTTTCCACGAGAGTGCCGGAACACAATTTGGACGGGGAAAAGAATTTTTCTCAGAGACCGAATACCGCGAGGCTATGCATAGTGATGTTCCACGGGGCGCTTCGAAGGGTATTTTCATATTTTCATAAATTCCGAGGGAGATCATGGGCGGATAAATGCGAGATAAAGGAGAAAGGGGACGCGATTAATTTTTCCTTGTGAGGAGGAAAAATTCGGTCTTGCAGTTTCTTTTTCCACTTTCTGCAAGATTAAGGCGATGTGAAAGCACTGCCAGCGAGGTCTCGTTCATGAAACTTTCCTTCGGAATGGGTGTAGCGAAGGGGGTCGCCATATTGAATTGAAAGTAACGCAATTCCGGGAAGCTTTTCCGCGTTTCCTCTCTTCCTCTTCTCGTTTTTCGCCTTTATCGTACCCTCGGCGAGCTCTCGGGGGGCGACTCGATAAACCCTCGTTCTTATAATAAATCCTTATTCTCATAATCTCTGTCCGAGAAGAGGAAATAAATATAAAGTAGACGAGTCGCTTTCTCCCGACCAAAATGGCGACCTCAGCGGACCAAAATGCGAGAACGAGTCGATTGTAATCTCCTTTTATATAATAATTGGACCTACCGGTCTAGCGTTTAATACCTAAAAATTCGGAGGGGCTATTCACTCGGAATCGAACAACCCCTCGAAGAAAATCCACTCTGCGATCCATGTGAACCTCATTTAATTTACACATTTCGTACATTAGCGGTTCTCCGTTCTCGAACGGTGTTAAATGCAGCGGAATGAGCATTAACAGTTTTAATTAACAGGGCTCCTATAAAGGGTGTTACAAAGTCGAAACCGTATACTAAAAAGAGAAAGAAAAGGCGTATAACAAGGAAAAGAAAATTAAAATCTGTATACGAACCCTCCGAAGCGTCGCAAACTTCGAGGAGGAAATTCCAAGAACTCGTTACATCCTATTTACCTATTATTATTTCATAAATTTCATATTTCGGTCGATAATCGGAGAATCCTCGAAAGCAAAGAAAAAGGAAGACAGCGAGATTCGCGGCGATATTACCCGCGGATATAAAATAAAGGGGAAGTCGTGTTCATATTTAAAGCCTAGGTGTACTTAATTACATCTAGAAGAGAAAGAGAGAGAGAGAGAAACAACAAATATTAATTAATATCACAAAGTATTGCCCTCTTCTGGTCTCGGTTGGCCAGATAAACGTTAGCGCGTAATTCTCTATTCTCCGTGTTTTTTATTTCCTATCTTTCTTTACTTTACTTCTTCTTTTTTTTCCTCTCGTTTCTTTATAGTAGCTAATTGTTAACATTTCGCGAGTTTACAACAATATATATCATGGAAGCCCGCAAATCGCGTGTGCAAGGGTGGCACACCAAAAGTATAATCATGGCCGACCTTTTCGAGGCGATCGACATTTTTGGCTTAAGGTGTTATGAAAGCGTCGTATGTATATCAAAAAGACAATATTTATAAAACTTTACTCCAAACTGGACGCGCAGTATCGATGGGAAATTTCAGCATGTGACTGCGGAGGCCCTAAGGAAGAATGCGGTGCTTATGAAATTTCATTTTCGATAAAAAAAATTTTTTACTCAGTTCAGACTAGAGACCAAGAATACATATATTTTTTTTAATGAAATTTCATGAACACCGCGTTCTTATTTAGGACCTCTATAATCACGTGTCAAAGTTTCAAATGATTCGGTCCACCCAGTTTGGAGATAAGTGGAATAAACGAGACCTCTTTGACGGCACTTTCACATCGCCTTAATCACGAGTTAAGTTTCACGTGGGAAAATATCGTATAATAAAAATAGAGGACTCTGTTTATAATTCCCCAACGAGGCTATACTTTCATCGGCTGCGCCGAGTCTTGTAATCGGTTAATCGCTAAGCGTTGATAAGGACTATCGTCGTCAGTCTGTCAATTTGAAACTTTAATCCCTTTTTCATAGAGTTCAGCAGCGCCCTCAAGATGATGTGAAAGTGGCATCTGGAAAATCAATCCTTTATGAAACTTTTCTCCGAAGTGGATACACCGAATCGGTTCAAATTTTAGAACATTAACGTAAAGGCCATAAGGAAGGCTCCGACACTCATGAAATTTCTTGGGTGTCAGGACCTTCCTTATAAATTACATATTCACATTGTCAAGTTTGAAACTATTCGGTACACTCAGTTCGGAGAAGTTTCATAAACTAGGCCTCTTCGACGCCACTTTGACATAACCTTAAACTCCTCGCTTTTCCTAAGTACGTAGAAGTAATCTGCGATTATTTCGTTAGAACTCGTCGAGTTTTCATTTTAGTATACATACTAAAATATATGTATATATATAACTTTATATTTATATAGATCTTATTTTTCCTCTGGGTTGCGTAAGCGTACACACGAAATTCCTCCCAGATAAAACGAATGTTTTCTGGGTGGGGAAGCGCGACGCAATTTTTTGCGTCTTTTATATAGATCGACACATCTCTATGTATGTATAGCTTACATACGAAACGCGCGTTTTTTTTCCATAAAATGTCTCGTAAAAATATAAATCCTATGTGTAATGCGTATGCCCAGAGTTTAGACAGGACTTCGGAGACTGTAGTTTCCTTTTGCTAGCATTAGTGCAATTTTCCCTGCGTCTTCCCAGATCGACTCTTTTGGGTACGGTAGAGAGCTACGATGCTATTAAAGAGATCCTGTGTTAATTCGAGTCCAGATCGATTGTTGTAATCTTTCCCCTCGTTCTAAAGATTGTACCACCCGTCTGTTTTCGTGTAACAATGTGACGAAGTCAAGGAAACGTTTACGACTACTCGGTGCTCTGGTACGGACTCGAGTTTTCGAGTTTTCGCGCTCGGCGAGGTTAATACTCGATTGCGCGTTCGGTTTCTTGCGGAATCCTCGAAAATACGATTTCGTAGGACCGAATATTCTAAACAGCACTCACATCGGTGACTTCGATTCGGGTTATCGGCTTGGCACGCTCTACCACTATGAAGTCGTTCTCGTTGGCGACCAAGGAGTCGCCTATGCGAAAACATTGCAGATTCTCTAGCACAGAGTCGATTTGTACCGGCTGGTCCGGGGAAGAGTTTTCATTCTTCAGCTTTCCAAAATGCAGATAACAGAACCCGCTAGATCCTCGCCACGTTATGTCGTTCGGCTTGACGCCTCGTTGCAGCAGAGCGTTCTTCAAATCTCTCACTCTCACATCCGAAGCAATATTGGAAAGCTTCAGAGAGAAATCAATCTGCAGTCTGTTCCGAGGCTTGAAGATCTTACGACGAAGTGGCTTCTCTTTTCCATTTTCCTCAGTTTTCTCCTGAGATGGAAAATTACCTTAGTTTGTTAATGGTTTTGGGCATGCAATTAAAGGTAATCATGGTTCACGTACTTCGTTGGTAGGAGAACTGTCTCCCTCTTGTCGTTTTGGAGCCTGTCGCCGTTTTGATGTGCGTGGCTTAACCTCCTTATCCTTTTCTCCTTCGCCAGCCCCGTCTTCGGTTCCACTGGTAGTTCGTTTCTTGGGGCGTTTCTTGTATTTCAACTTCTTCATCTTGTGCTTTTCGTATTGTCGAATCTCTACATCGGAATCGATCTCTTTCAGTACTATGACTTTCCCCTCCCTGGAAGAAATGTTTAGAGTTACTGGCAAACCTTTTGCAAGTTAGAATCGTGTTAAAGTACGTTTGAGTTTTGGGTGATTACTTTTCTTCCTCCTCTTTAAGTTGCTGCAGAATGGGCATCGATTCAAGTCTCCTCCTGCTAAGGATTCCCCAAATGATACCAGTAGGTCTCTTCAGCCGTGGATTTACAAATATACTCTGCGTCGGAGTGACGATTATGTCCACAGGGACGTCGTAATCTTTGAACAGGTTTGTTGGAAGATCGTCTATAATTTGGCAGTCGTGAACAGTTGTCACTACTATGGTTTCTTCGGTGACAGCTCCCATTCTCATCAACATCGCAAACTCCAAGTCGGCGAAGCCTTCTCCTTTGCCGATTCTGTGACCGCTCTTGCTTACGCATACAGAACCCAGGACGATCATATCGACCTGTGACCAAACACACTCTTAATAACCTCAATGACGGTTGGACGAGTTAATCAATATATAGGATACGATCTGAACACCTTAATATTTGAACTGATCCCAAGAGGTGTGCCCCACTTCTTTAAACCATGTCTACTCGCAGCAGTCTTCAACTGTTCCTTCGTTGCGCCAGCAACGGGAACAATGTGAAGAAAGAGGCCAGTCTTCAATCTAGGAATCGGAACGAGGATCTCTTTATTAGCTTCCAGTGCCAAGAACCTCACAGGCTCTTGTGGCTTATCCGGATTGATTTTGATGGTCTTTGCTTTCCCGAATTCCTCCAACTCGCTCAATCTCTGCGCCGCCTCGGCCGCACCCTTAAAATTTGGAATTCTTCTATACAGAGTCAGTGGGAAATTTGCTAATTGATTCTGCGTCATGTAGTCCCAAATTTTCTGCCGGAAGCTGTGCTTGGTCACCTCTTCCGCTGAAAATCAGATCCGGGACCCGTTAACGTACTTCCTCCATCGATTCAAGCTGATTATAAAATGGTATCATGAGTAAAGCTATAAATCGAAAGGCTGTGCATTAAAAAAAAAAATACAGCATAAATTTATGTCTCTCTAGCCGTACGATTAGGGCAGATCGTTTTGGAAAAACCTTCGCTTTGGAAGTGTCTATCAAAAAGCGAGGTTCGTTAAGTCTGTCAAAGAGAGGAGGTTATTTATATTGGTGATGCCCGACTTCGCGTGGGTGAATCAACGGTTGTCTAGTTCTCATCCTAGTGAAGTGCAATTACGTGCAACGATGGAAGGCTTCTTCCATCCCGATACTCACGTAACACTTCTTCGGTCATTTTGTTCGTTGACGATGCTGGGTCTTCATCAACACCAACGAATAGGCGGCAATCCATTGCAACGAAAACAATCCTAGAAGAGTTCCCCGTGAATTTCACGCTGGGATCCAACAAAAATAGACCAACTGATGAATTCAGCCCACGGTAGCCAGATTAGGCGATCCGTCGTCAATCGGCCATTTCCGGCGCGAAATCTGATTGGTCGCGTCCAATGGAACAGCCAATGGCAGCGTCGGCTTCAGGGGAAACAACCAATCCCGTGCGCCCGACACTTTTTAATACTCCGAGGTGACGTTAGAATTCTATTCAGCAAGAATGAAATGAAACTCCGATGGGAACTGTCGGATTTATAAAAATTTGAGGTTAAGACTGCCGAGGAAGAGGTGGCGCGGCAGTCGCTAATAAACTTCACTTTCTCGATATACCTTTTGCCACTTTACCAATTTTTTACGAATTGTTTTTTGTTTTGGAGTAGAGGTTCAGGACAGCTGCTTCGCGTGACCCAGCCCGTGAGTAATCTTCCAATTCATCTCTGTAATTATTAGTTATACTAAATGTGATATAGAGAAAGGTAAATTAGGTAGTGAAAATACTCATGGATTTTAAATATAGCGCTATGTGGATGTTTCCGTTGGAGCGGTCTGCGGTCTAACGGAATCACCAATCAGGGCTCAGTATCGGGCGAGCAACTTGATTCGTCACTAGACCGCAGATCGTCCAAAGAAACACTCGTTCCGGCCTGTTCAGGCCAAGACGTTTGAGGTTAGGCGTCTTTAGGTAATTTTTTGAAATTAGTGCAATAAATATCACCCGTAACGATTTGCATATTCGTCGTATAATAATTACCGTGATTTATCAGTTTACAGTGTTTTCTGCGCATCGTTTAACCTGTACACGCTGAATTCGTTTTCGATTTCTGCAAGGTAATCGTCATGGCGACTGAACGGTACAGCTTTTCGTTGACAACTTTCAGGTAAACATGATATTGCATTATTCATTTTTCTTAAAAATAAGCATGATTGCTGTACTAAAGCTATTGGTATTTGTTTCCGCGGTATAATATTCCTTGGAGAGTAATTCTTTCCAAAATTGTTTTCACCATAGTCCCTCGGGGAAACTGGTGCAGATCGAGTACGCTCTTGCAGCCGTTGCAGCAGGTGCTCCCAGCGTTGGAATAAAAGCCTCCAATGGAGTCGTATTGGCGACGGAGAACAAACATAAGTCAATACTTTACGACGAACACAGTGTGAATAAAGTTGAGCCTATAACGAAACACATAGGCATGGTTTACAGTGGAATGGGGCCGGACTATCGATTGTTAGTCAAGCAGGCTCGTAAAATGGCTCAGCAGTATCGATTGGTGTACGGAGAACCGATTCCAACTGCACAGCTTGTGCAACGCGTCGCTATGTTGATGCAAGAATACACTCAGTCCGGGTATGTATTTTACACAAAGAAGAATCAAAATCAGTTGTAAAATGTGTTTAATGATTCCAGAGGCGTTAGACCCTTCGGAGTCTCCTTGCTAATTTGTGGGTGGGACAACGGCAAGCCTTACCTGTTCCAATGCGATCCGTCTGGTGCTTATTTTGCATGGAAAGCAACAGCTATGGGGAAGAACTTTGTCAACGGCAAGACCTTCCTTGAGAAGAGATACGGAGAAGACTTAGAGTTGGACGATGCCGTTCACACTGCCATATTAACTTTGAAGGAAGGTTTCGAGGGTCAAATGACTGCGGACAACATCGAAGTTGGTATTTGTGATGCAAACGGGTTCAGACGTTTGGACCCATCGAATGTAAAGGACTATCTTGCGAATATTCCGTAATTTTTAAATACTCTCTGTTGTTTTATTGCTGTCTGGATAACCTGTGCGTTGCAGGAACGGCAAAGAAGTTCATAAATTATATCGAATTTGTCTACAGGCTTGATTAATCATTTCGGCATACGAGCTTGACCTTTTTTAAAAATCATGCTCATGAATAACGATCGTCCTGCAATTCATAAGTCTGTAAAAATCCTGTAAGACGGCGCTGGTCATATCTTCGTAACGTCAAATCAGATAATTAGACCACTACACATTTCATAAAATATCGACCGTGCCGTATTTATCGTTCTAACCCTATCGGGAACGAGTCTTACGATTTACATTCACCACGACATGCGTGTTCACGAATTTAAATTTTCAACTCTCGTCGAATATATCAAATAATCCCCCTACGTCCAAAATATCCCCCATGATTTCCATTTTTTTTCATGCCATTAATCAAGGTTCCCAAAATAGTATTCACTCCGAAAAATGAATACACCTCCGTACCGACAGTCTCCTGCGTTCGGCATTTTGAAGAACGCGCGCTCCCGCAAGATGGCGACAACTTCGCGTTTCGCTCTCTACCGGTAACGCGCCTCACTTTTTGTACTCTCCCGCAAGCCGTATACGTAGATTTTAAGTTCCGAGCCTCCCCGAGCGTTTAAGTTAACCCATTCACGGCGAAACTACCCACCCTGATCTCCGCTCTCAATTTCTATAACAAACAAGGCCCACGAACGGCTATTCGTACCCAGGAGTAACTAAATACAACAGCGTGTACCGATAGTTCTCGTTGCGTCCGCCATTTTGAAGAACCCGCGCTCCCGCAAGATGGCGGCGGCGTCGCGCGCACTCGCCCCGGCTCGCGCATCCCGGCACCGCCGGCATCGGTCCCGCAGTTTGTGCGCGTACGGAGCGATCACGCGTGCTCCCCGGCTGAACTCCCGAGGCTCGCCGACCGTCTTCGATCACGCAGTGGTCTCTGGATTGCCCGCCTTTCCCGACGCGGAACCCCGGGCCCGGCAGCCTCCGCCATTAATTCTCCAGGTAAGCGTCGAACTCGCCGACGAGCACCGCCCGCGAGGATGCCGAGTCCTTCGGTCTCTTCCCTCGAGCCCTGCTTCCTCCCGGTCGCCGAAGTCGATATTCTCACGGGCCGATATATTCGTTCCTACATTATCCCGTTCCCTTCGCGATGTGGGACTCTCTCTCGCAATCGGCGCGTCGCCCGGCGCTCGGAGGGCCGAGATCCGCCATTGACGGAGGACTCGCTTCCTTCCCCAGACTCGCCGAAATCCCGGCGACCTCGGGCTAGAGACGTCGCGACGTCGGGAGATCGTTCCGTCTTCCTGCCTTTGGAAATCCTATCGGCGTGTTTACTTTCGGGAAAGAACCGGTAACGATCTTGTAACCGGCGCCGATTTGCCATCCTCCAGTGTTGCCAGACGCGGGAAATGAAATTCTGCTCGCATTTTCGATTATACCTGTTTGAAGAAAAATCATACCCGACAATCCTTTTTATTTAAGATAGTCTCTAAGGAGCGTGGATCAACGTGGCACCGAGGCTGGATTTTCTGATTTCTTTCGGAAAAGATTCTCAAGTGGTTACGAAACTGTCATGTATATATATGCATACCAAAAAGTCCTTATTAATATTTATATAACTATCATCCTAACTGGGTGCACCGAATAATGTGATACTTTAACACGCGATGATACTAATGAAGGTTTTGATACTCGCGAAATTTCAATATTCGACTAAAATGTTTCTTCGGTCTTTATCTGGGATAGATGCAACATTTCTTTTTTTTGTCGAAGAATTCAATTTTGGGCGGCTCAAGACTTTCGTTAGGATCTGTGTGATTAAGTGTATTATATATGTATAGAATGACCCTTTCGTATCAACTTAACGGCCATTCCGGTCTGAGGGTAAAATCCTCAATTTGGCAACACTGATGGCCATATTTCACTGATTGTAAACACGTTGACGACTCCGCTCGATTGTTTCGGTCGTCATTTTTGGAAACGGTTGAAAACACCGGTGGGTACTTGGAAATATCCTTGTCTTGCTCTTGGAGTTAAAATACACGTTTCGTTTAAAGAGCACGGATGAATGGCTTCTTTTAATCCCGAATCGAGGTATACATATATATATGACAAGTTTAGGAATGTTAAGGTAAAACTGTAAACTTCAACGGCAAAATTTGGGTGTACACTTATCATACATAATTATAGTTAATTTGTGATTTTATGAAATTCCCGAAATTAACACGCGTGGAGAATTTAGAAACGACTTTAAAAGGTTTCATTTTATAACGCGCAAAATTAGGACACCCTGTCCGAATGAAACAATGAATAGAAATGTTAGAAAATTTAAATAGAAATATTAAGGATAACGTTCGTTGTAACGATGAGGAATTAAGCGCGGTCGCGACTAGGAGGGATTTTTTATCGGGTTATTTCCGACCACCGCATAAATGAAAGGAGCTAGAAAAAGAAGTTTCAAAACTCGAAGAATAAATATGAAGGGTTATGTTCGTTGCAATAGTGCGGGATTAAGCGCGGTCGCGACGGGGGGGGGACTTTTTGAGGTTATCTCCGACCACGTGGGCGAGAGCTCGCGCTCGCCCGAGAAAGGCCGTGGCGAATCTTGGTATATCGGTGCACTTTTAATGGCAGGTTTAGGAGGTGTAATCGCACTCCGGGTATCGATTGTACGTACGGTGCGCTGACGCACACCGGTGCCTGATGGCTTTCTCTCTCCCTCTCTCTCCTTCTCCCTTTTTTCATTCTCTCTCTCTCACTCTCTTTCTCACGCATGCCGCGCGCCAGCTCGAGATGCGTTTACCGTAGCGTGGCCGGAGTGCGTAATTACGGGAGGAACAATTAGCGGTGTTTTGTTATGGTTGCGCCGGAAACCCGATCCGCGGTCGAAGCCTCGTTTTTCTATTTTTTTTTCTTTTTTTTTTTTCGGGGAGGGGGCGGAAAAAAAGATTATCCTCCGTGCCACGAAATACACGACTTATATATTTTTACGCGACGCTTTTGTGGGTATATCGGAAATTTCGATACTTCGAGGATAATATGGTCTCCCTTTGACAATCTTAAGTACTGATTGTAAATTTTTTTTTTTCCCCCCCCTTAAAGTATCCACGCAATGTTTAATAGGGATTATTTATTGATTTATTCCTGTCGACGATTGATCTTTTCGATGATTTCGAGCGATACTGGGAAATGTGGTTTCCTCTAGACCACGTGTCTCTTAAACGCTGTATATATATATATATCGTTTTATTATTAAGATGCATATATGATACTTAAGGAAGGCTTATATATTTATATATTCTCCATTGTGCGTGGGATCATGATCATAGTTTATTAACCTGACAACTCGGTGAGTCCGAGGTTGAAAGTCCTTGCTTATGTCAGAAATCTATTTTTTATATATTTTTTTTTAACGATACCATTTAAATTGCTACAAGTCTTGAAAAAAAAAAGAAAAAAATATGCATCGATAAAAGCCCCGCGTATAGACATATTCGTATCGGGCACCGATAACTCCAGAGTTGGAAGTCCTTGTTTACCGGTCCTCGGCTCGCAAACAATGCCCCCTTAATGGGTGGATTTCGGAGTCGTAATCGCAGCGACCGGCCCGGGTGTATCGATTGTACATGGAGTGCGCTGACTCGCCCTGCTGCCCGATGGCTGTGCCCCCCTTCACCCCCCTTTCGGACCCCCTTCACCTATGCCCGGCATCTATTAATTCGGCGCCTCGTGTGTTCCCTCTCTCTCTCTATCCACGTGTACATACGTATCTCCTTCTCTCTCGCTCGGTCCTGCGCTCCGGAAAAATATGTCGAATTTCACCCAGCCGAGTCTCTTCCGACCGAGATGGACTTAGCCATAGAGAAGGGGATAGAGAGAGACGGCTGCACTCGACGTTCATTTGGCACGTTTGCCCCCCCCCCTCTCGTGATTCGCAATTAATGGCCGCGACACGTGGCCCTAGAATTCGAAGGAAGAACTCCTATGGGAGGGTTTTTCTCACGATCATTAGGCCGACATTAACATTCTCGTTGAGACCCACGTGTATGCGTGCGTTGGATTAATTCGTACGTGCGGATGCGCGCGCATGTCTGGCCCGCGGACGTGGGAATGATTAAAAACGCGCCGATGAGAAATTTCGGGCGGATTTCTTCGCGTGTCCTTTGATACGCGTATTTCTTGTTATTTGTTATTTTTATGCTCTTTTTGAGGGGCGAGTCGAAAATCGACTATCTGGCCGACTATTGGCTCGCGCGTCCCCGTTGCCCTGGCAACGACGCGCGTCCCGAGTCGAGCTCCGATTGTTTTCTTTCCCGCGTTGTATATACACGGTGTACGCCGTGTCGTCGCGGAATGTCGAGGAGGCAGGTCGGGGAGAGAGTTCGTCAATAATGCGGCAGAAACGCTCCGTAAAGTGGCCGAGGGAGAGAGGGAGAAGAAATATAAACGGCGGAAAGAAAGGCGACGACTGCCGCGGTTTCGGGGAATTTTCCCTGTTTCTTTTTTTCCCCCGTTCCTTCCTTGTGGCTTCGTTTTTTGTTTTTGTTTTTTTTTTTAATCTTACCGCGGGGTCGTTACGTCGCCATGGCGCGCCGTTATGGAAACGATCCATCGATTGAAGGCAATCCTATTATACCGATAAGGGACACGAAATGTCGCGGTCCCCGGTTTCCTTGGGGCCAGGGTTGTGGGCTGATTCGAGGGGAAATGTCCTCGCTTAAATCGTAGGTACTTCAATAGTTCTATTTCTATTTTTTTTTCTTTTTTTTTTTCCTTGCGAAGTCGAGGTTTTCATAAATTCCCGCGTCCTCCGTCGGCCTAGGGGAATTACTTTGCACCGGGCGGGGGGGGGGGAAAAAAAAAATTCCCCGAGGATTCTGTCCGACTCGCTCTTTCCGGTCGGACCGTCCCACGGTGCGGGTGGCGTGCTCGAGGAGAGCCGGTCGCAGTCGCGGACCGGCGCTCGACCGCGCCGGACGTCCGCCAGCGGAGCCCCCGGACGACGATTTAGGCGAAGGTGCTCGACGCAAGGAACAACGGTGAAAGCCTCAAGGTGTTACTTCGGAAGGGGTCATTCTACGTTGAGAAAAAAAAAAAAAAAAAAGAAGAAATGTCGAACCAAAGAAATAATTCTTCGAACAGGACCGAAGAAATAACGAGATATATTTCTTTGGTTCGATGGATTTCTTTCTCTTTTCTTTCTTTCCTCGGGGTAATGCTACTATTTCTCATGGTTACGGGGAGGGTCGGCCATTTCCGGGTGAAATTGTCATTCCGCTGCGTCGTTGCCTTTTTCCGCCGGTACGGACGCGGGACTAATGATCGAGGGTCGCGACTCTCGGCCCCCGTCCAGCCGGTTCGATTAAATGCATCTCGCGGAAGCGCATTTGTCCGGCCGTGGCCAAGATCTATATTAAAGTGCGCGTATCGCACCCATGACACAGATACCGAATCCGCGGGGACCGGTCGCCCGAATTGTCCATATATATAAAAGGACAAAAAAAACACCCGTCTCGCCCCGAACGAGATGAACGCCTCGTCCGAAAAGGAAAACCTCGTAGAGGTGCATCGAGAGAAAAAAAATAAGAAAAAAAAAAAAACGATCATCGAACCGAAGAAACCGATTTGGTCAATTCGAAGTATAATCATTTCCCGTGAATGGACAAAATTCCAAACGTTGCTTTCAATTGACTCGAGTCAAATCATTACTTGTTTGTATTAACGAAATATCTCATGTTTTTTCTTTTGTTGCTCCCATTCAAAGAAATATCACTTCGGTTCAATGGCACTTCTTTTTTTTTTTTCTTTCTTAATACAAACGCGGTTAGAGTTACTACTTTTAACTAGACTTATTTCTCTCCTTCATCTCGGTCGTATATCCCTTCCGCCCTCCCAATTTTCCGAGTTTTTCCCATTTTTTTGCAATTTTCCGACTTACCCTCCCCCCGCCTCGAGATTGCATCCCGGATGCGGCCGAGTGCAGCCGTTCCCCCGGCGGTTCA